TTCAGCCACAACTCCACTTCCAGCTTTTTTTGTAGTTTAGTGGAGATAAATTACTCATGGACTTTCTTGCCTGGGCTAGCTTTGAACCTTGAGCTTCAGATATTAGTCTCTGAGTAGTTAGGATTACAGTCATGAGTCACTGGACCCTAGCTTAATTGATTCTTTAAATGTATTTATAATTACTCATGTTACTATTACTAGCTAATGTCACAAAGCACGATATACTACATTTAGGATGAGGTTCGTTAACAATGAAAATGTATCCCAATCCACCTCACTAAGTTTCCTTGACATTAAAAAAATGTTTTGTTGGCTTATTATCAAATGTGAATAGATTATCCTTTCTAACTTCATAACATGGCTGACACCAGGATTAGAAAAACACCTGGACTAGTTTCTTACTCACTTCAATACACCTCAGTGTGGGGACTGTGGCATGTGATTCCTTATAATTATAATCTTGTTCCTGTCTAGCACTCTATCCCTTGAGCCATGTCTCTGGTTCCCAAATGTTCTTAATTTATTTAAGTGTTTGAAACTTTCTTCTCACATTTCTGAGATAGATGCATTCCACTTTGGAGACTATTAGACTTATAACTCCTCAAGGAAAATTGGAAAAATAATTTCAATGTCTAAATGTCTAAATGGAAGATGCCAGGACATTTCTGGACTAATGCACTGATCTCTCTGTCACAGACAGCTCAAGCTCAGCAAGTTTGTGCAGACTCCTGTGGATACCTCCCAGTGTGTTTGGGGGGTGGGAACTAGAGTTCAGCTAGCAAGAAGAAGCACCAGGAGCAGGTTAGCATGCCACATCTTTTGCTCTGGATACTCACAGATGCTATACAAGAAGAGTAAGGTCCCAGATGCAGTGGAAAGAGGGGAGGAATATTCTAGACTTCTCTTCCTTTACAAGGAACACAAAGAGCTAGTACGGTAAGTAAGGAGACAGCAAGGATTTAATGCCTTTTTCAAAGGTACCCAGCCTGTAGAGGTCTACTAACCTGGAGAAAGCTTCCTTGGCACACAATGGGTACTTAGTTGCTTGTATTAGGGACTCAGCAGAAAAGGAAACAAAGGCCTGACCATCAAGGTAGACTCAACAGACCAAAGAACAAAGCCAAAATAAAATAAAATCAGAGCCTGGTGCTGGTGGCTCAGGCTTGTAATCCTAGGTACTTAGGAGGCTGAGATCTGAGGATCACAGTTCAAAGCCAGCCCGGGCAGGAAAGACCGTGGACTCTTACCTCCAATAAAACACTCAGAAAACCAGAAGTGGTACTGTGGCTCAAGTGGTAGAGCTCTAGCCATAAACTGAAGAGCTGAGGGAAAGTGCCCAGGCCCAGAGTTTAAGCCCCACGATTGACAAAAAAAAAAAAAAATCATCAGCACTAATAAAAACCTCCTAACTTTAAAAAACATTTTAAAAACTTTAAAAAACATATCTATATCTATAATGCTATGCTGGGGATTGAAACCAGAGTCTATGCATGCTAGGCAAGCACTCTACCACTGAACCACATGCCTAGCAGCAGTTATTTTAAAAGTCTTAACAACATAAAATGCAAACAAGGGGGCTGGGAAGGTAGCTCAGTGGTAGAGTGCTTGTCTTGCATTCATGAGGCCCTGGGTTCGATTCCTCAGCACCACATAATCAGAAAAAGCCAGAAGTGGTGCTTTGGCTCAAGTGGTAGAGCACTAGCCTTGAGGTGAAGAGCTGAGGGACAGTGCCCAGGCCCAGAGTTCAGGCCCCACGACTGACAAAAAAAAAAAAAAAAGAAAAGAAAAGAAAGAAAGAAAAAGCAAACAAGAAGTTAGAACTGGTCAGCCTTCCCTAGGGGAGATAGGGTTTAAAAATGTCAATCAGAGCACCTCTATGCCTCTGTTACTGAGGCCCTTTAGAAGCACAGCTGACAAGCATCCTACCCTGCACCAGGCAGCCCAGCCATAAAACAAGTTAACTATTCCCTTCCCCCTAGAGTGTGAAAAATAAACAAAACAAATACAAGCACTTCAGCTGGTTGCACCTGCCACATGCTTCTGGATTTTCTCCACAGACTCAGAAGGGAACTGCCTGGATGCCACGAACACAGTCCAAACAATAAGAGCTTTGTCTTGTTAAGTATTCTGTAACTGGAGCTCAATGGCACTAAACTCTGATGACATTTAGAGTTGCCCATCAAGGGACTGGTTAGCTCTCTCATTGAACAGTTCTTCCCCCCTCCCTTCCCACCCCCCTCATGCCTCCCCCCACACCAGCCCTGTCCCAGTCCTGTTTATGAAACTCGGCTACTTGAAGCACTGATAAAATGACAGTATCTTTATGCAGGCAGGAAAACAATATCTTAGGCAAGGACTGAGGGTATAATTAACATTCCAGTGTCCATGGAATTTGTTTCAAAGGAAATCCGAATTTGTTTTGCTAGTAGGCAGCTTTTCTCCAGTGCAGAGATTATGAGTTTTTCTGTAGAATTATTAAGGGTTAGGAGTAGATATTTGTAGTTCACACAGAACCAGCTACAAATCTGCAGTCTAGTGCAAGGTAGGGGGAGGAGTGGGGGAGGTGTGGGAAGGAAGGGATAGTTGGAGAACAACAAAGGAGAGGGTAACAATGTTCGACAAGAAATGTACCCATTGCCTTACTCATGTAACTGTAACCCCTCCGTACTGCATCTCTACAATAAAATAAAATGTAAAAAAAAAATTAGGGCCTCTTATTCAAACAAATAGGAGAAGAAGTACTTTGGGAAGTACTATATTGTAAAGCTTTTTCTTTCTTCCAGTCTCTTGATCTGTTATGGTGTGTGTGGGGGAGGGAGATGGTATTTGTTTTGTTTTGTTAGTTTTTACTTTAGTCTTACAATCTCTTGGATGTGGGAACACTTATAGGCAAAGGAGACCCTCATCAGTACCTGTGGCATGAGTACATATGACCCAGCAGCTGCCAGATCCAGGCACAGTGTGCCTAAAATTCATATGGAAACATAATAGACCCTCAATAGCCAAAGCAATCCTGAGCAAAAGATGAATTCTGGAAGTATCACAAAACTAGACTTGAAATTATACAACAGAGTCACACTAACAAAAAGAGCATGGCACTGGCACAAAAATAGACACATAGTACAGAAAACTAAGAAATAAACTCACATCTAATTCTTGGCAAAAGTGCCCAAACTATAAATTGGAGAAAATTCAGTCTCTGAATGGTGCTAGGAAAACTGGATATCTAATATAGAAGATTGAAACTAGATCTTATCTCTCATCCTGTACAAAAATCATTCAAAATGGATCAATGACTTTAATGTAAGGCCTGTAAATTTGAGACTACTGCAGGAAAATACAGGAACTCTTTCTATGCACATGAAAGCACAGGAAAAGACTTTCAGAACAGGACTCTATAATCAGAAAATAAGAGGAAGAATCAGCCACTAGAATTGTATCAAATGAAAAAGCTTCAATACAGCAAAGGAAAGAGTTGCTCTGCAGTATGGAAGAAAATATTTGTTAGTTATTCTTCTGACAGGGGATTAGCATCCAGAATATATAAGGAACTCAAAAAATTAAATAGCAAAAGAACAATTAATAACAACCCAGTTAATAAATAGGAAAGTACACTGACTAGAGAGTTCTCAAAAGAAGTATAAATGGCCAGTAAATACATTAAAAAATATTCAACACCGTTAGCTATGAGGGAAATGCAAATCTAAACTACACTGAGATTCTATTACTTCAGTCTGAATGACTATCATTATGTAAACAAAAACAAACAAATGCTGGATAGGGTATGTGTTGGCAGAATGTGAATTAGTATAGCTACTGTATAAATCAGTATGGCAGTTCCTCAAAAAACTAAAGCTATAATTACCACATGATCGAACCTGGAATACACCTGAAGTCAGCATGCAATAGTACCTGCCATGTTTATTGTGGCACAGCTCACAATAGCCACCTCAACAATCATCTAGGTGCCTGTCAGTGGATGAATGGGTTTAAGACAATGTGGTATGAGTGGTAGGCAGGCATAAAGAAGAACAAAATCATGTCATATGGGGAAAATGGACAGAATTGGAGATTATCATAGTAAATGAAATAAGCCAGAATCTGATGAAATCTTGATTAAAGAAAAAAAAAAAAGCTGGGTGCTGGTGACTCAAACCTACTCCTAGCTACTTAGGAAGTTGAGATCTGAGGACCATAGTTTGAAGCCAGACTGGTAAAGAAAGTCCATGAGACTCTGATTTCCAATTAACTACCAAAAATCCAGAAGTGGCGTTATGGCTCAATTGGTAGAGAGCCAGCCTTGAGCAAAAAGAGATTCAGGAATCGTGCCCATGCCCTGAGGAGATGGCACCAAAAAAAAAAAAAAAAAGACATGAAAATAGAAAGTCTACTATCTGGGAAAAGAGAGGGACCTGTAAGTGGGAAGGGTTAACTGTCACCATTATTTTACAACTTAATATACACTCATAAAAATACCACTTGAGCATGCATGCATTCACACGTGTGCTCGTACACACACACACACACACACACACACACACACACACACACACCTACAGGCACATGCACTCACAGCCTTTTAAATGGAAGAGTATATATGAAAGTGTCAATAGTTATTCTCTCTAGGTCAAGGTATAAAGTGTAACTTTTCTATTACTTTTGTTTTGCTGCAACAAATGTGGAAACTTGGATTGCTTTTGCAATTACAAACACAACAAACATTCTTTTTTTTTTCTTGTCAGTCATGGAGCTTGGGATCTCAGGGCCTGGGAACTGTCCTGAGTTCTTTTTTTCAAGGCTAGTGCTCTACCAATTAGAGCCACAGTGCCACTTCTAGTTTTCTGCTGGTATATAGGAGATAAGAGTCTTGCAACCTTTCCTGACTAGGCTGGTTTTAAACCCTAATCCTCAGATCTCAGCCTCTGGAGTAGCTAGGATTACAGGTGGGATCTACCAGTGCCTGACTAATAAACATTTTCTGAAGTAATAAAATGCTTTACCTGTTGGGAGAGTGTACTCCTCATTGGACTTTTCTGTTAAGACCAGTGTCCTCTCTCTATTAACTCTTCTTAGTACCTCCTGGATCATATGGATTTCAAGATTTTCCAGAAGCTTCTGAAGCTGAAGTAAGCATAGGTTGAGAGTTATTCTCTGGATTTAGTTGTACGCCGGCCCCTCCAAAGTCCAATTCCTGCAGAAGGGCTTTAAACTCTGACTTCTCCCTCAGCCAATCTCTGGCTGGGAAATGGAAAGGGCTCATTTCTTGGGCTCCCAAGGTCTATGGGATTGGTTATACTTCTGTGGAGAACAACAATTTTTCTTCCTGGCCTGTACTCTGATTGATAAAACACAATTACCCCTCCCCCCCCGCCCCTCCTTTTTTTTTTTCGTCAGTTCTGGGGCTTGAACTCAGCCTGGGCACTGTCCCTAAGCTTTCTTGCTCAAGGCTAGCACTCTATCACTTGGAGCACAGCTCTACTTCTGTTTTTTAGGTGGTTAATTGGAAATAACAGTCGCATGGATTTTCCTGTGGGCTTTAAAATATGATCCTCAGATCTCAGCTTTCTGAGTAGCTAGGATTATAGGTGTGAGCCTGGCAATATAACCCTTTTTTACCCTTTGCTGAACTGCAATCTTCCATATCTGAAGTGATCTCATGTAGCTTTGTTTTTCCTAAGAGTCCCTAAATACTCTAAATGTAGCTGGGAATTTTCTTATTTTGAGAGCTAGGAGTTTTCTTATTTTGAGAAAAAGAGTTACAAGGAGCTGTGTTCCAGATTTTTTTTCTACATGGATACGTGTATATTTGATTTTCTGTTTAAAATAGATAGTAGTTATATTTTCTATAATTTTCCTTGTGCAGGTGCACCTCAATTGGAGGAAAAGAAGAATAATGAAAATCAAAACTTACGAAAAGAACTGAGATGCTAAGGGGGTACTTCTTTGCTTAGGCTACCATATGCCTTTAAACACTTACTTCTCCCTCTATAGCCTCTTTAATGACATACAATCCTTCCATTTACAATGAATTTCCTAGAAGAACACACACACACCCACACACACCATTTGGGTCTAGGTATAGTTTTACATGCAATGCCATAAAGCAGATTTTCAAAGGCAAATTTAAAATAGCTCTTGCATACCTGATGAGTTTTTATTTCCACTTCTGAAGCTCCTTTGGGGGGCAGAATAGATTGACTATTTATTATGAGTCCTTCAAATTCATCTTCCTTCCCCATCTGCTTGGCTAAAGCCTTCATGCTGGGGTAGAGAATATCAGTTCTATCAACAAAGAGAGAGAAAAATTAAGGAAACATATTCCTTTTCTCATTCTGAGTCTTTGACAACTATTTTAATTCATTTTCTGTGTCATCGTGTACAAAATTCCCAGCCCATTCACAGACACATCAACATCTAAATTTATCACTCAGTCAGTCAATATTCAATATTCTGACCTTTTCCCATTGCACACTTATATTAATTTCAATCTTCAAAGTAGTGACAAGAAATATGAACAATTCTCTGGTGACCAAGAATACAGACAATAATAATTTCATCAGATCGATAGTGTTTTTTTTTTGTTTTTGTTTTTGGCAGTCATGGGGCATGAACTCTGGTCCTGGACACTGTCCCTCAGCTCTTCAGCTCAAGGCAAGCACTCTATCACTTGAGCCACAGCATCACTTCTGGTTTTCTGGTGGTTTATTGGAGATAAGAGTCTCACAGACTTTTCCTGCCTGGACTGGTTTTGAACCGCAATCCTCAGATCTCAGCCTCCTGAGTAGCTAGGATTACAGGCATGAGCCACCGGTGCCTGGCAGATTGACAGTTCTGGTGCTGCCAAGATGACCCTTCTGAAGCTGCAATAGTGGGTATGGCTTAGTAAGTGCTATAAGACATGGCAGAAACATCATGCCCTTCCTGCCAGCTAAGTCATGGCAGCTGAAGTCTGCAGCCAAGTTCAGCACCATCTCCAAGACCTAAAGCCTCATCTACTTGCAAGTTATTATCTTCAGGCTGCAACAACTCATGTGCTCAGAAACTCATGCTGAGGGTATAGAAGCCAAAGAGAAGAGGAATCCCTAGTAGCTCTCCAGCCAGAGTTCCTTGGAATTATATCACCTCAAGAGCATGGCATTGGCACTGTGGGGTCACTTGATAAGCAGATTGTAGGGACAGATAGTAGACAACATAGTCCAGTGGACTCCAGCAATATCCCTACAGTTACTATAACCCAGCTTTTTCTCACAACACTGTTGGTAGAGTATTGTTGCTGCCACCCAACTTAATGGAAAAGGTTATGGCTTCCATATGTAATGAGCCTGTGGGGGCACAGGCTCAAGGGTTAAAGGCTAGGTTGCCAACTGGTGGCACTATTTTGGGAGGTTGTCCTAACTTTGGTGGTGGGGCCTCGCTGGGAGAAAGTAGGTCACTGCAGGCATGTCTTTGAAGATTATACTGGGTCTCTAGTCTGCTGCTCGATCTGCTTTCTGGCCACCATGTTGTAAGCTGCCTGTTCTGCCAGGTCCTCCTCAGCAAGATGGGTAGAGCTCTCTGAAACTGTGAGTCAAATAAATCTGTCTTCTTTTTAAGTTGTTTTGTCAGGTATTTTCTTTAATCACAGAGGCAAGAGGCTAATACAGCATCCTAGGATCCATGGATCAAATCTCACCCTTCAACAAGGGACAGAACCTGCCAACCCCCAGACTCCACTCACTAACATGAGTTTTTGCTTCTGCAACACTCACTGATAGAGCTCTGAGAACTGTTTGTAGAGGGCGATGGAGTCCATGTCCTGGCCTCGCAGCTTGAGTCTTCCCCACTGTTCCTTGAGCACTTCCAGCTGCTTCCACAGTATCAGAAAGGATCTAAGCAGGGTGAGGGACAGCACAGGATCACACTTGCCCTCCAGCAGAGCAGAGGCCTTTGGGCTGCTTTGAGCCTGATTTCTGAATCCTGGCAGTTTGGACCAATCTGGCTGAAAGCAAGATAGAAGTTAATCATTATTGATAGTGGACCAGGATGGACTAACTTTGTACATGCACCCATGCAGAACAAAACCTTTGGAGACTGAGTCTTTTCCTCAGGAGGAATGGTTTACGGGACTGTAGCACGGTAGCATCTCAAGATGCTGAATACCCTTCCTGAACAGACAGTGCATAGAAACACCAGAGATGAACCCATGAACACTAGAAATGAACTAGAAACCCATGAAATTGGTAAAAAAAAAATCTCCAATAAATAAAAAAATTTACTATAACTTCACCATGGAGTGTGGGGAAGACTTCAATCTCAACTGTGCTGAGCACTTGCCAGACTGCAGAGGCTATATAGAAAAGGCTGTTTTATTGTTATTGTTTAATTTTTAAGGCAGATGAAATGTTGGTGTGCAAGTAAGAGAGTTTTTTATGCCACATCCTATGTAGCATTAGCACAGCCCTGGTATCCACTGGGAGAGGTTATGGGCAAGATGTGGTTCTCTCATCAATCTCTTAAGAAGGTTCTTCAGTACAATAGGGCACTGGCTGAGCATGTAACTATTTGCCAAGAATACCTGTGTACTTTTGTCCTGTGTGTCTTTCCATCCAGAGGAACCCTCCATGATCATAGGGTAGCTGCTCAGAAGTACATCTTCCATTAGCAGTTGCATGCTCACCAGCTCTTCATGAGCCACCTTGCAGTCACGGTCACTAAGCCCACACAAGCACAGCTACAAACAAAGGGAAAAGAAACCCCTTCCATTTTGAGCATTTCCATGTATTCTTTATACATAATCTGAGGGAAGAAAACTAGAAACAACTGTGTTTATAAAACCCACCCTCTCAATTATGAGAACAATCCATAAGAACCAGAGTAGCATGGCTTACGTCCTCATAACCATATTAGATGGTTGACTTTGTGAAGTATGAAGTTCCAGACCCCTTACAGCAGATTTGTGTATGATGAAACACTGAACGAGAACAAGAGGCCTTGTATTCAAGCCCCAGTACTAGTACACACACACACACACACACACACACACACACACACACACACACACCAGAAAAAAACAATGCAGGAGGCATGGCTTAATGATCAGAGCACCTAATTTAGTAAGTGCAAGGCCCTGAGTTCAAAATTCAGTACTGATAAAATAGATAAGTACAAAAATAAAACAAGGCTATGGGCATGGTTCAGTGGTACAGCAATTGCCTAGCAAGTATGAGGCCCTGCATTCAAACTCCAGTTCTACCAAAAGAGAATGTGTGTGTGTGTGTGTGTGTGTGTGTGTGTGTGTGTGTGTGCGCGTGCGCACGCAATCTGAGTACTATATATAAAAATACTATTATAAATAATACTACTTATTTAATACAATGATTGATACTATTTACTTAATAAGATGATTAAAAGAAGTTAACAATTTAAAAGAATTAAAAGAAACTAACAATGACAAGTGAAAAAAATTAAAAGAAATTCTTCAATTCTTCTTATGAGTCCTGGTTAAAAAGTTCCTTTCTTGCCAGGTAGGTCAGGAGTCACATGCCTCTGAACTGCCAACATCTGCAGTTTCTGCAAGAGGCCCAGACCATGACTAGAGATTGGGGGCCTCTTCTCTAGGTCACTATGCCATGGGAACTTCAGCTGAGGCTACAACCAGGTCTCATTCATACTGAGACCTTGACTCTTCTCCACAGTAAGCAAACATGAGTCACCTCAAAACACTGAGTTTACAGCTTCATAATTAAAACATGGCATGTGTCATAAAGGACTAAGCACGGAATGGCTGGCCTGGGCACTTGGTGACACCTGCTTTGCAGCCTGAGTTCAGCTCTCTCTCCAAGAAGGGGGAAGATATACCTACCTGCATATTATACTCTAGGGTGTCTGGGATGCTACTTATAACTGGAAAGGGTCCTCCATCTTGTAAAGATGCTCTCCAAGGGAACAGTGCAAATGCCTAAAGAACCAAATGTTAGTCATGAAATGCTGTGCTGTATCCATAAGATAAAGGCATCTATCTATGAGCCGGATTTCTGCGTCCATATCCCAATACACTGTTGGATGATATATTTATTATATAAAACACTTCTGATAGTGCATCCCAATGATGTAGAGGAGAGAAGAGGAAAACTCACTTCTTTTTATTGCTTTTGCAGCAGATGCTTTCAGTGTAACTAGTCAGTATCAGTCAGCACTAATCCAACAGGACATATTTATTATTAACAAAAAGAAACCTGCTTGAATGCTTGTGGTATTAGGAACCTTAAAAAGTTGGCAATCCAATTTTAGAAATCAACTCAAGACCAATGCTACAATTTATTACAGTAGGTCCCTGCCTTCTCCATAGACAATACAAGTACCTTCCATACCTGTGAGTCTAGGGCAGCCTTTGATCCAGGAGGCCTGCCAATTCCACCCCATTCAACACTTCAAGGCCTGAGTATGGCTTCAATCAATTCCTAAAGACAGAGCTGATTTTGATAGCAAGGACACCTGCGTGCGGCTCATCCCAGGGGAGGCCCAAAGGCAGAAGGAGCAGGAGCAGGTCCAATAGCCCTGACAAGCAGGGCCCTGGCCCAACTCTGTCTTCTGGGTCTAACTGAAGACCAAATGGGCAGAGAGTCATTATTGCATAGTACAGAAGTGTGGTACATGCTTGGTGTTGATGTAGCATCAGTTAATTAATAATTTATGATAGAAAAACATCACATGGGACATTTTGATTTGAAAGCTAGCTCCACAAATTCTTTGGTACTCTATGCATCCAGAGATGGGGTTTAATTTTGCTCCCCTTTAGTGCAGCTGGATTCGGGGACTGACTTCCAGTGAATCAAGTAAGGCAGAAATGATGGGACATTACTTAGGGAAATTGAAGCAATATAGACAATGACTTCCATCCTGGAGTACTGTTCATTGGATAGTTTTGTTCTCTTGGATTGTTTGTTCTTGGAGAAGTTCTCTGCCATGCTGTGAGCAGGCTCTGTAGAGAAGTCTACCTGAAAAATCTTGGAAGTGAATCTTCTGACATCTACCAATAGCTATGTGATTAAGCTTAGAAGCTATTTCTTTCCCTGCCCTAGGATGATCATAGTCCCAGCTAACATCTTTATTGCAGCCTTATGAGGAATCCTGAGCCAGAACTACCCACATTAGCCACTTCCAGCTTCCTGATCCTCAGAAACTGTGAGAGATAATGAATGCTTATGATCTTAATCTGTTAAATATTGGAGTGCTTTGTTCTTCAACAGATAAGTTTGTGACCTGGTGCTGTCATGATTCTCCAGGAGTCTAACTCTCCCTTCCCTGAACCTTGGCCCCTTTCAAAGGTGGATAATATTCCTGCCTGGGAGCAGTAATAGTTGTCAGGATAGAATTTGATAAGCCATATGGTAACCACTGACCTAATTTATGTCTAGTAATTGTGACCATTATTTACTTAATGGAAGGGATGAAAATATTTGCGTTGCTCCCACCTGGGAGCACACAAGCTGTTGCCTGAAGCAGACTGGAGCATTTGTAGAAAAGAGCTGTCTGGGACAAACAGGTGACCTGGGTGGGAGGCAGGAGGCTCCTTGTATGACTGAAAGTTGGGGACAATCAAAACTGTATTACATTATTGAGACACTTGCAAATTTTAAACCAAATGGAAACACATTGACAAAATTCTCTACATGCCACACACCTTTTATAGGTAGAGAACACCTTTAAAACTCACCTGGAGGCCCTGGGGATCCAGTGGTGGAGGCAGGCCGAGCTGTGAAGCAAAAATGCTCTTCCTAAGGGCGTTGCTCAGTGGTGGCAACCCGTGGCACATGCCATCTGTGACAGACTGGTAGGCAGGGATGTTTCCAGCAGCTAAAAACGTTCTTAACCAAAACATGAGAGACACTGTATTTAAAGCAGTTACTGAAGTTTCTAAAACTCAAAACTGTCTTCAGAGTTACTTAGTAGCAAAATCTCATTTTGACAAGATGCTTCTTCCTCAGCCTGTCATCCACACACCCTCATGGTTCACCGCACTTAACGAAACGTTGATGCACTCTAGACTAGAAGTGCTTTGTTTATGTTTTTTATTGGTGGATATGAAACTGTACAGATGAAGGGGTTTCATCATGACACTTTTCTGGTTCAGGAGTTACCGGGGTTTGAACTGAGAGCCTTGCACTTGCTAGGCAGGTGTTCTACTGCTGAGCTATACTTCCAAGGCCATTTTTTGCAATGATTATTTTGAGATAGGTTCTTGCTTCCTGCCTGGGTATGTACCTGGACCACAATCCACATCCTCATAGCTAGGATGACAGGTATGTGACAACAGTGTCAACTTCTTTCTGTTGAGATGGAGTCTCTTGAGTATTTCTGTCTGGGCTGTCCTGGAGCCATGAAACTCCAGATGTCAGCCTGTTATGCTACCTGAATGACAGGCTGGATCCACTATTCTCAAGTATTGGTGGAAAAGGGACTGACCTTTAACCATGATCCTTTCAAGAAGCTAGGATTACAGGCATGAACTGCTATATCCAGCTTTGCCATGATACTTTTATATGTCTGTAAATGTACTTGGATCAAATTTACCTTCTTTAGACTAGCACTATTTTATAGAACTTTCTGTAATGAGGAAAACACTATCTGTACAGAGCACATGTGGCTGTTGAACACTTGAAATGTGACAACTGTGACTGAGGGACTCAGCTTTTTTTTTTTTAAATAGTTGCTTTATTTGTTTTTGTTTATGTGGTACCGAGGAATTGAACTTAGGGACTCAGAGTGCTAGACAAGCACTCTAGCCACTAAGCCACATTCCCAGCCCTGAGGGATTCAGTTTTAAATTTTATTTCGTCTAAATATTAATTTCAGTTAAATAGCTATATCTGACTACCAAGTTGAATACTACACCTGTAACTCTAGAACAAAGATTTCAAATGTTTGTTCAATTATTTTAAATCCAACAGCCAGGACAATAATTCTTGACTTTTAAAACAAGATTTGAAATTAAATAAGAGCCAGGGGTCAGAGAATGAATGGTTTGGTTTTGTTTTAAACAAAAATTGGCTTTGCGTATCAAGAGCCATAAGCCCTGAAGTCTAGAGCATGAAATTTATACCATAAGCAAATGAGAAGAATATGTACATAAGAAATTAGCTTGACTTTGTAGCAAGGAAGAGGAGAGTTCTAATGGATGCCTCAGAAAAGCTGTGACAGATGGTTAAGTTGGGGTGGGGGTCCCATAGCACAAGGGACCTATGGTCCAAATACTCCATGAGTCAGCAATTTTCCCATCAGGCTTTGTGCCAGCAGGCAGACATGTTCTGTGCTTGTGGTCTTGTGACAGACCTTGTGATATGATCTATTGTACAGCAGAGCAGGAGAAGATCTTAGGTGACTCTATAAGGCTGTTGCCCTGTGGTCTTTGATCTGTATCCTTCCAATTCTTCTCCTCCCAGGCTATGGAAATGAACTTCTCTCATCCCGGCCAACTCTCTTTAGTCCTTTCTTTTTCTTAGTGGTGACAGATTATTGAGGCTTGAACTCAGGGCCCAAGTGCTGTCCCTGGACTCTTTTACTCAGCTATCCTTCAACCATTTAAGTTGTAGCTCCATTTCTGGCTTTTTGGTGATTATTTAGAGATTAATAAGAGTCTCATGGGCTTTCCTGCCCCAGCTGGCTTTGAACTGTGATCCTCAGATCTCAATCTCCTGAGTAGCTAAGATTATGGTCATGAGCCACTGGTGCCTGGCTCAGTTCTTTCTTTTTAAACTTTGGAGAAGTCTTCAGCTACATAAGCAAAATGTTCCCTAGGGTAAACATCCCTATTTGATCAGTCTTACAGAGCTCTGAGAAGGTCCAAGGAACTTCCTTAAGCTTCCTGTGTCTTTTGATTATATAAGACTTTCCTTTGTTTGCAGATTCAGTGGTTCATAAAACGATCAAGAGGGATGACATTTATCTATCAGCTTTTTTTTTATTCTCTTACCTTCTGCCTTCTCTCAGAGTTTCCTTCTCTAGCCAGAATCAGCTGGGACTCAGACTTTGGAGCTGAAAAAGCCGTTTCTAATTCTGGTTTACCTCTTACTTGTTATACCATTCCCATCAAATATAACCTGAAGCACTCTGAAGATAAAAGGCCAGGCAAATGCAATAAAGAAAGGGCTCACAGGGGTGCAACACGGGGCTGATGTAGAAGGAGATATGGGTCAGGGTGCCCTCTGTTCCTGCAGAGTGTACTCAGATGAAGTAATCCTGGAAAAGCATTCTAGAGGAATAGAGCAGTTTCCTTGCACAGTACTAGTTTAGTCCTGCATAGCTGCAACCCAAATCCTCACCATGGGTAAGTTCCTTATGAATTCTGACCTTGGGCTTTCAGAGCCCAGAAGCCTTCTACTGAATGGTCATCTAGCTGATCAGAACCTTTATGTCCTATGTGCTTGACTAACCCAGGGAGCTATCTGGCAACAAAAGAAAATGAATTAACATTGTTATTACATTTTTGTCCTACTGAATTCACAGTTAAGAGTCCTGTGGCAAAGTAAAGAAAATGCAGAAAAGAAAGAAAACTTGAGCTCATTCAGTACAATCCCCACACTCACATTCTCCAACCACACCAAGGGTAGAAAACATAATCCAGATGCAGTACCCGAGGCCCTGGTTGAACAAATATGAGTACTATGAATTAACCAAAAGAAGTTGCTGAATTTTGACAATTAAAGAATAAGCAGAGCTAGGTGCCTGGTGACTCATAACTAGAATCCGAGCTGAGACCTGAAGGATTGAAATAGTAAAGACAGTCTGGGAAGTTAAAATGTTAAATGGATATGTGGCTAAACTGAGTAGAGTACCAGCCATAAGCAAGCATGCCAATCCAAGAATACAAAGCCCTGGTTCAAGTCCCAGTCCTGGCACCAAAAACTTAAAAAAATTGAAAATTATACAAAAGGCAGAGATGCCCAGTCCAGGCCCAACTCTCTTCTCCCATATAACATTTATTCTGGGGTCTAGAGGTATGGCTCATTAGCAGACCATTTGCTAAAAACATGAAGCCTAGAATTCAAAACTTCAGTAGGACCAAAAAAAATACCCAGAAACATTGTGAATCTTAATTCAAACTCAATCCAAATCCTATCAGAATCATAATTAATTAGCCAAATGAAACATTCTTTTTTTTTTTGCATGCACAATACTTAATATGATGGTTTTTTTGAGGTCAAGGGAATTTATAAATTTAACTCCAGGAGCCAATTCTAGCAGTTGCAGAAGTGTAGTGAAAATAAGTAAGTAAGTAAATAAATAAATAAGTGTCTTAGGGATTCTAATCTTTAGACATCTAGAATTTTTACTCTCCAAAAAACAACCTGAATATTGGAAGCAGGTAATTGTGATGCAAACTTCTGAAACTACATTTAATAAAACCAGGCATATTGAAATAGATCTCACTAAGAAAGCCTTGCAGCAGGACACAGTTGGTAGCTGGTGTTCTAGAACTGATTGTGCTTCTGACTATTTTAAGCTTATTATCTAATCTTGCCAGGAGTGGCCGCCCTAGCTGGTCACTGAACAAACACTGGCTCAGCAGAATTTGTTAGGCAGGAATAACTCTCCAGCCCTTACCGGACGAGATGCCTCACTGCTGAATCGAACTGGAGCAACATAACCTCCCTGTGGAGCAGGAGGGCCTGTGCCACCTGGGTTGGATCCTGGGGGCTCTGGAGGCTGTCAAGTGTTTTCTGCAGCTCTTGAAGCTCAGACCCTAGAAGATGGACAGCATTGTCAGACAGTGTGAAATACAGGTTTCTACAGCCCACCCAGTAATTCTTTATTGAACCCCCCCAAAGCTGACTGGTCATCTAGACAGACTTCCCTTCCTTTGTGGATGTACCAATTATGTACTTTTGCAAGATCAGCAAAGCTTTATTCAGTAGAACTGGAGATCTGACTTATCTTTCCTTCCTTCTTTCTTGCCTTGGTAAAACAAAACAAAAGAAAACAAAGCAAAACTTGCTGTGCTTATTATCATAGTAAGAACATGCTATTGAAACTCAGTTTTGAAATTTATAAGACACTATGGTCTCAAAATCGAATTAAAATGAGAAATCATAAAGGACTGGGAAAGTATACTGCTCAGGATATTTAATAGGGACTTGAAATTACATAAATTATAATCAGCATGCATTTTCATTGTCACACCAGCCCTCTCAGCCTTCCCTGCCACTGGCTCATGGACCAATTAAAGCATGTAAAAAATACATGCGTTTATATGCACACATATAAATATATATATATGTGCACACATATATTTACACACATATGCATCTTTCTAATACATTCTACTCATTTTAGGAGTAAGCATGAGAGGACACTACTTAGCTTATTTCTTGGGTACCTATTACAAGAGTAGATGCCATATAAATAAATGTCTACACAGTCAAGTTGGAAATGTAACAGGGAAAATTTTTGGAGCACTCAAGCTGTGTTGAGGAATCTGGCCTGCATCTGGACATCTATCCTGGGGATCTATCTATGTTATTTGGCCCAGAAAAGGGAGTGAATCTGACAAAATAGGAAAGCCCAGCAAAAAGTAAAAAACTCTTAAGAAACCTGAGGGGCTTACGCTCTCAGGACTACCAGAATATCAGCTGGTTAAAATGCTGACAGTCCTTCTGAAGATAGTGCTAGTCTTCTACCCAGAAAGGACATTCCTGCTATGGGAAGAAGGATGGCGAAGTTGATCACTATCCCTGCACATGTATACCAGAATTGCTGGAGTTCCTCCCCCTCCCCCTCCTCCCTCTCCTCCTCCCCCTCCTCCTCCTCTCCTTCCTCCTCCTCTCCCCCCTCCTCCTCCTCTCCCTCCTCCTCCTTCTTCTTCATCTTTTTCTTTCTTCTCCTTCTTGTTTCTTCTTCTTCTCCTTCTTGTTTCTTCTTCTTCTCCTCTTTCTCTTTTCCTCCTCCTCCTCCTCCTCTTCCTCCTCCTCCTCCTCCTCTTCCTCCTCCTCCTTCTCCTCCTCCTCCTCCTCCTCCTCATTTAGACCCAAGCAGTATTTCCCCATTTCCCCCATGTGGCCCAGTTCTGGACCTGCTCCAGCACTGGAGGAAAGCAGGGGACTGTGGGAAGGGGAAGCTCTATGGGAGAGCTTGATCAGGGTTAAAGATTGTTCTTAGTGCTTACAACAATTTCTCTTGGCTCTAGGAAGACTAAGCAATCCAGATTCATATCCATTTGCTGTTTTACACACAACAGAAAAATGGATTCCTGGATTTTTTTTCCTGACTCTCAAATCATTGGTTCTAACAGTCAATTTTTTAAAATGAGTACTCTAAATCTGATAGTCCTATTGGGCTCCAAAAAGGGTATACCAAAAGAGAAGTAGCATCAGAGAAGATGGCACAGGGACTTTAGTGATAACTTGTGAGAGGAGGGTGGTTCCTGAGCCCCAGTGGTTCAAGGCCTAGTTTTGTTTTGTCCATAAGGAATGCATGGTCAGTCCAAGTGGCAAGCAGGGAGAAATGTTTATAATTCTCTGCAATGAGGAAAATATAAAGGTACACATACTTTATGATTAAAGCCCTGAGAATGTACATGGAAATGTATTTGGGCAAGGGCTAGAAGGGAGTAAAAATACATCAAAATACTGCACTTGGTGGAGTGGTTGGGTCATGGGATCACGTCCTCTTGGTGCTGTCTGTACACTCTGAACTGCTTTTCCTCTGTTATTTACTGATTTAAAAAATTTTCATTCTGGCCATCCTTTTTGTGGGAATAGGACCCTGTAGGAGGGGAAGTGGCAGACTAGGCAGGGAGAGGCGCCCAACAGATGATTCCCAGGCATGGGGGGGCAGGCAAGGTGGAACACGAGGAAAGGGAAAGTTTTTCATACCTTTCCCCAGGAGGAAAAGAGAGATAGACAAAGAACAGAGACAGAGGAAAGGAGAAGTAGGGAAAGCTTGAAGTATGTGTATGTGTGTGTGTGTGTGAGAGAGAGACAGAGAGACAGAGAGACAGAGAGACAAAGAGAGACAGAGACAGAGAGACAAAGAGGCAGAGACAGAGACAGAGAGAGAGAGAGTGGCAGAGACAGAGACAGAGACACAAAGAGAGTAGAGTCAGGAAAGGAGAGAGAAAAGAAGACAAAGGAGAAAAAGAGACATAGAGAAAGACACAGAGACAGAAAGAGGGAGAGAAAGACCGAGGAAAGAAGAGACACAAAGGAAAGACAGAGGAGAGAAAGAGACTGAGACAGGAGAAATGGAGGGGGGGGAGGTAAAGGCAAGCTAGCTCAGTGTGATTTGCATTCTTATTCCACTCTGCTGCTTCTCATTGACTGCAGAGGGAGTTGCTGGCTTTCAGGGAAAGAGAGAACTTGCAGGGTGGACAGAATGTTTCCTTGGGCTGTAAGAGCCGCCACTTTGGCTTCTGCCTCTATCTTCCAAGGGGGAGGAGCAAAACCCAAAATCCTGAGAATACATTTTTACAATACTGGAAGCATTTAAGTCCACACCACTCATTTTCTCCACCTCCAAGTAGCTCTGACATGGCTTAAAGGAACAGACTCCTATTTCTCTCTTCTTCCTCTAGCATCAGGAACTAAGCAGCCTTTTAAAAAAAAAAAATGATTATCTTAGAGTGGAATTTTTTTCTTTCTAGTTTACTTAACCTTTTATCTCTTTTCAGCAGATCAGAGCCTGCAACAGTTTCCCCATTCTCCCCCAAGCACAAATGTCTGTCCTTACAACATGCTGAACTGTGCATGTCTAAGCACACACCTTGAAAAACCTGCATCCCACAGGGAAACCCACAGGGCTCAGGGGTTTCCAGTTGTCTAGCACCTAAACAGCAGGAAACAGTGGCTTCTAGGTCCTCACATCTGGACCCCCATCCCACAATGTCTCAACACCACACTGTTGGGCAGATGCACTGGCCACAAACAGTTGCCCTCCCTAGTGTCATGCTGAGATGGTCCCTCCTGTTTCCTCCACTATCCAATCCACTTCCCCCAAACTAGGATGCATGCTCCCAAACCACCTATCTGCAGGCTCTTCCCAGCATGCTTCTTGCTCTCAACTGCTGGAAACTTCCTCATTTGGAACCTGGCTCTGAATCTCTCGACTTCAGTCTCACACCCCAAGGACATGATGGGCACTTGTCTTGGCCACTCTCCTATTTTCTGACCTTTGTGAGAAGTCCGGTAGCCAGTAACTTCGCTAGAGCATCTTACTGTATCTTCTGAGTAACTCTCAATAGTCCCCAGGGTGGAAGTGCTTTGGTACTTTCATTTTTCATGCCAGTCTTGAAGACTTGCACGATGCCCCCTCCTCATGCCTTGCCTCAGCTAGTTATCCTTCTTCCTCCAAGCTGATCACTCAAACCCTCCCCTAGGTCCCACAAAAATGTTCAGATTCCTTCAGCATAGATAGCATAATCCAAATCGATTGGCCACTATCCCGTGTCCGCCACACAGTCGTTCATGCACTGGCCACAGAAGAACAGACTCTCATTATATCACATTTTTAAATCACTAGGTTTAATCAGACTCTCTTCTTAGACCATCTCATTCTTTAAATTCCTGGCTACTGTTATATTTTCCTATTATTGACTAACAGTTACATAACTAGTGACTTTCTGGAATAGGAACCAAATTATTAAATTAAGATCAGATTCTCTGTTTCTGATGAACTCCACTCACTACATATGAGACTATTATTTTTTTACAGTCCTGGGGCTTGAACTCAGGGCCTTAGCACTGTCCCTGAGTCTCTTTGTGCTCGAGGCTACTACTCTACCACTTAAGCCATAGATAGCACCACTTCTGTCTTTTTTCTGAGTAGTTTATTGGAGATAAGAGTCTCATGGACTTTCCTGCCCAGGCTGGCTTTGAACTGCAATCCTCAGATCTCAGCTTTTTGAGTAGTTAGAATTACAGGTATAAGCCACCAGCACCTTGCCATATGAGGCTATTACATAGTATCTTATAAATGCTATAAAATATTAATGCTATAAATGGTTAGACTTGTTTTATAATCTGGGTGCTGAGCTAGGACTCACTGATCAGCGGAGAAGACTAAAGCCTTAAACATTCTTACCACTAGGACTATCAGGTGGTATTAGCTAATGTTAACAGGGACTGCTGCAAGTTTCTTAACATTGAGTGTTTGGCTCTGAACTAGTTGCGTGAGTTCACACTGACCAGGAAGGAAAGGGAATGGAAGAAAACTAATCTTTAGTATGGCCTTGTGCATCCTGCTAGAATTCTTACATAGATTCAAATCCTGAGAACATCTCTATGAGACCGATATTGCTATCTTATTTCATGGATGGACAAACAGAAATACAGGAGTGAAGTGTTTAACATCTACTAACTGATGAGCAGAGACAGGCATTGACATGAGCCTCCTGACTCCTCGGTGCCCTTTGTGGTTTAGGCTATCCATGTGGAATCAATCAGGTAAATGTGCAGTTTGGAGACAGTATATACTGGCACTTCTCCTCTGCCCTTCTTACCACTGTCATTTATAAGGAAATACTGTAGTTCTGGCTTTCCAAGTATTAAGAACTTTATAGAATTTCAAATCAATAGAGGAGGCAGTTTTCATCATCATGAATCACTTACCAATGCCCTCAGTTCCTCCCCAATTGCCTCTCGAAGGGCTAGGACTCAGAGGGAATTCAAAGCATGCTGCACAATTGCCAAGTTTAGCAAAACTGAAAAGGTAGGCCACAATGTCATGGAGAGGGCCTATCAGCTGGAGAGTCAGCTTTAAGGCTCTAAAAGCTGCCTGTGGGGAAAAACCAACACAAGGAACTACATTTTAGGAAGTTGCTAAGAAGCAAAATAAAATATTTGAGTAGATTAGGGATAATATCTTTAAACAAGAATACAGTGGTCCCTCGGTATCTACAGGACAGTGGTTCCAGGAGCTCCACTGGTGTGATCATATGCAGATGAGCAAGCGCTTTATTTAAAATGGAGTGGTAGTTACAAGAGTCTCCTTTAAATCATCTCTATGTTACTTACAATGCCTAATGCAATGTAAATACTATGTAAATTATTGGTGTAGTGTGTTGTTTAGGGCATAATGACAAGAAACAAAATGTCTGTGTATATTTAATACAGATAAAACAATTTTTCCAAATATTTTCAGTAAGTAGTCAGTTGGGTCTATGAATGTAGAACCTGTGGTACAGATGGCTGACTGTATATAAATAAATATTTTTACAATGTATGTAGGATAATATGTGAGAGAAAAGAAAACAACAAGCCCAGTGACTCATGCCTATAATACTAACTATTCAGGAGGCTGAAATTGGAAGGACTATGATTCAAAGCCAGCCTGGGCAGAAAAGTCTTTGGAACTACATCTTCAAAATAATCAGCAAAAGCTAGGCTAGTGGCATGATTGGAGTGGTACCACCCTAGCAAGCGTGAAGTCTTGAAATCAATTCTCTCCCCACTTTCCAAAAGAAAAAAAAATCAAGCCTATTGATGAACTTACTTGTTTTAGACAAAGTCACTCCTGTGGGAATAGAGGAGGAGAAAGGCATGCGTTTCTGTTTATTTAAGGTAATGAATGGCTGTGAATTAATGGAAATGTGTTTGTGTGACCATTTGTGAATTATAAAGGCCACAAACAAGCTCACAGCAGGAACCCATATTCAGACAGCATTGTGAATACCTGAGTGAATAGGCTTAAGCAAAACATGGGCATTTATCTCTAAACAGACTCTCATTTACAAAGAAAAGTCAGATTATTGCCCAAATGCCATATTCAACCTTGCAATTCTATTTAACACATGCTTATGTATTTTATGTGTTTCTATATCTATTTTTTGTGGTTATCAATATTATTCTCTAACAGTAAGTTAAGGTTCATAGAAAAAGCCCTCAAAAATTAGTAGCTGGACATCGTGGTACACTCTGTAATCCCAGCATTTGAGAGATTGAGGCAGATGGATTATAAATTTAGGTCTAGTGAGATGGTGTCTAAAAAATAAAAATAAACATCCCCCAAATTCAGCTACTAGATGCAAGTGTAATCCTTATCTCTCATTACCTACAGACAGGGTTTTATTGAAATGTTTGGGGGACACTAAGAGTTAATAAGGAATGTCAGAAGCTCATGTTACTGTTTATAAATGATCAGAAAAAAAACAGAACTTGGGATATAATAAGGCCTGGCAGAAATTACAGAAAAACGTATTAGGAGCTATGAAATGATTTCAGTTACTAAACGTGTCCTAAAACAAACAAGAGGTGGTGTCTGTCATTGCTGTGTTTAACCAGTGAGACGCAAGAAAATAGCCAGTTTCCATTTGGACACATCCAGAAAATACAAACCTTTTCTGGCAGAGTTTTGAACATAACTAGCACTTCTGAAGGATGGGGTATGAACCACAAATTGAGGAAGACTTTTCCATCGGCTGACAACAAACTCCAGGGCCGGGGTTGAAAATGCCTGTAGCATTGGAAGAGAACACCAGTCACACCAGTTTTTCCCCAAACCAGAAGCATTGTGGGCTGCCTGAACTTAGGACACAGGCCGCAGGCTGTAGAGGCCTGTCACCACCTGCCCAGTCCTAGCCCCACAGCAGCGGGCCTCTTTTGCAGCAGCTCCCAGTTGGCCAGAGTTCATTATAAATAACCCAGCAGGAAAGGCAGTTGGGCTGATTTTAGCCTAAGCTATGTGGTAGGGATGTCCTTGAACACAGAGGGAGAGAAAGTGTGGTAAGAAAGGAAAGGAAGGACAGGACTTAGGAGTTTGCCATCCTACCTGGAGCTCCATTCTTTATTTTATATCATGTAATGCTTCTTACAATCTCAGGATGGATCTATTTTTGTTCCTGTTTCACAACTGAGGAAATTGAGGACTTAAGACATGATGCAGCTCCTGCCTACCAACTCCTAAGAAACCAATCTGGGTTCCAGACAGCAGCTCCATTTTTCTGCCAGATACCCCAGCCTCTAGGCTTCTTCTGCTTCCCTCTGTCTCCGTTGTCCAACTCCAAACACCTATCACTTTTAGACTGTCCCTGCTGCAGTTTATATACTACATGCTATCTGCTATGTCTGGAATAAGGATTGACACAAGCCCAGGTGCCTGGCCTGAGAGAGAAAGAGAGAGAGAGAGAGAGAGAGAGAGAGAGAGAGAGAGAATGTCACAAGCATTCCTATAGCCTGGTGCATGCCTCCTTGAACAACCTTCTTGACTTCACACTAACCAATACCTTGTTGTTATTTGTAGTTTTACCCCAAATAGACATACCAGTAAAAGGTACTCTGTTGGGTTTTGGCTGTTTCATACAAATGGAAACCCTCTGTGTACAACACTGCCCTTGGAGGGAGGTGACATGCTGACCTGGTTTCTGATTGTCCTAGGAGTGAGGTGGCCCAGAGCTATCGAACCTGGTTAACTGTGTTTGGCTGGGGTGTGGGTAGTGGTGGCTCACCCAGTTAACAGGGTAGGGAATTTGGCAACGAGGGACCTGATTTTTATTCCAATTCCATCATCCATATATATATATATATATATATATATATTTTTTTTTTTTTTTGGTCGGTTGTGGGGCTTTAACTCTGGGCCTGTCCCTCAGCTCTTCAGCTCAAGGCTAGCGCACTACCACTTGAACCACAGCGCTACTTCTGGTTTTCTGGTGGTTAATTGGAGATAAGAGTCTCATGGACTTTCCTGCCCGGGCTGGCTTTGTATCAGGATCCTCAGATCTCGGCCTCCTGAGAAGCTAGGATTACAGGCATGAGCCCCTGGCGTCCGGCTCATCATCCATGATTCTATGGCATTAAAAACTCTTTTGTCTCTTCATAGTTAATATGAGGGTAACAATTTCTAACTTACAGGACTGATGTGAGGAGAAAGTATTAAAGGAGCACATAAAAAAGCATTTTGCGAGTCGTGTGCTACAAGGTTTGTCATTCTGCTAATGTAGAGGTGTGTGACATTTGGAGCAGTAAAGAAGCCCAGGGTGGGCAGGAGCCAAGGGTGCACAGGGAACCTGAGAGTCATTCGTTAAGAACTGGGGCCTGACTCTCCAGACAGGATGTCCCAGAACTGAGGATCCTGTGGGAAGAGCAGAGAGCAGGACTACTTCAGGTTCACGTGGATTTTGCTGGAAGAGGCCTCACAGGAAATAGCAGAGGGAGTGTGGAGCCCTCACCCCCACAGTCGCCTGGCCACTGAGCCTGGGCTTAGGGAGATGAACCCTCTGTTTGTCCCATCCTTCCCTACGTCATTCTTCTGGCTACAACTACTGTCTATTTGCCAGTGACTCCTACATCTACATAGGTGGGCCTGGCCCCTCCTCAGCCACAGAGTTCCAACCCACTCCTTCTTAGCTGGCAGTGCCTCAGACCAGCCCTGTCAAAAAAAAAAAAAAAAAAGGCAATACTCAAGTTGCTCACCCCTTACAGCCCAATTCTGTGTTTACCATGTTAGGGTTTCACAATGCCTCAGTCCCCAGAAGCCAGGGAGCCAGGGCGATGTTTGTAGACTGTCCCTTCTCATTGCTCCTAAGGCTCTAAGGATTCTATTGTTTAAACCACTCATATTTATACCCAATTTTCATTTGATTTCCACTGTCCCCACAGGAGTCTCATTGGGAGGATCTCATCATCTAGGGGGCATTATAGAGAACTTTTGACTATCATGATGAGGAATACATTATTTCTTAGTCTTGTGGTGACTCAGATGACCCTTCTTTCTTACTGAAGTACAACACAGCTCTTCAATCTTTTACCTGAAGGCAGAGTCTTTTCAGTTCCAAATACCCACCTCCCTTTTTTAGTGCCAGTACTGAGACTTGAACCCAAGGCATCCAACACTTGCATGGCTTTTTTGTTTTTTACTCAAGGCTGACAGTCTATCACTTGAGCCAAACCTTCACTTCTTACTTTTTCCCTGTCAACTGGAGATAAGAGTCTCTTGGATTTGTTTGCCTAGGCTAGCCTTGAATCATAATCTTCAGCTCTCAGCCTCCCGAATAGCTAGGATTATAGGCTTCTGGCTCTAAGTACCCTTGACTAGAAAACATAAAACAACAACAAAACAACAATTTTCTTAATGTAAATCACTGGGCCTAAGGCTACCTTTCAAATCTCAGAGTTTTAATCAGTTAATTCTCAGCTCAGAAATAAAAGCATGGTCTTTACGGAGAACTTCATTTCTTAGCAACCACAGACTATTCCAGTCTTGAAGCAGATCAAAGCCAGCTTAATCCAATCCTGTCTCTATTTTCAGCTTGTAGTGTTTGATGGTGTCAGAAAGAGATACTGAATATAAAAAATAAAAAGGAAGTCTGAGTCTGGGCATGTGGGACTGTGGACCATAAGTGGGCTATGGTGGAACACAGACCTTGGTCTTGGAGAAGCCCTGGGAGCTATAAGGCTCTCTCCCTAGTCCATGTGTGGTTTCCTGTTCAGCAGCCACCTGCCTAGGAAGAACAGGAGCTTGATAGGAGAGTAGCTTGGTGTCAGCCTGGTCTCAGTCTTACAAGGAGACTCATTGCCACCCCTTGTGGGTAGCCTAAGAACTACCTGGCCTTGCAATTCCCTTGGCTTGTTAATATAGTCTCCCTTCTTTATTTTTCTTCAGTTACTGCCTTCTAGGCTACACCTCAACTCCTGGAACCATATCACGTCCAAAGTCTTAACTTTCCCAATTGGAAGCTCTTTGTCTTCCAGTTTGCTCACTCACTCAGTCACTCCACTACTCGCCCCTAGACTTTCCTCATCCTTAGCCCATCCTTCCTATTATCAGCCCACTCCAACCTCAATTCCTTCCTGACCCAGACTGGATCTCAGCCAAGCACTGTGAACTACGCTCTTAGTATTGAGTTCGGATTCATTGTTCTCATAACCCACCCACCTCGCACAACCCCAGCTCCAGATCCCTCCAACAACTAGAGCTTTTGGCTCTAGTTACACACTGCTGATCACAGCTGGAAGAAATCATAGCACTAATATTGACACAACAAGTAAATGACTTCCAGCCTGAGCTCTGTCACTCTGGGATTCTCCTTTCTCTCTCCTTTGATCAGCTATCGAGCCTATTTCCTTGTTCAATAATTCCAAGCCTTCTTTATGCCTAGTGCCAATTCCTGCCAGCAAATGTCAACATGGCCTGCTATTTTGTGGAAGAGTGAAAGGTCTTTGGAATGGAACTCCGTCCACTTCCTTTTGACCCATACTCTCCTTTTCCACCAAAGGCAAAGTCTGAGGGGACCACTTGGTGTAGAAACAACCAGCCAAGCAAACATGGCACTTGGGTAGAAGCACACCCTAAGGGAAACAAATGAAAGTGCAGAGAACCCCAGAAAAAGAAGCATAATAAGCTGCTGGGAGACCAGGGGAAGAAAAATCACAGCATAAGATTTCAAGTTATGAAACTGTGTGTGTGTGTCTGTGTGTGTGTGTGTGTGTGTGTGTGGTACTGGAGCTACACATCAGTCCTAAATACTGTCCCTTAGCTTTTTCACTCAAGGCTGGCACTCTGCCACATGAGCCATTTTTTCACTTCAGCATTTTGCTGATTAATTGGAGGTAAGAGTCTCATGGGCTTTCTTACCTAGGCTGGCTTCAAACCACAATCCTCAGATATCAGGCTCCTTACTGTACAGTTGAGTAGAACTAAGTCAGTTCACACTGTTGTGCATCCATCACTACTCTGCATCTCCAGAGGGCTCTGCTATCTCCTATTTATTCAAGCCAGGACTAGATCCCTCTTTCTCCCTCAGCTCCATATTACATTTGGCACCTGGCCTAGCTGATTTCATCAACTAAATATTTCTTGTCTGTACAATTTTAGGAATCTCCCAAGTGGTGTCACTGACAATCATTTTGCTCCCTTTCTCTCTGTGACCTGAAGGACAAACCCCAGACTTCTGGATCTTGTCCCATTCCTTTGTACACTGCTTTCTTCACAGATTGTGAGGACTTCTGCAAAGAAGTCATAGCCCATCACATGTCTCCGTGACTTTGCTCTCTCTCAGCTCTAGCTGAATTTCCTTCCTTGCCCATGTAGACCACAACTTATCACTCAGACCGAGGTTAAACATCTGTCTTCCTTGAAGCCTTCTTTTCTCCAGTATCTCCAATCCTTCTAATAATACTAAGCATTTCTTGGCAGGTACTTCCATTGAATATTTATTTTCTTTTGTTCTTTATCATGATGTATAGTTATTATTTATCCATTTTTTTCCTGGCTTGGCAAGGGTTATTGTTGAACAGCATGTGGTGGCACCAAACTTGTCATGTATTGTTCACATTGTGACTGGAGCCAATCAGCAGTGTCCAAGACCCTGTACTTTACTTGCCAGACCCTGCACTCACTGTGGAGCTATGTCTGCCCAGAGGAAATGGTACCTGGTTGTAATTTGCACTAAATGGCTGCATTGGATGACAGTGGCTCTGCTTGTTCCCTAGTAAGTGTTCAATTAACCATGACAATTCTGTGTACTCTGTTCCTCTGTCAGGCAATGCTATTGTTCAGAGTGCACCTGAGTGTGTTCAGTCTCCTTTGCACTCATGAAGGGAATGGAAACCTCCCATGAGGAGAATGGACTTTTGGGAAGGAGCTCCTTTTGGTTCCTCTTTGACAGAGAGTTTGGTTTGGGAGGACTCGGGAAATCTAGACATAGTAACTTCGGATTGTTAAAAAAATTAAGTTGCATCTTAGAATATTAAGCCTACAGAACTCATGGGGGCTCTTCTAGTCAAGGAATGACAGATGCATAACAGGGAGGCTATATTTCCTCCTGCCATTCTTTCACCACAGCAGACATTGCCAATCAATTACCATGCTCACACTAACTTGAGAGATCTCAGAATCCTGACTAATGAATTGTTGAAACTGACATTTAAAGTAAAGCTTATCTGTTATCTTTAAAGTAGCCTATCCCCTTATTTTATGAATGAGCTGAGGATCTCTTTCCTTCATGACCCTTATCCTTCGATTCTGCCTCTCTATCTCTAGTTAAGCACAGGGGTGACTCCCATACAATCATAAAATGGCCCCTTTTCAGAAAGTCTTCCCTTAGCAGTCCTATTTCTTGGAATTATGGTCTAGACACACCAGCACTGAAAGTGATAACACGTTCAACTTCAGACAGTTGTTTCAGTTTCCTCACTCATGAGAGGAGGATGAAGTTCAGAGATTGGAGATAAGTGATTTGCCTAAGACCTCAGGGAAATGCATGATTCCAGATATCCCAGTTACCAGCTGATGATTACGGTTTAGATTTGGTTTAATTATGTCCCTCACAAGAAGGTTTCATGTGTTGAGGTCTTGGTTCCTAAGGGGGCATCGCTGAGAGTTAGCGGAACTTTTAAAAAGTAAGGCCCAGAGAGGTTCTTCGGTGCCCTTGGAAGGGATTGTGGGAGCAATGTCTGCCTTCTTGACTTTTGGTGTCATTTTGTTCTTATATGTGCAGTCTTACTATAAGGGGGCACAGCCAAGAGGGGCCTTCTCACCGGCTGATAGTGGGACCATCCCTTTGAACCTCCAGAAATGAGCTAAATAAACCTCTTTATTAAAAATAAAGACATCCTACCTCAAGCATTTTGTTATTAAAACACTTGTGTTTTTAATAAAAAACTGGGTCTATTTTTCAATAGGCCTTCATTAGATAGGACATAGACTTTGGAGCTAGAAAGAATCTTGTACAGTACTTTCCCCAAACTTCTACAAAAGACTGAAATTCCATTTTTCACACTCTTATCAATGTATATCTTAAAAGGGACGTATTGCCGGGCGCTGGTGGCTCACGCCTGTAATCCTAGCTATTCAGGAGGCTGAGATCTGAGGATTGAGGTTCAAAGCCAGCCCGGGCAGGAAAGTCCAAGAGACTCTTATCGCCAATAAACCACTAGAAAACCGGAAATGGCGCTGTGGCTCAAGCAGTAGAGCGCTCGCCTTGAGCTGAAGAGCTGAGGGGTAGCACCCAGGCCCAGAGTTCAAGCCCCACGACCAACCAAAAATAAAAATAAAAAAATAAAAGGGATGTATTAATATGTAGAGAGTTTATAAGCAGGAGATGGGGTAGTGAAGAAACACTGAATCTGTGTCTGTCACAGCCCATCTACTGCCTGCCTATGTGGCTTGGGGCTCGGTGACACCCACTGTGATCATACTTTCTGTCCTGAGACCCTGCCCTGAAACTCTAACTAACTCCACTAACTGACCAGATGGCTCAGAAATCAAAGCTCGTTGTCTTGAATGACCATATTCCTTAGCCTCTAGGAACTATAAACATTTTCAAGACACAACAAGGAAATAGGGCAAGACATACATATTAAAAAGATTCCCTCCCTTAACCACTTTGGAAAGCAGCATGGAGGTTCCTCAAAAGACTCCACATAGAGCCACCCTATGACCGAACAATCCCACTTTTGGGCATTTACCCAAATGATCACAAACAAGACCATACTAAAGCTACCAGCACAACTATGTTTATTGCAGCATTATTTACCATAGCTAAGATATGGAACCAACCCAGATGCCCCTCAGTAGATGAATGGATCAAGAAAATGTGGTATATATACACAATGGAATTCTATGCCTCCATCAGAAAGAATGACATCGCCCATTAGTTAGGAAATGGAAAGACTTGGAAAAAATTATATTAAGTGAAGTAAGCCAGGCCCAAAGAAACATAGGTCCCATGGTTTTCCTTATTTGTAATAACTAGTATATGTCTGAGATAAGCAGAAACGGTCAGATAAGTTGATGTTAGGCGAAATGAACCCCAAGGTAAGGACTCAAATGGTTTTTCTTTCTTGCTATTGTTTCTAACATATTTATAAGATGATTTCTTTGTTGCTTTGTATGTCCCTCCCCCATGGTATAACTCCTGTTTTCACTGTATTTGATGTTGGTATAATTTGGGGAGGGGAAGGGAAAAAACAAATTGTTTAATAGGGATACAGGTGGCCCCTTGCAACAGAGATGTATAAGACGTTATGTCAAAAAATGAACTTTACAACTTTGGTGGTGGGAGGAATGTAGTTGTGTGGTGGGAGGGAAGGGATGGTAAAAGAAAAGCAAAGGAAGAGGCAACAATGCTTGATAAGAAATGTACTCATTGCCTTGCTCATGTAATTGTAACCCCTCTGTACAGTATTTTCACAATAAAAAAAAGATTCCCCTGCCTTCACATCCCTATTTGATTGCTGAAAATTACACAGATCAGAAACAAAAACAGCTCTCCTGAAGACAAATAATCCCCAAAGGCAAATGAAATCATGGTTCACTATCTGCAAAGAAGTTTTAAAGATTGATCCCAGAGGTAGATTGGGCTTACAAATGGTCACCTTGGCTGGAGGGTGGGGAAGTAATGAAATAAGACATTTTAGATGATATGTCTCTGATTCTCCCCATGAGAGAAGCTGCCATTCAGTCTCACTGAGTGCCTGTATCCACTCAAACTCTTCTGCAAAGGAGTCATGGAGGTCTGTCCTCTACGCTTCTCTCAAATGCATTCTTCCCCTAGGAAAATTCTGAAACCTAAAGTGGACCAAATTCATAGAACAGAGACCAAGCTCATAAAACCAAACCCTGCTATTTAGAAGTAGGACACCTGATAAGTAAAAACATAGGAGTGGCCTTTGTGTGGATAGTCAGTTCTTCGTCTGACTTGACTAGCCAAGGGCTTAAAGAATTCAACTTCTTTCAAACTCTAGACTTATATCAATGAGTCCATTTTCTTGCGAAATTCCAACTTTTCTGTGCCTGCTTCTTTGAATTCCTTCCTGAGGCCCTGAGGTAGAGTCAAACATTCCTCCTGTGAACCTTTACATGCCTCTTACTGACCTCTACCACATTACCTCTGAAGTTGTTTGTTACAGAGATTCCTCCATTAGACTGAGTTTATTGCTAGAGTCTATGACTTACTCACCTTTGTACCACCAGCTACATCCAAAGTACCCAGAACTAGGCAAGCACTGGACAAACAATGAACAGTAAGTATACACAAGAATGAGTGAGTGTAAGATGTAAGTGATCTGTCTATTCCCTTCATCTGTTCAGTCTATGATCTTTAAGTGTTATTGTTACTGAAATTCCAAGCTTTAAGTGAGAGAGTAAAGGAAGAGGTAAGCTCACCCTACAGGGTATTTTTGCTCCTTCTTGAAGACCATATAATGCTACCCTCACTTTTAAAGAGGTATGGTTAGTGACTACACAAGTATGCTAACTGCTTTGTCCAGGTGAGTGAATTCTAGGTAGGCCAAGATAAGAACTTTTGTGGTGTTGTGGCTCAAAGTGGTAGAGCACTAGCTTTGAGCAAAAAAGCTCAGGGATAGCTCCCAGTTTGAACCCCATGACTGACAACAACAACAACAACAACAAAAGTAATATGCTTCTTTGGGGTGGGAATGTGGCTTACTTAGTGGTAGAGTGTTTGCCTAACATGCATGAAGCCCTGGGTTTGATTCCTCAGTATCATATAAAAACAGAAGTGGTGCTAGAATGCTTGAGCCAAAGAAGCTCAGGGACAGTGCCCAGGTCCTGAGTTCAAGCCTGAATATTTCTTCTATTCTATTGAGTAGAATATTTGGAGTTAGGATAGTTCAAAATCAAACTTATTTATTTACTTAGTTTTGGTTACTTAAGATAAAGAGAAAAAAGTTACTATATGTGTGCTTGTAGTGAGCATCACACTCAAGGCCTGGTGCTCTTGTTGGCCTTTTTACTCAAAGCTAGAAATCTACCACTTGAGAGACTTCTTTAGCTTATACTTTTAAAGCCTTTGTGTAGTGAGAGTGTTTGGTGGTGCAAAACTGCACACTTTACGGCCAAGAAACAGAAAAGAGGAAAAGACTGGGATTTTAGAATCCCCTTCAAGGACATATCCCCAGTGACCAAAAGGCCTCCTACCAGGCATCGCCTCCTAAAATCCCCAAGAATGTATCTCTGGGGAGCAAACCTTTTCCACACGAACTTGGGGGACACTTAAGAGCCAAATTTTAGTAACAGTGTTTTTATACTAAAGTTACCACATCCCTTCCTGGGGTAGGGTCTAAGAGGTAGAATAACAAGCTCTGAAGGAGATTGCTCACCTTGGGTCTGCCTTGAAGTCCTCCTTAGTGTCCTTTAACCGTTTCTTTTCTTGTGGTTGTCCCACCATGAAAAAAGTATCCCTGATGGTAGGGAAATCTTCCAGCAGGGCCCTCAGACTATTACAATATGCTATGATCTGGCTCCGGAGAGCATAATGAGACATGTGGCGGTTAAAGCTGTAAGTCAGAAAGAGACAAATGATGTTCTAAAGGAGAATCCAAGTTGCTGCACCTCTCACAGAAGTTACAGGACCTTGCAGGGCTTTTCAAAAAGAATGGAGCATTTCTGATAAAAAGAAATTTTCCATTTGGCTCAGATTGGTACTGTATGAAACCAGAAGTATCAACATTTTCAAAGTATCTCCCATCTACTTGTATGTTCCCCTGTATGTCAGAAGACAGGTAACAGTTTAACTTGGATCTAGCCCAGTGGGCTGTGGTTTATTTAAGCATGAGTCACCACGATTCATTGTCTGGATTTCTTCTTTTTCCTACAAAATAACACAATTTTTACTTAATCAAATCTTACATGACATTAGAACCTTCAGATTGGAGACCCAAGGACCTAGGGTATGTGTGTATGCATGTATGTATTTATGCTGGTCCTGGGGCTTGAACTTAGAGCCTGCGCACTGTCCCTGAGCTTTTCTGCTCAAAGCTAGCACTCTACCATTTGAGCCACAGCTCTGCTTCTGGATTTTGGTGGTAGATAATTGGAGATAAGAGTCTCCTGGGCTTTTCTGCCTAGGATGGCTTTGAACCGTGATCCTCAGATCTAGCCTCCTGAGTAACTTGGATAATAGATACAAGCTGCCAACACCAGGCTGAATTATCATTTTAAAGCTGAGAGTCAATGAAACATGGATGTGTAGCAATAGCATTAAAGAAAAGGGAAAGATGGATTTATAGACTTAAGAGAATATACAACTTATCTGTTCAGATTTTTCTTAGCCTCCCTGGGAAGCATTCCTTCCTTTTGAGTGTGGGATAATACCCTTTATGAAATGTACCTTATTTATGTATTGTCTAGATTTTTGCAAAATATGGCTGGTAATCTGGCTTAAAATCAGAGAAGTCATCATATAATATTCACATCTGTTACACTTACTTCTGACAATATTCAATTATAACATCCCTTTTGACTTTTCCAATTTCATCCTGTGATAAAAGAGAATATTTTTATCAGACAGTTGGCTGTGTGGAGTATTCATCCTAGTACATGTGTACAAATGAATGGCCCACTCCTAGCAGGAAAAGGCCACGGAGCTGAGACATTGTTTTGGGGGGCACACTAATTGGGAGAAACCCTTCTGCGAGTCTTCTTTACTCATACACATCTTGCTGAGTTTACCAAAAAATGCCAGGCCCTGGCTGCTTTTTACCCAGATCATTTCTCAGGATTTTGTGTACAGAGAGCAATCTTGAGGGGTAATATCTCCCTCTAAGAAAAATAACCACTTGCTATAGAAGAGGTAAGTCCCCAAGCTCAGTGTTTTTAAACTGTGATACAAAACCATTGGGTGCATGACACAAACTCATTGAACTTGGGAGAGAAGGGAAACAGACATAAACCTGAAGCTCTTGCTATCTCCTCTGTTGTAATGAAGTTCTTTGTCTCTGACCTTGAGGTCTTATGCCATCTGCCACCATCCATAGTACAGCTAACAGGCTAACATTAACTTGCAGGTGGGCTAAAATTCTAGAGCCTTACAAAACACCATTATGTTGCTTGAAGTCTTTCAGATCTGGTAGGTGTAAGAATAATCCTGGAGGTTAGGTAAAGTATTTTTTGGCTGATATTAGTTATATGGGAGGTGGTGGATTTCATTGTTCCATCTCCACATATGTCACACTATATTTCTATCAGTTTCACCCCCTCGATCACACTCCCTGTCTTCTCCCCCTTAAAAAATAGCATTCCCCATAGGTTTCCCTAGGTAAAGAACTATTATATATATAGTTCAGTATGGGTCAATATTGTTTTGAGAACTGCTTTATTGGGAGTGGGGAAATGATGGATTTTGCCTCCACTGTTGCTCATCAATCAATAAGAAGGTCTGGCTATTTTATGTCTTATTGGTAGAACTGGATTGGGCAAATTTAAGTCCTCAGTTTCAGTCACAGGTAAAGTCAAATCTTAGAGATGATAAATCTTGCATTATAACTATCAGTACAATAATTTTAAAAACCCTGTCAGTATAATAACTTCCTCATCAAAGATGAATACTGAAACAATATGCACAAAGTTAAGCAAAGCTAACAAATTAAGGGTTTCAGCTGTATCATATTTTAAACCAATTAGACTAATGTAAGAACCTGTAAACAAGAACATGTCAGTAGTGTTTAAGAAACCAAGGTAACAGGTGACCAGTTACCTTGCCAATGTTACCAAAACTACCTGGGCTTACTCAAGACTAGGCAATATGCCAGTGCAGAAGCTGAAACTAGTCTATTCAGAAGGTGGCAAACAGAAAATTGGCCTTCATTGTATTTTAAAAAAAAAAAAAACATCAACCATAAAGCCAGGTATCAGTTGCTCACACTTGTAATCCTAGCTATTTCAGGAGGCTGAAATCTGAAGATTGTGGTGTAAAGCTGGCCTAGGCAGGAAAATCCATGATTGTTATCTCAGTTAACCAATGAAAAGCCAAAAGTGGAGCTGTGGCTCAACTGAAGAGCACCAACCTTGAGTAAAATGGCTAAGGGATAGTACCTGGCCCTGAGTTCAAGTTCTACTACTTGCACAACACACACATATACATGCACAACACACACACACACACACACACACACACACACACACACACACACACACACACACACACACACACACACCTGTAATCTACTTGAATCAACTACTGATTGAGCTCTCCCTTTTAGTTCTTTACAATATGTTTTCAATATTCTTATCCAAGTAGGTTGAAAGCCACAGATTCCAAGCTAAGAAGTTGTCTTTGCCTAAGTATAGAGGAAAAACAGAGCTTCCGGGAGCTCCTCTCTGTACTCACAGGGTTCTTTGTTTGGTCAGCCATGGTCTGCGTTCTGAGGAGGAAGGCATTGAGCATCATGTCCCGCAAGCCCACCTTCTCTAGTTGAATAGACACAAAAGCCTCTGGAGCTCTGGCAAGTGAAGAGAGAGACATTTGGATCTGAAGTGGGGTGGGGGGGCTGAGTGGACATGTATGAAGAAAACTCATATGCTGCCATTGCAGCTGGAGGGCAGAGGATTGTGTCTCCAGGGGTTTCTGATTATTCTCTGGGGTCAGTGATGGGCCACTGTGCTCCTTGGAGACTCCATTGTACAGCATATATCAGTAGTCTCTCCTTAGTCCTAAACATCACAGCCTGGCCCAGTGTGCAATCCTAGCCTTTGCCATTGGTGTAGCTAGCCTGGGATGGCCTCCCAAAAGTCTTCTTTACTAGATATGCTGACCTTGAATCTTTCATCCACACTCTGGGACTGTAAATTGAAGCCTTATGAAGGCTGGCCAAGTTAGACCAACAACATCTTGAGTCATACAGTTGCTTTGCCCATTATTTTTTATTTGAAATTTGCCATAATTAAATTACCGTGTCATTGGTATGGTCCCAACAATATATTCAGAATAATTAGAATAATTATAATTATTTGAGAATTTTTTTCTCTGTTGTGACAAAAAGAGGTCAAGACATAATAGGACATCCCTAATTCAGAGACACATCCCAATGTATATATATATTAGGTTTGAACTCAAGACCTTGAACTTGCTTGACTTTCTTGCTTACAGGTACCATTCTATCATTTCAGCCACATCTTCTGCTTTTTGCTGGTTATTTAGAGATGAAGTCTAGTGAGCTCCTAGACTGGCCTTGAATCAAGGTCCTCCAGATTTCAGCATCTTGAGTTACAGGAACATGAGCTACCGATGCCTGGTATATTCTTAGTTGACTTAAAATAAGATATGTTTGTTATTTTAAACAATTTTCCCCACTAGGCACAATACCGTTTTGTGGTCTGAAATTTTTCTGAAGAATGAGTATGGGTATCCGGGACTCTTGGCATTGGGGATGACAGCAGGTTGTCCATGCCATTCACAATTCTGGAATTCCTTCTTCTGGATGGACTAATTCCACTATGAGTCCTCAGACTTGAATTGATTTCCTAAAACATTTCAAATCAAAGCAATTGCAGTTTGTTGGGCGTATAAGTCCTTAGTGCTAGATGTAATATTATCGTATAACCACAATTGACCCCAAACATATGGAAATACTTGAGTACACAGGAAAGAGGGAAGGGAAGGAGGATAAAGAGAAAAAATGAGAAAGAAAGAGAAGAGAATGAAGAAAAAGGGAAAGGGAAGGGAAAGGAAGGGAAAGAATGGAAGAGAGGTACCACTTTGCACAACACAGGAATAGGGCCTTACATATGACTATTTCCAGAATACAATTGTTTAAAGTGCTCTGAAAAAAACACTCTCCATTCTCAAAATTGTTAGATGGATTGATCTGTATAGAGTGGTCCAAGAAATATTGCTGATAGATTTCATTGCTATATTCTTTATAAAAGAATTATTGGAAGGATAAATAAAAATCCAATGCAATAATTTATCTATAAAGGTAAGGGCCAAGGACAAGGGTATTTTTGCTGGAATTCTGTGCCTCCATCAGAAAGAATGACATCGCCCCAGTTGTTAGGAAATGGAAAGACTTGGAAAAAATTATACTAAGTGAAGTAAGCCAGGCCCGAAGAAACATAGATCTCATGGTTTCCCTTATTTGCAATAACTAGTATATGTGTAGGACAAGCAGAAAAGGCCAAAAACTATATACATATGACCATATAAGATGACGTTAAGTGAAATGAACCCCAAGACAGGGACACAAATATCTTTTTTCTTTCTTGCTATTGTTTGTAATATATTTATAATGTACCATGTGATTTTTTTTGTTTCTTTATATGTTCCTCCCCCATGGTATAACCCCTGTTTTCACTGTATTTGATGTCAGTGCCCTGCATCTTCTATATACACTTCTTTAATTCAGGGAGGGGAAGGAAAAAAATGAAATGCTTAAATAAGGATACAGGTTGACCCACTGTAACAATGAGATGTCCAAAACACTATGTTGTAAATGAACTTAAAACTTGGGGAGCTAAGGGAGTAGTTGTGGAGATGGGAGGAAAGGGATGGTAGAGGTAAAACAAAGGAGGAGGCAACAATGCTCAATAGAAAATGTGCTCATTACTTTGCTCATGTAACTGAAATCCCTCTGTACAGCATTTTTACAATTAAAAAATGTACAAAAAGAAAAGAAAAATCAAAAGGTAGTATGGTATTGATGTGGCTTACCTAGGTATAGAACAAAATAAAGAGGTAAACTGCCTGGTGGCTGGAGGGTGATGTCTCCAGAGGAGGACATTAGGTGACCACTCACATATAGAAAGGAAGCCCACTAACACAGTCTGACCTACATGGCCACCAACTGTCCTCTTTTTCATTGAAATGACACCTCCATATTATTAGCCCTACAAAATTGCCTGTTCCCATCCTGCATCTGATTCTTTGATGCATCTGAAAACCTTATATAAGGACAGAAGAGGAGAGTAAACTCTATTTTGATAAAATATTGACCATTTCCCCAGCCCTACCCCTGTCCTGAGCACACACCATACATCAACAAATAATCTTTTTGTTCATTAAAGTTTGCCCATAAGATGCTGCTACCCAAAATCTTGGGTGATAAGAGCTGAGAAGTCCTTTCACTATGTAATAAAACCGCCTCCCACTTTCTTACTTTTTCTCGTCTCTGAATTCTTTCTCTGATGATGACAAGAATCTGGAAACACTGGGTGGGTAGAATGCTCTTGCTCTCTCTCTCTTTCTCTCTCTCTCTCTCTCTTTCTCTCTCTGTCTCTCTCTCTCTTTAAGAACTTCTCCAGCCTTCACTACCAGCAACAACATGAGTTATATTTTTTTGGTTTTCCTCGGGTCTTAGCTCATAACTCTCATAGCTCTTATTGATTCCTAAGTGACTAGAATGAAGTTGGGTACAGAAGCAGGTCCCATAAAACAAAAAACAAAGCTGTCTGTCTGTCTCTGTCTGTCGCTCTGTCTCTGTCTCTCCATCTCTGTCTCTCTCACACACATCCCTAGTCTTACTATTTCACCTCCCCCTCTTTGTCTCCAGGGCAGACCCTAGAAATTGGGATTTCTCTTCTCCAGGGCAGGTCATTAAACTCTATTCTTAAATCCTCTGACCCACCTGGTCTGATAGGCGATGATGAGACCTTATTCCAGAAGGAGTCTGCTCCAGGCCTATGAGGAATTTGGACAGAAAGGCTTGCTGGTTCTCCCCATTTAGAATTGAATCACATCCTTTCTGCCTAATCAACTTCCACAGAGTTGTCCAGATGTCAGTCACTCCTATATAACAAAATCTCCATAAAAGCCCAAAGGACAAAAGGGCTCAGAGAACTTCAGGACAGCTGGGCACATGGAGGTTTGTGGAAAGGTGACAGAGAACTTATCCATGTGTGGAGAGGGCTGTACCCCAACTTCATAGGGACAATGGTTCATCAAGAATTTGTCCTGTGTATCTCTTTTCTGGGTGTTTATTTCTATCTTTTAAAGTACACTTCTAATAGACTAGTACAGGTCAATAGAGCTTTCCCTAACATCTGTGAGCCTCTCTAGCAAATTAAGTAAATCTTAGGAAGGAGTGAGAACTCCAATTTGTAGCCAGCTGGACAAAAGTTCTGGAAGCCCAGACTTGTTGAGTACATCTGAAGTGGGGCAGTCTTAGAGCTGAACTCTCATCCAATCAGATTTGACACTTTCTCCAGAGGGATGATATCAAAACTGAATTGAATTAGATGATGCCTAGATGATGCTTGCTTACTGGAAGAGAAATTCCCACATCTTTTAGGGTCACAGAAGTGATCAATGTTGAAATGTGAAAAATGTGAGTCTGTTTTCCCACAGAGATAGAGAAGAAAATGTGAGAGGGAGGGAAGAAAAGAGGAAGAGAGGGAGGGGAAGAGCAAAGAGAAGGAGAGAAAGAGGGAAAGGGGAGGGAGGGAAGGAAAGAAGGAGGTAGGAAAGGAAGGAAGGGAAGAAGCAAGGAAAGTAGGAAAGAAAGAAAGAAGGAAGGAAAGGATGGTCAATATGGCATCAGTGGTAGTTCTGACAGCATGCTTTGGCTTCTCCACCCTACTCCTGACCTTGATGTGAGCAGATGAGCCCATCCGAGGGGTGTGATAGAAGGTCGCCTGTTGAACAGCCACCATCAAAGCATTTTTCTGAGCAGTCTGGCATGCGAGGATCACTTGCATGTGTTCCACTCCTGAATGGAACAAGAGCTAAGGAAGGAAATGTGAAAGGCATTATGAAGTGCTCCATCAGGAAAGAGGTGAAGTTGAGGGTTGAGATGATCACTTAGCCATCCTGTGTGTGAACTTAACTTCCAGATACACTGGGATCACGTTACTCATCCTTTAGACTGAAGCAGGATTTCATTCCAGGAAGGCAGCCTCCAAGCCTGGGCCATTTGGTTGCTGGATGCCGTGGACGGGTTCCCCAGTGGTCAGGAGAGGTGGTGGGCTCACATGAACTTTAAAAATTTTTTAGATATACATATTGGAGCCAAAACAATCAGAATGGCAGAAGAAACAACAGCATCAGGTTTTAAAGACTCGGTAAAAGCTTCAACAAGCATACGTTGTAAAAGCCTGATGTAAAGACGGCTTATCTATATGGATTTCTTCATATTAAACAGAAGTCATTGTTGCAACCTCTGTGGCTCAAGCCAACCTAATGTGCATATCAGCAAGGCCAAGCCCTTGCTTTTATGATGAAGGAGGCTTTCTTGTAAATGAAAGCCCATTTCTTTATTTTGGTGCTGGAACTGGGGTTTGAACTCAGTGCCTCACACTTTGACTTGGCTTCTCCGCTCTAGACTCTACAGCTTGAGCCACACCTCTACTTCCAGCTTTTTGCTGGTTAATTAGAGGTCAGAGTCTCATGGGCTTTTCTGCCCAAGCTGGTTTCAAACTGTGGTCCTCAAGTCTCAGTCTTATGATTAGTTAGGATTACAGGCATGAGCCACTGGCAGCCAGCTATAGAAGCCAAATTTATGCATTAAGTATTGATCTTTTAAAGAACATGAAGGAAAACATCAGCCAACTGGTTCAGGCCAGCTTAACCCCACCCCAATCAGTGGCCACCACCCAGGGGAGGGTCTTGGGTCTGGCTATAACCCAGGCCAGCCCTCCTATAAGCTACTACCCAGGAGAGGGTCTGGCTTGTTTCAAACAATCCAATCACCAAATTGCCAAAAGGGAGGAGAAAAGGTAGGGAGAGACAATACAAAACAGCTGGTCCTCACCACATGGTAAACCATGGTTTCTGGTCCTACTGCTCACTCTTGTGAGTGGCTTTTACTTTCTCCTTACTAAATAAACTCTTTACAACTGCGCTCGTCATTCCTTGTTTTGTTTCTATACTTTCAGAGAACAAGAATCCACCACACTTGTGCATCAAACATAGAGCGAATCCATTTATTTTAACTCCATTTAAAAAATGCAAACAAGACCAAGATGGCGACGGGGCAGTAGGGAAACGCCACAGCTCTCTCCAACCAAAAAGAGAGTTCGAGTTCCAACCTTTAATATCCCCAAGAGACCGACAACAACAAAAAGACGAACACTCAGAGAAAAACCAGAGGTGGAAAATAACAAAAAAAAGAAAGAGAGGAAAAGAAGAATTTCAGAACAGAGAAGAGCGAAGACCCCTCCCCCAACCTTTACTGGTCGCGCGGCAGTGCGCCAAGCCGCCGGCCAGCCGGCCCGGCGGGGGCTGCCGGAGCCCCAGAGACACAGGGGGCTGCTTGCAGATCACCAGGTACCGGATTGCAGAACAGCGGATCGCCAGGAACAGAAAAACCTACCAGCCGGGAGTCTCCAGGAGGATCCCACCCCACCCATCACTCTCCACCGGAGCGGAGAGGCTCCATCCAGCCAAAGCCGCCCGGCACCAGCAGCGCCACAAAGGGACCTGTCCGCAGACCACCCGCCCAATCGCGATCGCAACGACCCGGCGGGGGGCCACCCAACCCAGCCTGCAACCACCCCAACTGAACTCGGACTGCAACAACAACTGACGACCTACAGGGTGAGTACCCATCAGGGGACAGGGAATCCATCAAGGGAGACCAGAGCTGGAGGGAATCCCCAGACCCTGACCTAGACTCCCTACCCCAACACCCGGACCACAGGACCCACTAAAACTGGGAACTGTTCGAGAGCTCCACCAGCCGGTGGAGCACACTCTGCTGGCCAGGCCAGAGCAAGAGCGCCCCTGGAAGGGAGCTTAAATGCTCAAGCCAGGAACAGTGCCCCTGGGTCAAGACTACCAACAGTAGAAGAAATTTGAACTGTGTCCTCCAGGCTGCATAACCAAGGTGGTATACACATTAGCACAGGCCTAACGAGCGCGCTCCAGGCTGGGGCCGGAACCAGGCCAGGGGACCGGCGCCTGAACAAAGCAAAAAGGGTCAGAAGTGGGGCTGTGGCTCAAATGGTAGGGTGCCAGCCCTGAGCTGAAGAGCTGAGGGACAGCACCCAAACCTAGAGTTCAAGCCCACAACCAGCCCAAAACAAACAAACAAAAACACATCAGGAGCCCATAGCAGACTCCAGTATTTGGGAGAGTGCATCCAGAGCATCTGATCTTCCCAAGAGCACCCGCAGGAGCAAACACAAGCAGTCTAGGCTGCTCAACCCTTCCAAAGGCGGGAATTGCTACAGCAGAGAGCTGAGAATCCTAAGTGAATAGCATCTGGAAATAGGCTCCCAACAGAATCCAGATCAGGCACAGACTCTCTCTACCAATACAGAATCAGCAACCAAGCAAAGACAGACACACCAAAACAAGATTGAAGAGCAGTCTCCTGAACCCCCATGCGAAAATCACAGAGAAAAATCACAAGGTTTACCACTACCCAGGACAGCAAGCTCACCTCAAAAGCCAGCAGCCACGCAGGGGAGAGCCCCAGTGGGAGCAAAGCAGGAATGGAAGACAAAAACTACATCCAAGGGTTGCTGGAGGCAATGACTCAAGAAATAAAGCGAGAAATGGATCAGAAATTGAAAGAGCACAAGGATGAACTATCAAAAGATATACAGGATATCAAACAAAAATTGGATGCAAAAATAGAAGCTGCACAAACCTCAGTAAGAAGTGAGATAAACGCCAAATTAGAGGTAATGCATACTGATCTCACCTCATTGAGAGGTGAGATCAGTACTCTGAGAACCAACATTGAATCCATAAAGGGATCCATTTCCACCATGCAAACCACAATAGAAGCCACGGTCAACAGAGTGAATGAAATGGAAGGTAAAGTGTCAGATACAGAAGACAGAATACACCAACTGGACCAAAAAGTGACAGATATGGAAAAATCACTCAAATTAAACCAAAGGGAAATTCAAGAGCAAGCAGATAATGCTAAAAAATTTAACCTTCGCATAATCGGAGTGGACGAAGGTGAGGAATTCCAGAGCAAGGGAATGCAACACCTATTTAACAAGATAGTCAATGAAAATTTTCCCCACCTCAAAAACGACCATCTTAACTACATCACAAAAGCTTATCGAACACCCAACAAGCAAGATCCCAGGAGAAACACTTCTAGGCACATAATAGTAACAATGATGGATCTGAATAATAAGGAAACAATCCTGCATGCAGCAAAAATGAAGAAGGAGCTATACTACAACGGGAAAAAAATTAGAATCACTGCAGATCTCTCCACACAAACAATGAATGCAAGAAAAGCCTGGGAAAGCACCATACGAGCCCTGAGAGCCAATAACTGCCAACCCAGACTGATATACCCGGCAAAGCTAGCATTCACATTCGATGGAGAACTGAAAACTTTTAATAGCAAAGAAAAACTAAATGAATACATAAACATTAAGCCAGCATTACAAAGAATTCTAAGAGGGGGGACACAACCTGAAGAAAGCAACCAGGAACTGGGACCTGCCCCAAACAGGCATTACTCAAAGTCTAACTGAGCAAGCACAGGAGGAAAGGAAAGAAGAAAAACTTAGGAAAACGGAATGGCAGGGACAACAATGCATCTCTCTATACTTTCTCTTAATATAAATGGGCTGAATTCGCCAATTAAAAGAAAACGAACTGAGGACTGGATCAGAAAACAAGACCCATCCATCTGTTGCCTTCAGGAGACCCACCTCTCAGCCAAACATACAAACAAACTCAGAGTGAAGGGGTGGAAAAGGATCTACCAATCAAATTCCCCCAATAAGAAAGCAGGTGTAGCTATCCTGATATCTGACAAAATAAACTTTTCATTAAAATCAGTACAGAAAGACAAGGATGGACACTACATATTAATAAAGGGAACAATCCAAGAGGAGGATATAACCATCATCAACTTATATGCCCCAAATATTGGTGCACCCAGATATGTTAAACAAATGCTCTCAAACTTACAGAATAAAATAGATCCCAATACGATAATACTAGGAGACTTTAACATGCCACTCTCACCAAAGGACAGGTCTACCAACCAGAGGATTGGCAAAGAAGCTACCGAATTAAGTGAGGCCATACTTCAAGCGGAATTAACTGACATCTACCGAGTATTTCACCCTAAAACAACACAGTACACATTCTTCTCAGCAGCTCATGGAACTTTCTCCAAAATAGACCATATCATAGTTCATGCAAGGAACTTAAGCAAATACAAAGGGATCGACATAATCCCCTGTATTCTATCTGACCACAGTGGAATCAAGCTAGCTCTCAATAACAAAGCATACCGCAGAAATTTCTCTAATACATGGAAATTGAACAGCACACTCCTTAACAAGGCCTGGGTAACAGAAGAGATCAGAGAAGAAATAAAGCATTTCCTAGAACTCAATGAAAATGAAAACACCTCACAAAGAAACTTGTGGGACACAGCAAAAGCAGTCCTGAGGGGCAAATTTATTGCCCTCAGTGCCCACATCAAGAGAATGGAGACAGACCAAGTAAATAATCTCATGTTGCAACTAAAACAGCTAGAAAAACAAGAAAAAATGGGACCTAAAGCTACTAGACGAAGCCAGATAACCAAATTGAGAGCAGAGATTAACCAATTAGAAAATCAGAAAACCATAACCAAAATAAACCAAACAAAAAGCTGGTTCTTTGAAAAAATAAACAAAATTGATGGCCCGTTGGCAAGATTAATTAAAAAAAGAAGAGAGGAAACCCATATTAATAGGATTAGGGATGCCACGGGAAACATCACAACACGTACCCAAGATATCCAAACAATTCTAACAGACTACTTTCAAAAGCTATACTCTCTAAAGGAAGAAAATCTGGCGGAAATGGATGCATTTTTAGAGAAATACAAGTTACCCAAACTGAGCAAAGAAGAAGTTAACCAATTAAATAAGCCAATATCCTATAATGAGATACAGGAAGCTATCAAAAGTCTTCCAACAAAAAAAAGCCCAGGACCAGATGGATTCACAGCAGAATTCTATAAGACCTTTAAAGAAGAACTAATACCCATACTCCTCAAGCTCTTCAGAGAAACAGAGAAGGAGGGAGCTATCCCAAACTCATTCTACGAAGCCAATATCACACTCATCCCCAAACCAGGCAAAGACCCAACCAAAAAGGAGAATTACAGGCCAATCTCCTTGATGAACACAGATGCAAAGATCCTTAACAAGATTCTAGCTAACAGAATCCAGAAACACATAAAAAAAATAATACACTATGATCAGGTAGGCTTCATCCCAGAGACACAGGGATGGTTTAACATACGTAAGTCAATAAATGTAATCCAGCATATCAACAGAGCCAAGGTCAAGAATCACATGATTATCGCCACAGATGCAGAAAAGGCCTTTGATAAAATTCAACATTCATTCATGCTAAAAGCTCTGGAGAAAATAGGAATAGAAGGAACATTTCTAAAAACAATAAAAGCCATTTATGACAGACCAATAGCCAATATTATACTTAATGGGGAAAAGCTACAACCAATCCTCCTAAAAACAGGAACAAGGCAAGGATGTCCACTGTCTCCACTCCTCTTCAACATAGTCCTAGAACCCTTAGCCAGGGCAATAAGGCAAGAAAAAGACATTAAAGGGATCCGCATAGGGAAAGAAGAAGTGAAACTATCCCTTTTTGCAGACGACATGATACTATACCTCCATGATCCCAAAAACTCCATCCCCAAACTTTTAGAAATCATAAGTCACTTCGGCAAAATAGCAGGATACAAAATAAACCCACAAAAATCAGTTGCCTTCCTATACACTGATAACGCACAGGAAGAGAGGGAAATAAAGGGAGCAACCCCATTCACAATAACCTCCCAAAAAATAAAATATTTAGGAATTAACCTAACCAAAGATGTAAAAGAACTATTTAATGAGAACTATAAAAAGTTAAAGAAAGAAATTGCAGAAGACACTAGGAAATGGAAAGACCTCCCATGCTCCTGGATAGGCCGACTTAATATAGTAAAGATGGTGATACTTCCAAAACTTATATACAAATTCAATGCAATTCCTATTAAAATCCCAATGACGTACATCACTGAAATACAGAAAACAGTCCAAAAATTTATATGGAACAACAAAAGACCTAGAATAGCCAAAACAATTCTAGGGGATAAAGACAATATGGGAGGGCTATCCATGCCGAACTTCAAACTCTACTACAGAGCTATAATCACAAAGACAGCATGGTACTGGCACAAAAACAGACCCGAAGACCAATGGAACAGAATAGAAGATCCAGATATAAATCCACAGGCCTACAGCCAGCTGATATTCGACTAAGGAGCCAAAGACATACAATGGAAGAAACACAGCCTCTTCAACCGCTGGTGCTGGGAAAACTGGGCAGCCACATGCAGAAAACTAAAAGTGGACCCCAGCCTATCACCATGCACCAACATCAACTCAAAATGGATTAAAGACCTTAACATTAAACCTGAATCTCTGAAACTACTGCAGGACAGAGTAGGAGAGACACTTGAACTAATAGGCACAGGAAGGAACTTCCTGAACAGAGTCCCAGGGTCACAACAAGTTGGAGAGAGACTCGACAAATGGGACTACCTTAAAATAAAAGGCTTCTGCACAGCTAAATCTATTGCAACTAAGCTAGAAAGACAACCAACTAATTGGGAAAAAATATTTACCAGCAATATATCAGACAAGGGGTTAACATCCTGTATATACAGGGAACTCAAGAAACTAATCCCTCCCAAACCTAACAAACCAATTATTAAATGGGCAAGGGAACTAAAGAGGGACTTCTCAAATGAAGAAATAAAAATGGCAAAGAAACACATGAGGAAATGTTCATCATCCCTGGTGGTGAAGGAAATGCAAATAAAGACAACCCTGAGATACCACCTTACCCCAGTCAGAATGTCCCACATCCACAAATCAGCCAACGACAAATGCTGGAGGGGATGTGGAGAAAGAGGAACCCTATTACACTGCTGGTGGGAATGTACACTTATACAACCACTTTGGAAAGCAGTCTGGAGGGTCCTTAGAAAGCTAAAGATTGACCTCCCTTACGACCCAGTCATACCACTTCTAGGCATCTACCCTGAACAACAGGAACCAATATACAAGGACACGTGCACCTCCATGTTTATTGCAGCACTGTTCGCAATAGCTAGGATATGGAAACAACCTAGGTGCCCCACCACAGATGAATGGATCCAAAAATTGTGGTATCTATACACAATGGAATATTATGCAGCCATTAGAAATGACAAAATAATGGCATTTGCAGGGAAATGGATGGAGCTAGAAGGAATCATGTTGAGCGAGGTAAGCCAAGAACGAAGAGACAAACGGTACATGGTCTCCCTCATAAGTGGATGCTAAATCCAAAAGGTTAGGTGATACGACAAAACTAACAGGACTTAAGAAACAAAGAACTCCCGCTCATCTGGTTGAACCACTACTAAATATCCTCATGCTGCTGATCACAAATATGGTATATAACATGTGAACACTGTTATATATTACAGACTGTGGTAGACAATTTGCTCCAGGGAAGTTAGAATGAACTTGTGACTTTGAAATTATGTAATCATTTAATCACAATCAAAAAAAAAAAAGAACCTCGGGGAAGGGAGGGAGGGAGGGGATGGTAGGGGGAAAACAATGGAGGGGGTAACAATGTTCAAGAGGAAGTGTACTCATAACCTCACTCATGTAACTGTAACCCTCTGTATAGTAGCTTTACAATAAAAAAAAAATGCAAACAAAATTATTTACCTTCAGGATGGCTTCTTTTGTATAGAAACTAAATTTGCCGACTTGTGTGTCATCTAACTCAGAGATGGCTAAGACAAGAGTAGTAGGAACATATCTGCAAAAAGAAGGTATAAGGGTATTTTCATCTGACATGCTACCACCTAACATGCCGATCCTATTATTTATGTGTTTACGCATTCATTTATTTATATCAGTATAGGGCTTGAACCCATGACTGCAGGGTTCAAGCACTCTACCACTGAGCTCTACCTCCAGCCCTTTTCACATTTTATTTTGAAACAAGATTTCCTTAATTTTCCTAGGCTAGTCTCAAGACTTGTGATCTCCCTGCCAGTCTACAGAGTAATTGGGATTACAGGTGTGATCCACCACACCTGGCCAAGAGAAACCCAGGCTGATGGAGGAAAAGTCATGTGACCAGATTAAAAACCTGGCAAGCACAAGTTTTATATAAGACCATATTTCACTCTCTAAATGGAAGACTTGAGAGACTTTTCAGCCCTCATTGGACATGATCTCTCTACCATTTGGGTTGTGATGATCAGTCTGTAATGTTTGCAATTCTTTTCTGTTGTTTTTCCCTGACCTTCTTTTTCTTAATCCATTTTTTAAGCATTCATTAGTTATACAGGGGCAGTTTCATTGTGACACTTCCACACATGCACACAGTATGTCTTGGCCTATCTCACTCTCCTCCTTCTACCCCCTTTCTACTTCCATCTCTTAAAAAAATTCTCAACAGGTTTCATTGTTCTATTCTCAAACATGCAAATAGACTACAGTGACTATATTCACACTCTTTGTTAACCCTCCCCATCCCACCCAAGCTTTCCTCACTTTTCAGCCATTTCCTCCTCCTCCTCCTCCTCCTCCTCCTTCTCCTCTTCTTCCTCCTCCTCCTCCTCCTGCTAGTGTGTAGTAACTGTACCATCCTCTAACCTTCTTGACCATGCATGTTCAGGATCCTTTACTAACTCCTTCCTTTGAACATCCTCTAAATGCTGTCTAATTCTTGCTCTCTCTTATGATTCCAACAATCATTCAAACATTCCTTATAGCCAGGTTCCATCTTGGGACACAGTCCTCCATCCATAACTATGAGACTTTGTCAAGTGATTTTGTTTCTTCATTTGTCAATGGGACTATCACCCACTTCAGGATAGTGAAGAATATGAACTGATAATATGCACAAACATGCTTTCCAAAATATAAGTCACCGTATTCATGTTTGGAATATGTTGTTACATGACACTCCTGAATAATAACTTTATAGCAAAGAAATGATAACTTAAGACTCCAGTTCTCTTGATCCCCAGTTAATTCAGAAGGCTCTTTTGTTTTATGGCATCTTTGGGAGGATTAATCACTATTTGATCAGAGTATACTTCATTTAAACAGCTTGTGCTAATTGGTGGATTCTTTCTGAATCAAGATAAGTCATATGTTTACAGCAGAATAAAATATCAGCTCCACAGGGAGGCCGTTAAAGAGCCAGGATCCAACTTGGCTGCCAGTTAGAGGCCCAGCCTCACCTGAGGCCCAATCATACTTCTTGCCCTGGTTTCTGTGACACATCTCTGCATCTTTACCATGCATTCTGGTTTGTGTTTGGCAAGTATGACAGGGTACAGCAGAGAACATTTTGCCTCCAAGGGACTATCTGGCAATGTCTGGAGACATCTTCAGTTGTTAGAAACAAGGGATAGGAACAGAGGTTGGGAAAGATCAAGCATCGATGATGGGGGACAGGGATGTTACTATCTAGTGGGTAGAAGCCAGGAATTCTGCTACAAGACTGCCAAAGGATAGTTACCTCTCACAACAAAGACTTGTAGAGCTCCTAGTTTTCCTAGAGCCAAGGTTAAAAAGCCTGGGGTTACTTTATTCTGTCACCCTAATAAGCAGGATGGCAGGTAGGTCTGACAGAGAGAGAACAATAAAGTGAAAAGAGCCAAATACTAGGTGTTGTACTTGCTGGAACTTTCCTCACCAGATGCCTCTTCTACATCTTATTCAAGTTGCATGTGCCTTCCCTCAAATCTTCCGACTAGAGTCCAAGGGTATCTTTTTGGTAAACCACTGCCCATCCTCCAGTTCTTGAAAATGCACTCCCATTTCTGAAAGGACTACACCCTTATGTACATGTCCCTAGCATAATCTTTAAATTCTACCCATAAAAGCATCTATGATCTAGGAGCTTGGTGCTAGTGATTGCTTGGTTGAACTGCCTGCCCTCTGTTTCCTTTGATTTAGCATTTGCTCCTGCTTCAATAAATTGTGCTCTGTTAAAACTCCTCTGTGTGTCAGCCTCTGAATTCTCTCTTTTTCACTTCTTCGTCTTCTTTTTCCTCCTCCTCTCCCTCCTCCTCCACCCCCACCCCTCCTCCTCCTCCTCCTCTTCCTCCTTCTCTTTTTCCTTCTTCTTCATTTGTGCCAGTGCCAGAACTTGAACTCAGGGCCTAGCACTCACTTAACTTTTTTTGTTCAAATTTGGCATTGTACCACTTGAGGCACACCTCTACTTTAGGCTTTTTGCAGGTTAATTAGAGATAAGAGTTTTATGGACCCTTCTGCCATGAATGGCTTCTAACTATGATTCTCAGATCTCAGCCTCCTGAATAGCTGGGATTACAGGCATAAACTACCAATGCCCAGATTTCTTTTGAGACATCAAGAACCTTTCCATTCATTGACAGTGACACTAATTCATTTCATTCTAGCCCATACTCTTTGGATCCTTTAACCCACTAAAGGAGTTGTAATCAACAGTAATCAACGTCAGCAAAATAAAGGACACTTTTCCTCTTAGGAGTTACCTTTACCTCCTTTAGGGTGGAATCAGTACTGGGAATGATCAGGAATAGAGTTGGGACCCTGGGGAGGCAGGTGAGAAGAACACTTAGGTGGGAAGGAAAGCAGAGAGACATAGAAGAAACTTGCAAAAGCTGACTCTGTATGAGGAAAAAGAAGATGGTCTCTCCTAGTAGGTTCAGGGTCAGCCGCTGGGCAGTGATGTCTTTCCAGCAATAGGGTGACCTAATGGGCCATGATAGGTTTCTTTGGGGTTGGCCTCCAATGAAAGAGTCATCAAAAAGCCTAAAGATAAAAGAAGTTGCTTATATGATACATTTGTGTTCTGTGTTATATGTGAGAAAAAAAATGCCCAGAAACCCTAAATGACTTCTTTCTGGTCTTAAGGCAAGCGAGAGACCATCCATGGTTCTTGTCTCATCAGACCAACCCTTGTCCCCTTTGCTATCTGGAAACAATGTATTCTCCCTGGGAAGTGGCAGAGCCAGTGATTTCATGTGAGTTCACTGACCTGATTTTTTTCATTTCTCAAAGTTTTTGTATTCTTAAATCTGATTATCCTTCTTAAAGTCTTATTTTCTGTCCTCTTACTGGAAAAGGAAAAAGAAAAAAAAAGAATCATGGCAGATAGAATGTAAGGAAGAGAACTTAAAAATGCAATTACACTGGCATGTCCAAAAGTGACAGAATTATCCCTGATTGCTTATTCTACCATTATTTTCATCTTAACCTCTCCCGAAGGCTCACCTGTCTACACGACCATTGTCCTCCAGCACAGAGGTTATAAACACAGGAGGTGGTTGGTCCACCTTGTCCTTGTGTGATGCAAACTCAAAGTGAACAGGTCTCAGATACAAGTGGAATTCTTCAAAACCCATTTCCCATGCCAATTCCTTATAAATCCTGAAAGAAAAAGAGGAAAAAAAAAGGCAAAGACATGTGTTGGTGTTTTCTCCTCAAAGTAAGCAGTAAGAAAACAAAAACAGATGAGTAAGTACTGAAGCAAAATCAAACAAGAGTAAGCCCAATACTATGTGAAGCAAGTGAGCCACAAAGTATAATGGATATTTAGATATTTAGGTGGCAGGCTGATTTAAAAACAAAAGAGACATACCAAGAGAAGAGTATAGAAATATTTATTAGGACATCAGTACCAGAACACAGTACAAGATACAGCAGGCCACTAGCAAGCTTTAGAAATACAACAGTGTTCACTCAGGGCCAGGAGAAGAGTTTAGGTCTTTGGTTAGGCTACTTTTGACTGGATATTCCTTGTTTTATGGAACCTATTGATTGGCTGTCTCTCCCACAAGGTTTAAAATTTTGCACATGGAAATGGCCCTCAGTTTTTTTGTGTTCTATCTAACCCATTTCCTGGTCTTGACTTGGTTCCTCATTCCATTGGGACCTTGGAATTTTGCTGTGCTTCATGTCACTTTCAATATAAAAGTCCTGCTCTCCATGACAGTTATAGACTGGTAGACAGTCACAGTAGAAGACGATGTGCTTGGGCACTTCCCTGTCTCATGTCCTTCTGGTTGGCATCTGTCCTCAGAGCTCTCAATGTTGTCTTCCAAATAAGCTTCATTGCCTTTCCTTAGAGCTCTTCACAGAAAGCCTCTCTGCCCCTCCCTGAAGAATGTCTTTTGGTCCACGATCTCCATGCTCCTGCTACATGATCATTATTTCTCAGTCTTCTTTAGGTCTCCTCATCCTTATTTCAGATAATGGTGTTTTCCAGGGTTATAGATTTGGTTTTCTTTTCATCTCCTACATCCTCTCCTAGGGGAATTCATTCACCCAAAGGATATAAAAATACCCCCCTCATGCAGGAATCTGTGACTCTTATCCTTATCTTGATTCACCTCTGCATTCCAGTTTTGAATTTGTATGACTGCCAGATGTTCCTCTGGCAGTTCAGTGTTGTGTGTCTACAATGCTTTGGCCCACTTTTGCACTCTTATTCTAACCCAGTTTTCATACTGTGGAGCTGGTACATTAAGAGTGAATTCAACTGGGACCTGTATTAGTTTGCTTTAAGAAGGTACAAGAGAAAAACAGAAAGTATTCAGTGGCTCAGATAATAAAAATTGATTATCTCACAATTCTAGAAGATGGAAGAAAGATCCAGGTGTCATCAAGATTGGCTCTTTCTCAGAGCTGTGAGGAAGAGTTTGTTCCAGACCTTTCTCATTGGCCCATGTAAGGCCATTTTCTCTCTGTGAGCTTCACAGGTGTGTGGTGTCTTCACATGGAGTCTTTTATAAAGACACCAGTCACATTGGATTAGAGGTGGTCCTAAAACTTTACCTTACATTATACCCTGAGGTACAAGGTATTCATTCTTGAATATATGAACTTTGGAGAGATGTAGTTTAGTTCATAGCATTCCTTCTTCTATTCAGAATTCCTGATCCACTTAGAACAAACTACTTCCTTTTCAGTACTCCTGAAGTGTTTTGTTCAGATGAGTAGGAAAACAGTACTACAGTGTATTATGGGTAACTCTACATTATGAGGGCTAGGATCATTAATTTCAGAGGCAATAATATTTTCACCAATAGTCTAAATTCTGCTTCTACTATTTTTTAGTTATATGACTTTGCAAAAATTACTTTTCTTTTCTGAGCCTCTATTTCCTTGCTGATAAAGTGTTTGTTTCTATATCACAAGGATACTTAGAGAATTAAATGAAATGATACATTAAATCTTCATAAAGATCCTGATCACAGCAGGCCCTTGATAATGGTTAGTGGACAACTGTACTTCCCATGTCTTCAGGGCCTCTCATGGTGACCAGAACACAGGAGCACTAGCATTCACACATGTTTGCAGCCTCTAGTTCCATATTTTTTTTTGCTAGCAAAACATGTCCACTTGAAGGCTTACCTTCATTTCTCACTTAGAACTAAAATGTTAACTATTTCCTTCCTCCCTCTCTAATTCTCCCTCCTTCATCTCCCTTTCTCCCCTTTTCTTTCCTTCTCCTGTACATGTATATACAGGATCAATGTTCTACTGTTCTCCTATTGTCTGCCATGGAATCACACAACAAGAAGGCTCTAGCCAGATGTGGGTCTATTGACCTTGGACTTCCCAGTCTCCACAATTATTTATTTATTTTTACTTTTTATTTTGCCGGTCGTGGGGCTTAAACTCAGGGCCTGGGTGCTGTCCCTGAGCTTTTTTGCTCAAGGCTAGCACTCTACTACTTTGAGCCACAGTATTCTTCTGGTTTTCTGGTGGCTGATTGGAGATAAGAATCTCATGGACTTTCCTGCTCATGCTGGCTTCGAACTGTGATCCTCAGATCTCAGCATCCTGAGTAGCTAGGATTCAAAACTCTGGTCCTTATAAATTACCCAGTCTCAAGTATTCTGTTATAGCAGTACAGATGGACTAAAATACCAGATCATGGGACATTATGATAAACAACAGGAATAAAACCTTTGCATTCAGGGAGCTTATGCTAGCAGGAAAACCCTTGTAATCCCAGCACTAGAGAGGCTGAGGTAGGAAGATTGTAAGTTCCAGGCCAAGCTGGGCTATTGCAAAACTCTGCCTCAAAAAAAACCCCAAAATTAAACAAACAAACAAACAAATATCCCCTCCCCTCTGCAACAAGAACAATGGGTCAGGAATGCTGATACCTGAGTGTAACCCAGCTCCTAATAGAGATAGGAGCATTGCAGTTTTGAAGCTAGCCTGAGGGGGAAAACATTATTAGATTATGTCAAAAACAAATCCAAGCAAACAACAACAAAAATCCAGGTTGACCGTGGTGGTACACATCTAATTGGGAGGCAACGATAAAAGCAAAAGGGGCTTCAGGGGTAAAGTGGTAGAATGGTAGAACAAATAGGAAGATTCAAGTTCAAACCCAGTACTACCAAAACAACAACAACAACAACAACAAAAGAAACAAAGAAACAAAAACAGGACCTATGCTGAATGGAAGGTGATGGAAAAAGGATGCAGCCCTGATCAGAGTAGTTAAGAGACAAGGCTTGGAGAGGGTGTTCTGCTCCAGGGCCAGAGAAGGGCCAGCCTCGAGGCTTGCAGGTAGCAGACCTGGGGTCTGTCATCTGTTCTCCCTGTCTTGCCCTAGACATAAAGTTCTAGTCTGCTCCTTCGTCCCCAACTGACCAAGCCAGATGAGCGCTCTCCACACTCATTTCTATGAGCCGGTGGCGGATGGTTAGGAGTTCCAGTAGTTTGGAGAACGTCTCCAGGAGCAGCGCATGGCAACTGCGGCCTTGTTTGTGTCCTTCCTCTGCGGCAGACTTGAGTGCAAGCCAACCTAGCTCCTCCACGAGAAAAGGGTCGTCCATCACTTTAGCTGAAAATAGCTGAAAGAAAACAAGTCGTAAAACACACACAAAAAATAAACTTCGTGTATTAAAATATGTATATACTGTCAGAGGCACAGATGTCCTGGGCTGCTTACAAGATACTAACAGGTATAAATTGCTCAGCAGGGTTCAGAGGGTTAGGTAAGCTAAACCATGCAAAAATACTTATCAGTATCACAAATGTTCTGAGCCTAAATAAATGATGAAAATAATGTGAATACAAATAGGTGTCCCTGGTTTTTTAACAGTATTTTAGTGGTTAGTAGCAAAATTGCAGATTCAACATTTTAAAGCATTTCTGCATAATGAGTATTACTAATTTATTTTCCTTTCTACCAGATCCGCATGAAGTGGACATAACAGGTACCACTATCCTTCAGCAACGAGGAAGCTAAAACAGAAGTTATGAAGCTTGAACTCAGGGTCTCTTGCTTCATGTTTTTGCTCAAGGTTGGTACTCTACCCCTTGAACTACACATCTGTTTTAGCTATTTGCTAGTTAATTAGTGATAAGAGTTTCTTAAGTTTATCTTCCAGCACTGGTTTTAAACTAAGATCCTCAGATCTCAGCTTCCTGAGTAGTGAAACCATCTTTAAGTTTTCCAAGGCCACAAGTAGTTCCTAAAAGAATTGAACTTCCCAGTTTTGAGGTCAGTCACTTTCCAGAACATTCACTTGCCTTCCCAGGGCTCCTTTACTCCCAGCTCAGCCACATGAAGTACCCATGTGTCCATTAAGGCCTCTGCACTAACAACTTCCTTGTCTTCTTATGGGCCCCTCCCAGCAAAGACCCAGCAAGAAAGCCCTCTATCTGCCTTTCCTGATTTGGTTTCCCCAAAGTGGACTAGCTCCCTTATGTCTCCACCAACCTATCAAAACATATAATTGCTATGTTCTTAAAGTCCTCTCACATGGAAACAAAGAGAGAGATTAAATTCCTGCATGTCTTCTGAAGCATTTTCTGACCTAATATCAAATATTAATCTGAATATTTAGTATTTCTAGATCCAAATTTGAACACATTTCAAAAACAATAATTAGGACTGTAGCATAAGTAGGAAACTATACAAGTATCTCAGATATTTTTACATTTTGCAAGAGAATTTCAGGTAGGTTTTTAAAATATGGCACCATAAGACAATGTGGAAAGAATTTTCAAGAAAAGGAAGTAGGATAGACATCTGGTAATTTGGAGAGATTTTAATATTGATTTGTACTTTACGTACCATATGAATGCACACACATTCCAGTGAAATAGTAAAGGAGTTAAAATAATCTAAAAATTAAATCATCCTTAAAATTAGACGAAATAACACAAATACGAAACAGCTGGAGGAAGATTCTGCATTTAGGAGGATAGAAGAAATCATAAAGGAATTGTTCAACAGATCTCACTATATGAAAACAAGAATTTTCTGTAAATAAAATAGACAAATGTAGAAAATATTTACAGAAAATGTGACAGGCCAAAACAGTTAAAGCTTTTATTTACAAAAATTTGCATAAGTAAATAGGAGTGACATTAAGACTCCAACAAATGAATAAAGGTAGAAAAAACAAGCTTCAGAAAAATTGCAGCTAGTAACAAAGCATTTGCAAAAATAATTGCATTAAGTAGCAAGAAGGTGTAAATGAAGAGCATAATGCTACCTTTTATGGGCATGCGTATATGCATATACATATATGTACATATTTATGGGTATATACATACTACACATATGCTTATACATGCTATGGGTTCACCTAATACTGCACTGCAGGCCCCAGAAGAACTGGTCCTCTTATATACCAGTGGTAGCATTTTAAGTAGGCATAACTCTTTCAGAAAGCAATTTGCCAATAGGTATGCAAGATTTAAATTTCATTTCAACCATTCTGCTTCCAAGAATCTATCAAAAAGAATCAATTCAGTATATGGAAGTATCTGTAAGCATGATGATGTATTTTTTACCATTTTTAATAATAAAGAAAAAAAGTAGAAACCATTTGGATGACCAGCAGAAGGCAACAGGTTAGGGAAGTTATACGACTCATTGTGTAAGGGAGTTTCATGGGCATGAAGGTGAGTATAAATTAGTTTGTAATGTGGAAAATATATAGTACAATACTAAATGAAAAAAGAAAACAATGCATAAAGATCTGTTTAAAGTATACATATAAAAACTCAAAATATGACAAAAATAATTATAGTGAATTTGAGTAGTTTTACTTAGGTTACATTTTGTTCTGTTCTTTTTTGAGTATGAAAATTCTCTATAGTTTCATATTATGTGAATGAATTTTTAATTAACTTATAACTAAATCAAATGTCAGTTTGGGCAGGAGTAGGAGTTCCAAGATAAACCTAAGGAGTAAATCTTTTTGGCAGTAGCCTTTGAAAGCTTCTTTGTTATATAGCAAGTGTCCACAAAGTAAGGCCAATTTGGAATCTCAGGCTAAACCTTAACAGAAGCCCAGACAGCCTCAGTTGAAAAAAAAAAGGATTAAATAGAATAATAGATATATAAATTATTTGGCTAGTTTGGACCATCAGGCATTAGAGGAAGGGTATATAAAGTCTATTGAACTTACCACCACTGACTTCTAAAATACACAAACATAATTGTACAAAAAAGGAAAATGAGGCTCAGAGAGGCCAAAATATTTGCTCAGAGTCACACAGTTAATGGCAGGTAACTTCTAACTCAAGGTTCTCTCCCCACCACCAAAATTAGCCCAAGACAAAAAGAGCAAATTGTAAGAAGAAAATACATTTATACAATATATTTAGTTAAATGTGCATTATTAAAAGATAAATAATAAACAATAAAACACTTTCACATACCTATGTAATCCCCCTATTAATTATACATTATTGTAGCATCCTTATAAACTGGAAACATTGACCAGAAAAAAAATCATATAAAAATATTGGCAAGGCTATGATTATGTTTTATCTCTGGCTAAATAAGAAGAGAGCCAAAGAGAAAAACATAACTAAACAGTATCATCTGCAAGGAATCATTCTCTTTGATGAGGATCCAAATTCCCCTGCAGAAAGAACCTACATCTTTCTGGAGCTGCATGCTGTACCAGGCCTCAGGCTTGGTTGGGTGGAGCCATAGGTCCAGGGCCAGCTGCAGGATGTGTTGTTCTAGCAAGGCAAGGCCACTGGGTGACATGGGCCTGCAGGCATGACGGGCTTCTCTGAGCAGGTGCTCAAGGGCCCTGGGGAGGAGCCCAGCCAGACCAAGGGATGGGTGGAACTCCAGCAGATAAATGTTTTTCAAAGCTTGGCTGGAAAAGGAGGCAAAACAAATAATGATGGTAAACAAGAAGAAATGCAATCTGTTTCTGAAGATATTTGAACTTTATAATTTAAAGACCAAAAAGGGGCTTGGAAGGTGGCTCAGTGGTAGAGCACTTGCTTTGCATACATGAGGCCCTGGGTTCGATTCCTCAGCACCACATAAGCAAAAAGAAAAAAAAAGCCGGAAGTGGTGCTGTGGCACAAATGGTAGAGCGCTAGCCTTGAGATGAAGAGCTGAGGGCTAGTGCCCAGGCCCAGAGTTCAGGCCCCACAACCGGACCAAAAAAAAAAAAAAAGACTAATAATAGAATTTCTTACAGGTCTAGCATCATAAACTAGTAACTCAGAGAATGTCAGAGGTTATTTAGGGATGTGGCTGGCTTACAAAATGGAAAGAAATCAATGTATAGCCTAAAAACCCAATAAGAATAAAACTATAGCTGGGCTCTGGTGGTTTATATCTGTAATCCTAGCTACTCAGGAGGCTGAGATCTGAAGATCATGGTTCAAAGCCAGCCTGGGCAATAAAGTCCACACGAATCTTATCTCCAATAAACCATCAAAAAGCTGAAAGTAGAGGTGTGGCTTGTGTGGTAGAATGCCAGCCTTGTGTGGAAAAAGCTGAGTAAAAGTATAAGATCCTTACCTCCCTTAAAATAAAAATGACAGTGATTAGACACAAACCTTTATTTCAAATAAAATGAAATCATTTTCAAAATTATTTGTGTCTAGCCGGGCACCGGTGGCTCATGCCTGTAATCCTAGCTACTCAAGAGGCTGAGATCTGAGGGTCACGGTTCAAAGCCAGCCTGGGCAGGAAAGTCCAAGAGACTCTTATCTCCAATAAACCACTAGAAAACTGGAAGTGTTATGGTTCAAGCAGTAGAGCACTCGCCTTGAGCTGAAGAGTACAGGGACAGTGTCCAAGCCCAGAGTTCAAGCCCCACAACTGACAATAAATAAATAAATTATATATATATATATATATATATATATATATATACATAGAGAGAGAGAGAGAGAGATTTGTATCTAGTTTTTCCCCAAGTTTTTTATCCTTTCTCCCACCAAAAACTATTAATAGACAAAGACAGTTTTAAAGTTCTGTATAAAAGTGCTAAGAATCTTCCTATTTGAAATAAGGAGGTTATACTTTTTAATTTAATTTTTTGTGTCTGTACTAAGGTTTGAACTTAGGGCCTAGCATTCTTGTTTAGCGTTTTTGCCCAAGGTTCGCATGCTACCACTTGAGCTACATCCCCACTTCTGAGTTTTTTGCTTGTTGTATTGGAGATAAGAGTCTTTCATATTTGCGTACCTGGGCTGGCTTCAAACCTGGATTCTCAGATCTTAGTCACTTGAGTAACTAGGATTCCAAACCTGAGCTACCGGTGCCCAACTAGAATGTTATAGTATAGAAAGAAATGAAGCTAGAAACAATATTGCTTGCCTGTGACTTACACTTTTATAAATAATGAAAAAGTCGAGGGTCTTTCTATACCTGCAAGGAACTGAAGAGCATAAATATTTCCGTTTAAATCTATGCAAATGGGGTTCTGCTTAGTGAATCTTAAAAAATAAAGCCCAAAGTCCGGACAGTAATCTCATCAAGCAAACAACGTTTATAGTGGAGACTGTGCTGACAGGTTTTACTCCCTGCATAGCCTTAGCCTGTCCTGCCAAAAACCATTTCCTGAACAGCAGACTTTTGCCATAGCACGCTGCACACACAGCTGATGTCTCAAATTCATTACAGTGAACAAATCAGTTTTGAGAAAGATTTATGGCCAAGATGCAGAGCTTTGTATAAAGAACTTCCAGGGCCCTTTTGCAAGAAATGAGGTTAGCAATTCAGCTATTAACTCCTACACTATCCTTTCCACATTCAAGATGATCCAATCAATAACCTTTGCCAGGCATTGGTGGCTCATGTCTGCAATCCTAGTTACTCAAGAGGCTCAGATCTGAGGATCATAGTCCGAAGATAGCCTTGACAGGAAAATTCACGAGAGTTTTATTTCAAATTAATCACCAAAAAAGCCAAAATTGGAGCTGAACATCAAGTAATACAGTGCCAGTCTTGAGCAAAAAAAGCTAAGCAAGAGAGCTAGGCCCTTTGCTTTGGCTAAAGAATAGCGCTTAGGCCCTGAGTTCAAGTTCTAGAACCAGCACACAAAGAGCAAAATAAAAATCAAAACAAAAAACCAAGATAATACCGTAACCTATCACAGCAGTTTCTCACATAAAGTTTGCCTTTACTGTTGGACTGAAGACCCCACAGAGCCCAGGGTCAGGGCTGTGTTCATGCTACACTCAGCTCTTAGCACATGGCCTGGTTTATGTGGGTGTTCATGTTGAATGAGGGAGAGACAATTTCTCTACCCACTTGGAGATAACAAAGAGATCTTTTTTTGGGGAGGGGGGCATCCAGTTGAGGGCCTGAACTCTGGGCCTGGGTGCTGTCCCTCAGCTATCAGATCAAGGCTCTACCACTTGAGCCACAGTGCCTCTTCTGGCTTTTTTTCTCTGCTTATGTGGTGCTGAGGAATTGAACCCAGGGCCTCATGCATGCAAGGCAAGTGCTCTACCACTGAGCCACTTTCCCAGCCCAACAAAGAGATCTTGACCTCAGGGCTACCCAGATTAACCTGAGGCTTGTCACCTGCTTCCTGTTTTCCTGTATACTCAAAGGTGGGAAGGAAAGTTAGTGGTCCTGTCAAGGGGAGGAGACAGTGTGTCATACAGCAAATGCCTTTTCTGATGGTCTCAGGAAGTTGAACTCTGCTCTTTAAAGAGGTGAGGTTATAAGACAAATCTGCAGACATCTCTTTAGCAACACTTAGTAGAAATTTCTTCTCTAAGACACTTTTAAACATTTCTAAGTTTTAGATTTTGGACTTACATGCCTTTCAAGAACAACTTTTTTAAAATCCTCATTGGATTTTTTTTTTTTGGGTCGGTTGTGGGGCTTGAACTCTGGGCCTGGGTGCTGTCCCTCAGCTCTTCAACTCAAGGCAAGTGCTCTACCACTTGAGCCACAGTCCACTTTCAGTTTTCTGGTGGTTGACTGCAGATAAGTATCTCTTGGATTTTCCTGCCCGGGCTGGCTTTGAATCATGATCCTCAGTTCTCAGCCTCCTGAGTAGCTAGGATTATAGGCATGAACCACCAGCACCCAGCTTCATTGGATTTCTTAAAGGGATGATGATTCTGTACCAAATGGCATGCTTAAAATCCAACCACCATTTTTGTTGTTGTTGTTATTTATGAAGCAAACAGAGATTCAATATTTGAGGGAATCTTTCCCTTGTGGTTTAAATTTTTTTATTGTTGTTATAAAGGTGATGTATAGAGTGGTTACAGTGTATTAGTCAAGTAAGGAGTACATTTCTTTTTGGACAATGTGACCCCTACCTTCCTTCTCTCTCAATGTTCCTCTCCTGTCCCTATGTATAAGTGTATAGTTCATTTTCAATATAGTGCCTAGTGAATACCACTTCTGCATTTATTCACCCTTTATCCCTCCATTTCTGTGCCACCCCGTATATTCCCAAAGACATATAAATGAGCAAACAAGTCAAAAAGAAAAGAAAATGAAAACAACAAAGAAAAAACCTCTTACTTCCATTTCCCGGAGTTCATTTCATCCCCTGTGGCTTTTATAGATACATGTATCACCTTTCCAAATCATTGAGAGGTACTTTAAGGGTAGTAATTAGATGTAACACTATATGTTTAAGATTAACTATGTAATGTTTAAGGACAGCACCAACTTACGAGCTGTTGTTGATGGAAATGAGTTGCTTACAAATTACGTTAAGGGGAAGTCCAAATTTATTCCGCTCATCTGGATGTTCTTCCCGCCAGAGCCTCTGGACATACTCCCGCTGATGCTCTATCTGAAGTTGTAGCATAGGCATTCAAATTAGAAGAATAAACTTTCCCATGGATGTGAGTTATGAGCCTTGACAGGAAGTCACCCCTTTGCAGTTTTTTTTTTTAATCATTCAACCCATTTTCACGCAGACATTGTTTTGAAGATTTGTTTGCTATGAGACATGCAGTCAGAGCCAAGGTTCAGCCAAGGAAATCAAAGGCATCCAATTTTAAGAAGCAAAAGAAAACTTTTTTTTCTCTCAAATAATTAGAGTAGGGAAAAAATATCTAATCAGGCAGCAACATCTTCTATCTCCTGCTTATATCATGCCTAGCTTTTCTCTAGAAAACATACCATGTAGTCATTTCTCTCAGTGTCTCAAAAGAAGTCACAAAATCTTTTTGTTTTATTTTGTGTAGTATGTGCACATGTTGTGTGTGCATATGTGTGCATGTATATATATTGGTAGTGGGGGTTGTACTCATGGTCTGTCCTTTAGCTTTCTCATTCAAGGCTGGCACTTTGCCACTTGAACCACACCTCTATTTCTAGCTTTTTGGCAGTTATTTGGAGAAAAGAGTTTCATGGATTTTCTGCCCAGGCTGTCTTTGAACTGCAATCCTCATAACTCAGCCTTCCAAGTAGCTAGGATTACAGGCATGAACCACTAGCACCTGGTATAAAATCTTTTTAATACATTAAGGTCCCAAAAGATGTATCACTGGTTCTTCCTCCACAACTGAAAAACTGCTTCACCTAATCAAAGCAGATGTTATCAATTCCTGTGGACCTTTAGCTGTGATTACAGTGGAATCCTTTTGAGATGGTAGTTACGACTGGAATTCAGCAGTGCCAGTGGACTTACAAATGAACATGCTGCCAGCATAGTGATGCACGTATGTAGTCCCAGCTACTCCAGAGACAGAAGCAGGAAAATCTTGAGTGCAAAGCCAGCTTGAACAAAGTTAGAGACACCCTTTTTCAGAACCAAACTACAAGAACAAAGTGCTGAGCACATGACTCAAATGGTAAAGTTCTTAGTAAGCATGAGACCTTGAGTTCAAACCTCAGTACCACAAAAATGCAAGAAAAAAGAGGGCTCAGAGCATGGCTCAAAACGTAAAGCATTTGCTTAGCATACATAAGGCTTTGGGTTCGATTCCCAGTATCACGAAAAACAAAATTAAAAAAGAAATGCTGCCCGGGCTGGGAAAGTGGCTCAGTGGTAGAGTGCTTGCTTGCCTTGCATGCATGAGGCCCTGTGTTCAATTCTTCAGCACCACATAAGCAGAAAAAGCTGGAAGTGGTGCTGTGGCTCAAGTGATAGAGTGCTAGCTAGCCTTGAGCTGAAGAGCTGAGGCTCAGCATTCAGGCCCCACGACAGACCAAAAGAAAAAAAAATTGCTGCCTAGAAAACCCAAATTCGTATCCAGCAATAAAAGGAGAACAGTCTTCTCATTTCTGGATCATGTTGTCCATCCTCTTTTCTGTACCTTTTTAAAGCCTGACTTACCTGATGGCTGAGGATGCCCCTCACCAGCTGCAGGTGAAGCCTCAGGCAGGCACATTCATCTTGGTAGGCCTTAATGAAATAAGGGTGGCCAAGATCAAACTTGGGGCGCCGATGCATGATGTCAGTCATCACTTGTGCTAAGGCAAGCTTCTGCTCAGGGTCCAGTGTGTGCTGGTAGGCTTCAAAGTAACTATCGAGAAGCTAAAAATAAAGTTATAGTCAGGAAACAGCAGAGGCAGCCCTGGAGCCAGCAAGGAGATGGGAGGCCTTAGCCCTGAACTATACAGGTGTTGAGTATTCCTGGAATGAGCAGATATAGCCCCAATACCAGTTGGTACAGTTAGTAAACTCACAAACCCAGGTGGGTGAGGAAAAGAATGCATACTTTGGAACCAGAAAAACTGCACTTGAGTTTGGGCTGCTTCTGTCTCCTCTTCCTCTGCTCTCACTAATAAAAGGGGACTATATAATGACTAACACAATTCTGCAATAACAGTATGTTCCAATGAAACAATGCATTCAAAGATGCTTCATCAAATGTTTACTAGTCCTAGAAATCCACCCATCTTTTCTTGTCTAGTTACTTCTCCACAATTATCACTCTTGTTAAAATGGTATACATAAGTTTCTGGGCCTAACGACTTCTTTGAGTCCTCTCTGTGAAGGCTTCCATATTTATACATAGACAGTACTTCTGTCAGCTTTATTTTGGGGATCTAGGAACTGAATCTAGTAGGGTACAGGAGAAAAATTTCCCTTCTGTAGAAGAGTTAAAGAATGAATAGCATAAAAGACTCATAAAGTGCTATATTAAAAGATGCTTTTTGTCTGAAGGCCCAATGCTAAGGCTCAAGGAAGGAGAGTATGGGTATTTTATTTATCACTTAGACTTATAGGATGTTTTCTGGGACATCTATCTAAGATCAATCTTAGTAATAAAAGGAAAACACCAGGAGGCTAAAAATTTATGCCACAGAATGCAATCCACAAGTTATATACTCACATCATAGTGTAGAGCAGAAGGTGAGGGGAAATAGTGATCACTTTGACTTGACATGATCTCCAGGGAAAGCAAAGCAAGCAGAGTTATCTAAATTATCTGTTTCCTCCACTGAGCGCAATTCTTGACTCACAATCAATTCTTAGATGGGGAAAGAAGGATGTACTCAGTAGCCCCAGGGGGAGATTAAGAAAGAAATTATTACTTCCCTGATTCATTCTAGACTAAATTGAACCCTTTGGGCTGAGCCAGGACAACTCCAGGAGCTGGCTTATGGTATTTATACTTCCTTGACTGTTTTTGGACAAGGAGCTTAATTGTTTGGTTATTTGGCAGAAGTTCATGGGGAGTTAGTGTATGTGTGTGTTGAGGGAGGGGGTGTTGTTGATGATCAGAATCCACTGATGCCCGATTGTAGAGGCTTATGCTAAATCATTTGCTCACTACTGTTGATAAAGTTGAAAGATTTAGCAAATAAAAAGATGAGAAAAGCTAGGCATGATGGGCCAAAATTGTAATTCTAGCTACTCTGGAAGTAGAGGCAGAAGGATCACAAGTTTTAGTTTAGCATGGGTAAAGGTCATGGGAACCTATCTGAAGATCCAAACAAAAATAAAACAGAAGAGCTTGAGGGGGTCCTTGAAGTGAGGGGCTTTTGTCTAATAGGTGTAAGGCTCTGGGTTCAATCCTCAGTACCACGAGGGGAAAAAAAGGACATCTAGTCAAATTTGAATTTCAGATAAATAATAAATATTTTCTTTGCTATGTCCTAGATATTGCAATATCTTATATGTCACCATAGCTGTTGAGAAGAAGAATGTGTTCTGTTTTTAAAATCAATAGGACTTTTCCAAGTTTTGGGATTAACTTTGAGAAGTCTCAGATGGACCCTTGCAAAATTTTATTATGAATTCTTTCCCAACGGGGGTGGGGCATGATCTTTCTGCTGCACAGTTTTTATGTATCATATGTTTGCTAACTGGCCCATTTCCATTTAAACTCTGGGTTGCTATTTGTGTAAGAAGTCTTTCTAAACTGTCAAATGTCACCCGTGTGTGTGAAGGGCTAACTCTCAAGGCAAAATAATATGCTGAACACATAGATAGCAAGCAGAAAAACAGCAGAGAAAATAAGGAAATAGATAAAACAGAGCATCTCAAACTTCACTGTTTGTATTATTTTTACCTCATTTTTTATATTATATCTAGGATTTAAAATCATTTTAAAATGTATTACAGGTCAAATGAAAGTGAAAAATCATAAAAATCAGTGCTTGACACAGCTTGTCACACAATTTTATTTACTGAATCCTGGAAGAACGTGGCTGTGGAGAAAAGACTTAGCGAGGTACAATGTAGGAGCTAGAACAGCAGATACGTGGCTACTCGAGCCCCTTAATCCACTTAAATTGACATTGTTTCTAATTTTTTAATTCTTCATACATAAAATGATTGTTTTAAGAATTTAAAAGAATCCAGTATGTTCGAGAAGGTTTTTAGTTATGATACCAACATATTTAACAATCAGAAACAGCTGAGGAAACTTGGCAGCGAAATCAGTACTGGGGAAAATCAATTGTACTTGGGATAGAAATCTGGCTTAGCCCTTAAATGCAGGCTCTTTGGACAGAATTTCTGACTTGCAGGCCGTATTTTATAGTTTTGGCACAAAACCCTTTTTCTATAGAGAACTTATTCTCAGCGTAGAAAAAAATGGAGATATTTTAAACAATTGTTTTAAATTAAAATACTTTCATTTACCCTTGACAGAACTAGTGATCTTCTTAGCATAGACTAGAGATACTGGTTTTCTCTCCTCTTGGCTCTTCTACTCTTCTATTGCCTGGGGTCTCCTTAGGCCTAAATATCTCTGAAATGAGGAGAGGGAATGTGTAGGGAAAGGGAGGACTGGACATGGGTGGCTGACTCCTATAATCCTAGCTACTCAGGAAGCTGAGAGCTAGCCAGCTTAGGTCAACAAATTTGAGACTCTTATCTCCAATTAATCTGTCCTTCCCTCCTCCCCCCCAAAAAAACCCTGAAGTGAAGGTTTGGCTCAAGAGGTAGAGTGCTAGTCTTGAGTGAAAAAGCCAAGCAAGAGAGCAAAACCCTGAGTTCAAGCCCCAGTATACACACACACACACACACACACACACACACACACACACACACACAGACTGATGATCTGAAATGATTAATTTACAGACTTCCAGTAGAAACTGGAAAATCAAATTATTAAAATACTAAATTAATATTTAGATACTATGGGCCTAAATCTTTCATTAACTCAGTTGATCCAAGTAAGTAAAGTTCTAATTGGCAGATCAAAATTACAAGCAAAATGTTAGAGATGAATTATCTTTGCAAAAAGGAAAGAATTTTCAGAGCTTAAGGTTTGTGACTTTTAAAGAGAGCCAGTGGTTTAAAAAATACTGGGTGAGCTATATCTCCATAGGGACAGACCACAGCATAGATGAGGTGAGTCACTTACTATTCTACTAGAAAACCAATTCAAACAAACTATCTATTTTTTTTTGTCAGTCCTAGGGCTTGAACTCAGGACCTGAGCACTGTCCCTGAGTTTCTTTTGCTCAAGGCTAGCACTCTATCACTTGAGCCACAGCACCACTTCTGGCTTTTTCTGCTTATGTGGTACTGAGGAATTGAATCCAGGGCTTCATGCATACAAGGCAAACATGCTATCTCTAAGCCCAAAGAAATCATTTTCTTCCCCACCTTTAGACCACATCATATGCACTGCACTCTGTGTTCCACCCCAGCACTCTGTAGATGAGTCTTACTTGGTAGCCACTGGCCACAGCACCGGGGCTAGCACTCAGAGCCTAGTGCTCTTGCTTGGTGTATTCACTTAAAGCTGGTGCTTTACCACTTGAATCAGATCTCCACTTCAGGATTTTTTTTTACTAGTTAATTGGAGATACAGCTCTCAAGGACTTTCCTGCTGAGGCTGGCCTCAAATCTAGATTATAAGTGTGAGCCATGTAGCTCACAGCTTTCTTGACATTTCATTATGTTCCTTACTAGAAAGCATCCTCTCTCATAAGTACAACTTTGTTCTTTGACTCTCATAATACTCTTCCTTCCTTATTTTCCTCCAGTGTATTGGCTACTTCTTGTTCCCTAATTTGTTACATAAATGCAGGGCTACTCAGGACTCATTCATACTCTCCAGAATTTCAGGCTCTTGTGTTTTATTATTGTAGCTGAACTTTTACAGTCATTCCTCAGCTCATCCTTAATACTGAGCTTCAAACCTGGAGCTCCCCACAAAATGTCCATACGTAGATTTTAGCAAACCTCATCAAGTGTTTTGTGTCCACAAGCCAATATCATCTTCCCCTCATGTCCCATGCATTCCGATTCAGTGAATGGTCTCCTCCTTCATTTACTGAAAGTTCTTTAAACTCCACCCTCACTCTCTCACTATGAGATCCAGATACAGTCTTCCAGCCCTGGCATTTCGACTTGCAAAGTGTTCTCAAGTCTGCGCCTCTTTCTCTGCTCTATCCTTACTGTAAGGTGCCTCCTAAATCTTCAGATCACTGTAAGAATAATAACTGTATTCCTTTTTTCCATGGGTTTTCTATTCTACTGCAGTCTCTATTCACACTCTGAGACAGCTGTTGAAAACAGCTATTATCATGTTTCTTGCCTGTGGAAGCTCATCTTATCTGGTTATATACTAAACTGCATAATTCTCAGGTCCTTCATAACTTACACCCAAAACACAGTTTTACCTCATTTCCAACCATATTGGCCCTGTCTACTTATGATTCTAACTGGCCATTCCATATGGAGCCTCTCCAGCTTTGTGTAATAATCTTTTTCTTTGATAGGCAACATCTATTCATCTTTTAAGAGCAAGATTAAATATCTGTGGGCTTCTAGCATTTTCTCCATTCTGACAGCCCCCAGACAAGACAAATGTTTCCCTTCACTGAAATCTATATGCCTCTCTTTAAAGGTACATCAGTTCTCAATGGCTGTTATCCAGTGAATTATATTTTTGGCTTAGGGTTGGATGAATTTACAGATTATGAATGTCTCATCATTTCTCGGTTATTTGTTTATTTGGTGCCAGTACTGGGTTTTGAACTCGGGACTTCAGGGTCTTGCTTAGCTTTTTCACTCAAGAATGACCTGGACAATTGGAGCCACACTCCTACAGGTCAATTAGAGATAGGAGTGTCGAATTGGTCTGCCCTGATTGGCTTCAAACTGTGATCCTTAGATCTCAGTTTCCTGAGTAGCTAGGATTATAGGTATGAGCCCACTTGCAGCTGGCATTTCTCAGCCTTTTTTACTATAACCAAGTATAGACTATAAAGTCTATAGACTATAGACTAGGGATCATTTTATTTCTCATTTATCTACATGTCCATAATGTCCTTAATGTCTGAAACCATGTGTGACAGAGTAAATATTTAATGTTTGCAATAACTAGCAATTAGTGATTATTGAAAGGGCTAATAATTCATGCTCAGGTAATAAAGAGCAGTACCCTTGCAGTATTTCATCTATTATTATTATTATTTTGCCAGTCCTGGGACTTGGACTCTGGGCCTGGGCACTGTCCCTGAGCTGCTTTTGCTCAAGGCTAGTGCTCCACCACTTGAGCTGCAGTGCCACTTCCGGCCTTTTCTGAGTAATTTACTGCAGATAAAAGTCTCATGGCCTTTCCTGCCTGAGCTGGCTTCAAAATGTGATCCTCAAATCACAGCCTCCTGAGGAGATAGGATGAGGTGAGCCACCAGCACCAGCTTCATTTATTATTGAGCTATGAATGTTAATGATATGGTTGGTGCTTTTGTAATTTGCTGTTTCATTGCTTTAACCTCATCCTCATAATTTCCTGCACTCAGTACCACTTGCCCACTACTTTCAAATACCCACAAGTGGCAGATTCTTTTAAAGCTAGGTTTGTCTCAACTTCTGAATAATGAATACTAATGAAATTATCATTCATTCTTACTAAAAACATATGTAAACCCCAAATCAGTACCGGGTACTGGTGGCTCATACCTGTAATCCTCGCTATTTAGGAGGCTGAGATCTGAAGACTGTGGCTTGAAACCAGCCCCAGAAGAAAAGTTTATGAGACTTTTTTGGGGGCCTTGAACTCTGGGCTTGGGCGCTGTCCCCGCACTCTTCAGCTCAAGACAAGCGTTTTACCAACTTAGCCACAGCGCCACTTCCGGCTTTCTAGTGGTTTATTGGAGATAAGAATCTCATGGACTTTCCTGCCTGGGGTTGGTTTTGAACCGAGATCCTCTGATCTCAGCCTCCTGAGTAGCTAGGATTACAGGCGTGAGCCACTGGCGCCCGGCTATCATGAGACTTTTATCACCAATTAACCAGCAGCAAACTGGAAGTAGAGCTGTAGCTCAAATGGAGTGCTAGCCTTGAGCAAAAATGATCAAGGACAGTGCCCAGGCCCGAAGGAAGGAACAAAAGAAGGAAGGAACAAAGGAAGGAAGGAAGGACGGAAAGAAGGAAGGAAGGAAGGAAGGAAGGAAGGAAGGAAGGAAGGAAGGACAGTGGTGCAGCCCTTTAACAAATTATTAATTCTACAAGAAAAAAAGTAGTATTTTGTGGTTTAAAAACATAGTAAAAGGGACTGGGAAAGTGGCTCAGTGGTAGAGAGCTTGCCTTGCATGCCTGAGGCCCTGGGTTCGATTCCTCAGCACCACATAAGCAGGAACACACACACACACACACACACACACACACACACACACACACAGAGTAAAGGCTGGGCCCCGGTGGCTCATGCCTAGCTACTCAGGAGGCTAAGATCTGAGGATCATGGTTGAAAGCCAGCTTGGGCAGGAAAGTCCATGAGACTCTTTTCTCCAGAAAACTGGAAGTGGCACTGTGGCTCAAGTGGTAGAGCACTTGCCTTGAGCCCAGAGTTTAAGCCCCATGACTGACAAAAAAAAAAAAAAAAAAGCACAGTAAAGACAGTAAAAATTATTATTCATATCCTTTTAATTATCTGAGATTATTCAAATTTGTAAAAACTTGCTTTTTTGACAGCTTCCCCTAAAATCATGTCATGAAAAAAAAAACCTTAATAAGTTTGGTAAGAAGAATTTTTAACAGGTGTTTTGTTTTCTGAAAAAAAAAAAAAAAAAAAGTACCTGGCGCTTGTTTTCTAGAAGAGCTTCTTCCCAAATCCACATGTCATCCAGCACAGCAAACCTGTCCACACTTGTGTGGGCCCATTCCCACTGGCTACTCTTTGTCTTGCTGCTGGTTTTGTGAGCTGGGAGAGAAAGGAAGCAATGATTAGAGACAGACCTTCCAAAGAAGCTGTTTCTGTTAGTGTGTGGCCCTAGGATTACAGGGCCCACGTTAGGAATAGAAATTCTGAACCAGTTGCTGGAATTTCTAAAAAAATCAACAACCCATCTACAAAAGTAGGCCTGAATCAATACTTGTTGACTTAAGTTCTTGTTTCCACTTGCTAATTTTAAATACTAATTTTAGAAATAAAACAAAAATTCAGCAGTCATGAAACCTATGCTAAAATGTCCTCAAACTTTTAACTTGGAAGGCAAAGTTTTTACTATGTTTTTGTTTTTTTTGTTTTTTTTTTTTTGGGTCCGGTCGTGGGGCCTGAACTCTGGGCCTGGGCGCTGTCCCTCAGCTCTTCAGCTCAAGACTAGAACTCTACCACTTGAGCCACAGCGCCACTTCCGGCTTTTTTCTTTTTTGCTTATATGGTGCTGAGGAATCGAACCCAGGGCCTCATGCATGCAAGGAAAGCATTCTACCACTGAGCCACCTTCCCAGCCCTTTACTATGTTTTTAAATCACACATTTCTCCTTTTCCAGAAACAGGTCCTTGGTAATTTAGCAAAAAACTCAGGTTCACTTGCTATTTCTCTTAGTGTAAGTTAAGTCCAAAACTTTCATACAAGTCTCCAAAATATTCCTCAATTATGTTAATTACTAACTTAAATCAATAAGATGAATCACTATCATTATTAGTTGAAATAGTTTCCCATTATATTTAATGTCAGTTTTCATTGCCAACATTATTACTGCCCTAAACTTTTAAGTGGCCTATTTCAGAAGAAAATATTTGAAGGCAAGCAATGTTCAGGTGTTGAAGTGTGAGTTGAATAACTCTCATGTAGATGATGGGCACTTAGCAAGAGAAAAGCTTTAATCAGGAGCTTCTCTGGCAGTGGTTGGGAAATCATTTTACAGTGGATGATCATATATTTACTAGTTCAATTAAAATACGTCCATGTGATTATATGTGTTTCAATCAAATTAAAATCTTAGCAGCTACAAATAGTTGCATGGTATCATACATTACTATGACAAAAAAAAATGATGTGCTGCATATAAGATGACCAGTAAAGCTAAAAGCTAAGAGCTGAAATTAAATATCCTGGCCTATTGGATGCCATCATTGCATGATTCAGATATTAATAATGTGGCCATGACAGGGCCTGGAGTTCAATCCCATATTAAATTAATTCTGGGATATGAAAAGTTAGTTGTCAAGCATTCTTCAAGTAACATTTTATAATAAATGAACATGAATTATCTTTAATATATTACATCCTATATATATTACAAAATATCACAAACCACTGCTAAATTTCCCTTTATATGTTTCAGTGTGTCTAGAAATTCTCCCTAAGCTCCAATCAAATGTAATACTAATGCTATCATATTATACCAAAAGAAATATTCTTACCTCATCTATTTCTAAAATTGGAAATGTAGATGCTAATACCAGAAAGAAGAAAAGACACAGATTATGGGTTACTTTATTATCCCAAGTGACGATCCCTCTCTCTGGGGCTTGTCTGGCATTTTCCTAGCCAGATCTTCTTTCATCCTGGTGGTTTCCTGTTAGAAACCCAGAGATGTCTGCTTCTAAATGCAGTTTTCTCAAGGCCAGTATCATGGAGGGGAAAAAAGCCATTCAATTCATTGCTTGCTTTGCTTTTTTAAGGGGCTCAGCATCTTATTGGGTGATGCAAGATGTCCCTGAGCCACAAATAGAGTCTAAGAGCAAGAATTCCAACTGAACCTTTAAAGAGTAGTCATAGTCTCCATCAGCAAGGGGGATGAGCCAGTAACTGAATCATATCTTTTCTAAAGTGAGTATGTGTTGAGGGAAAGGGGTGGCATGTGCTTGCTTAACTTTTTGGTGTTATTGGATATATATTTATCTGTTGGGGTAGAGAGCATTCAGTAAGGCCCTCAGGCATTTTTGTTTGGCCAGTCAATTTTTAAAAAAGCAGACTCCTATTTTTTTGTCGGTCATGGGGCCTGAACTCTGGGCCTGGGTGCTACCCCTCAGCTCTTCAGCTCAAGGTTAGCTTTCTACCACTTGAGCCACAGTGCCACTTCTGGCTTTTTCTGCTTATGTGGTGCTGAGGAATCAAACCCAGGGCCTCATGCATGCAAGGCAAGCACTCTACCACTGAGCCACCTTCCAAGCCCCATTCTTACTTTTTTCTTTCTCGATATAATAGCTAGCCACAAGCAGCAGCTCTGCCTCCAGTTCTTTCATATCCTCCAAGGCTTCCTCATACATGATATATATACCACGCTGGTCCTGGGTGTGAACACAGCCAGCTTCTATGCTGTAAGAGTCATCCTGGCTCTCCACTTCCAAGAATTCCATGAGTTGGACACCATGGGCCTGAGGAAAGAAAGTCAAGCCCAGAAGTTACTAGAAAAGGAAGAGTTATATTTTGCTAGTCTAAATGGCCCAAGCAGCAGGCTTCTACTCACACACAGTGGGCTGTCAGCACAGAGCTGACAGATGTCCAAAGTATGTGACATCACACAGGTAAGGCACATGAGTTCCATAAACATGAACTATTGAAAGCATTTTTGCTTTAATTTTATAAATTCTTCTAAAATGTATTAACACAGTTTCATGTCTTAGTATCATACTGGATTGGATAGTGTCCTCATAATCTATATCCACTTGGAAGCTGTGAATGAGAACTTATTTGGAAACAGGATCTTTGCAGAACTAGGTCAAGATCAAGTCATACTTAATAGGAGTAGACCCTAATTCAATGATCAGTGTTCTTATAAAAAGAAGGAAATGTGGATGCAGACACTTAGGAGAAAGGCTCTGTGAAGACAGAAGCAGAGCAGAATGATACAGCAGTAGGTCAAGAAGTGTCATGGACTGGCAAAGATTGTCAACAAGGGTCTAAAGCTGAAAGAAGCCAAAAGAGAGGAGAAAGGTTCCTCTCTGGAGCCTTCAGCGGAAGCATGGCATTCTCCTCTCACCAAGATGTTCTACCTAAGCATGTGAGGCCAGGCAATTGTGGACTGAACCATCTGGAGCTTGTGAACAAAATAATTAATGCCCCCCTTCCAGTTGCTCTTTCAGACATTTTGGTCCCAGCTATGCAAAAATAACTTACACAACCAAATCACTCCATGCAGGACTACACCTCAGTTACTATAATGTTTCCATACTTCCTCTTTTATTTTTCCATGGTCATGTGGAAGTCCCTCTTTCTTAAGGTTTTGTGGCTAGAGTGTTGATCTTTCAATATTATGCTTGGAGGAGTGGCAGGAAGGGGAGAGAGCAATAATTATCGGTCTGAGTAAGAACTAACAACCTTTGGAATGATTCATATATGTCTTAAGTTTGAATATTAACTGATTCCAAAATAACTATTTGCCAAAAAAGTAACTATGTAAAAACTGTTTGCCTGTTGTTGATTTTCCTCCCTACGGACTCTGCCACTACTCATTAATGTGAATTTTAGGTCTTTTGGCAATATAGACAATCTTACCTGACTATAACAGTAGTCAGCCCAAGATCCAATCCAAGTTGTTTGGTAAATGACTCAACCATTTGGCCCTAATTTTGTGTGTATGTGTGTGTGTGTGTGTGTGTGTGTGTGTGTGTGTGGTGTGTAAGTGTGCCAGTCTTGGGGCTTGAACTCAGGGTCTGGGTGCATTCCCTGAACTGATTTGCTCAAGGATAGCATTCTACCACTTGAGCCACAGCTCCACTTATAGCTTTTTAGTGGTTAGAGATAAGAGTCTCATGGACTTTCTAGACTTGGCTAGCTCTGATCTTTTAAAAAGCAAATCAAAGACATCTTTTACTCTACTTTTTATCCTAGTTCAGAAATTATAATATTATTATTTTAACTAATTGTTCTTCATTTGAACAGTATGTTATAGTTCACAAAACACTTTCATGTATGATCTGTTTATAACCTTACAACTATTCTGTTAGAGCTGAGCTTTTCTCTTGTCAAATAAACATTTATTAAATACCTACTATGTGAAAAACATATATCTAATTCTACATTTTCTTGCCACCTGAACATCTACCAAGTACAAGGTTTTCTGTGTCCTAAATTGAGATTCTGATCATCATCAGAAATGTACTCAAACTTGTATAGCATGTTACTCTACTGAACTCTCCAGGCAATTATGACAGAATCATAAGTACTTGTGTGTCTACACACACCTAAACAGGTTTGTTTGCACCACTATACCCATATAAGTAATGCGTTGTGTTTCATCATTATCAAGGCTACAGTGTTACAAAACACTTGACCATTCTCACTCCACTGTTTTTTTTTCTTTTCAGATACGACCTCTTAGCTGAACACCCTATATTATTGCTGTAGTATCTTCTGTCCATGTCCAATACAGTGGAATGACAATTAAAATGAAAGTTTGGTTGAAAACTTTTCAAGGGATCTCCTCCAGCCCCAAGGTCCTCACAGTGGTCCACAAGGCTATAGGTAAAGAGTATCCTCCATCTTCTATCCTCACTGTTTACCACTTTGCTCATGAGCTATTCTAGTTATAAGGAACTCTTCCTTGTTCCTTTAATTTGCCAGACATTGTTCTGCCTCAGGGCCTTTGCACTGGTCCTTTCTCCGTCTGGTGCTCTTCTTCCAGTTAGTCACCTGATTCACTTCCTACTTTCCTTCAGATGTTTACTCAAATAGTACCTTTCCTGTGAGGCATTCACCACTGCCTACTGCCAACAGCAATGTCCCATCTCACACCTTGGGCACTCTTTCCCTACTTGATCTTCCATAGCACCTATTACCATTTTTCTTAGTCCACAAAGATATATTATTCCATGAAAAGCAGTCCCCAAATTCAATGGACTCCTAAGTTTCTTGCTCACGCAGAGCCCACTGCGGGACCAGTTGCTATCCAGGCTGCCATCTTTATGCAGTGATCCAGGGATCCAGAATGTTTCCATCTTGTGATTGAACCACTTCTATGTGTGCCTTCCACTGCCTGAGACAGAGGAAGAAAGCCAGAAGGTGTCAGCCAGTTCCCATGTGCTTTGGACTGACACTGACACATGTCAGTTCTGCTCACAGTTCTGATTGCAGAGGCTAGGAATTCTGGGAATATCTTAGCACCAAACCACCCAACATTCTATATATGTTCCTTATTCAATTGCTTAATGTCCCTTTCTCTCTAGAAGATAAGTCCCATGATGGAGGAATTTGTTCCAGTTTTGTTCCCCAATACCTAGTATATTTACTAGAATAATTTGTGGAGTAAACGAATGAGTGAATAGATAAATGAATGAATGATAAGCTCACAGACTATGGGAGCAGGTACACAAATAGTCAAATATAGACACCTGCTGAGGACTATGATGAAGGTAGACAAGTGATGAGGTGAGGGACTTGGTTCTGCATAGAGATGTCAAGAAGGCCTTCCAGAGAGGAAACAACTCCACCCATTCAGACACCCAGGCCCTGCTCCATAGGATGGAAGTATAGAGAAAAGGAGGAGGATGAAGTCCAAGAGGCTGGCAGGGGCCAGATTGTGCTGACTTGTAAATGTCATCAAGAAGATTGGACTTTATCCTGTGAGAAACAGGAAATTTGTGATGGACTTCCAGCAAGGGAATAGCATGATTACATTTGGGCAAAGATCCCAGAGAAATGTACTAAGTCATGGAGAGAGGGAGGGGAGAGGGAGAGAGAGAGAGAGAGAGAGAGCCAGAGAGAGAGAGAGAGAGAGAGGGATTCTACTTAAAATTCTTCCCTGTTCCCCTACTACCCTTGGAACTGATCCCACAAACTCAGGAGAGCCTGGCCACTCTTCTTTGTACTTTCTCCCAACAGCCTCTTAGTTACCAGCAAACCACACCTGCACATTCGGAACTCACTACAGGCTCTGAAGCTTCCACGCCTGGGGACAAACACCCAGAAAAAGCCTACTGCCTCTCCTGTGGGACTCTTTTACCCTGCAATTTGTATTTCCTAAACTGGCAAAGTATCTGTGTCATCTTTTATTTCTTTCTGGTGTTGCTGTTCAGTGTTGTTAATATTCACCTAAGACTTTTCTCATGGGATCGAATATGCTGGGCTAAGGGAAAGCACCAAGGAAAGGGTCTTCATCTTAGAAGCTTCTCCTATGCTTGGTGCTTCCAGAGGTCTTGGTCCCACCAGCCTTGAACCTGGCCTGGTGAGATCAGCTTAATCAAACAGCATTTGTGCTGCTCTTTCTTCTACATGGGAAAGAATCACACCATCCAGGGCTGGATGCCCCCATGTAAATGATGACAAGACCACATGCATGGCAGATAGCTAAACCACCTGGTCCTACTGAAGACTGCCAGAAGGCCACTGTTTTGAATGTCTCAGTCTAGCTGCTAGGTAAGGAGGACATTGTTCTTATCATGTATGAAAGACTAGAGAAGACATAGCACATCGCCTGGAAGCGCTCCTTCTACAATCCATGGGTCAGGTTAGGATTTGCTCCTCCTCATCCCACTTTAGTTTTACTTCCTACACCCACTTCAGAACAAACAAATGGGGAGAGAGTTCTTTGGTAAGAATTGTTTTAAAATTCTATTAGTATAATAACGTATCGTAGCTGGGGTAAGATCAATATTACTAAGAGAAATATGTGTGTCTTACATACATGTTTGTTGTAAGTATCTCAGCGCTCCTCCCTAGGTCCACTGAGCCTGACTAGCAAGGATCAGGAGAGGAGGTCAAAAGGGTGAGGGAGCAGAAAGGAAGTCTATATGTAATGAGGGGACAGTGGTTTCAGGATATGTTTTAGAGAAGGAGATCCAAAAGAAGACACTTCTGTCCTGGACAGAACAGAGGGAAAGCAGGGCTCTAGGTGACTGGTGGGGAAGGTATTTCCAATATCTAGATCTGAATACAGCAGCCTCCAGCTATACATGCCTGTTAAGCTTGTTTTGCTGTTGTTAAACTTTTTCTTGCTTCTTTCTACTTTTGTTTTATTTTTTCCTCTGGGGCTTAGAAAACAAGAAAAACAGGGTTGAGGATTTAGCTCAGTGGAAGCACAGTTGCCTGGCAAATGTCCTGAGTTCAATCCTTAGCTCTGGAAAAAAATATGGGGGTGGGGGGGTAGACAAAAAGGGAACTCTAGGGGGCTGGGAAGGTGGCTCAGTGGTAGAGTGCTTGCTTTGCATGCATGAGGCCCTGGGTTCGATTCCTCAGTACCACATAAGCAGAAAAAGCCGGAAGTAGTGCTATGGCTCAAGAGCTAGAGCGCTAGCCTTGAGCTGAAGAGCTGAGGGGTAGTGTCCAGGCCCAGAGTTCAGGCCCCACAACCGACAAAAAAAAAAGGACCTCTAGAACAGCAAGAAGAACCCAAAGGAGCTTCTTCATAAGGACACATGATTCTCTGACCAGGAAAAGTGGAAGAGTCCCTATTTACTACCAAGTCAGAAATCCAAGAGCTAAAATGCTTCCCTTCCCACTGTGACCTCCAGAGCTTCTCTCAAGATGACACTGGTGAGAAAGTCATTTTTACTACTGCTTTTTTCTACTTTTTGGCAGATATTAGTCTTACAAAATTATGGGCTTCACTGGAACATTTCAGACAGACACATAATGTACCTCCATCATATTCTCCACCTCCCCCCTGTTCCCCTTTCTTCTTTTTGCCCCTTCTGCTAGTCTCCTTCCTCTTCCCATATAGCCATCTTTCTATGTCTATATCCTTGTATAAAAATCTAGATTCCACATATGAGAGAAAATGTAAATTTGATTAGTGTAAAATAATTGTACAAATTGCTTTCATTGTATTTTCATAGATGTATACAATATACTATGATCATATTCACCCCCTCTTTATACTCTTAACTCCCCTTTTTTTCTTTCTAGACAGTATTTAGTTTGTTTCCTTATCTTCATAATTATTGTTGTTGTTACTATTATTATTACAACTATTATTATTATTTGTTTAGGCCTATATTCCACATATGAACAAAATATATTTAGCCTTTTGAACTTCATTTATCTTGCTCAAAATGATGATTTCCTGTTCTATCCATTTTCTGGCAAATGGTATAACTTTATTCTTTGTGACAGAATAATGCTCTAATAGATATATTTCACATTATATATATCCCATTATATATAATATGTCCCCTTTTCTTTACCCATTCTTCATATGTTGGGTATCTAGGCTGATTATATAGTACCACAGTAACATGGGTGTGGAGCCATTTCTCTGAAATGTTGATTTACACTTCTTTGGGCATAAGGCCATGAATGGTATAGAAAGGTAATAAGGCAATTCTACTAATTTTTTGAGGAATCTGTATAACTCATTTCCAGAGTGTCTATTCCAACTTACATTTCCTGGTAACTGATTTCTAACTGATTTCTAAGAACAAAGTGGCTTGGGACATGGATAATGAAGGCAGGAAGGAGAATAGCTCACCTTGGGCTCTGTAGGTATCCTATGGACATGGTGTTGGGCTCCTAAGCCTTGAAAGGTGCTCAAGCCTTCTTTAGTCACTGTTACCCATGAATTATCTTCTACCATGGAGACCAGGTTCCCTGAACCCGGGGTGAAGCCTGAAGTATCGAGTGCCAAAGTTCTCTCAACTGATCTGAAATAGTTCAGAACTCCTAGGCATATGCGCTGTAATAGAGAAAGAATGGAGGGTTGGGAAGGTGGCTCAGTGGTAGAGCGCTTGCCTTGCATGCATGAGGCCCTGGGTTCGATTCCTCAGCACCACATAAGCAAAAAGAAAAAAGCCGGAAGTGGTGCTGTGGCACAAGTGGTAGAGTGCTAGCCTTGAGCTGAAGAGCTGAGGGGTAGCACCCAGGCCCAGAATTCAGGCCCCACGACCAGACCCCCCTCCCCCCCCACAAAAAGAAAGAATGGAATAATGTCCCTGCCTTTTGCCTTATCCTACCCAAAAGAAGAAAGCTGGATGGGAACATCCAGTAGAAAGTCAACCCTTCTGTGAAGAAAAGGATCACATCATCCCACAAAGGGGTTGATTTTATACCAAAAAAATCAGAATAAAGAGAAAAGCAAGTATTGGCCACCCATATACCTGTAGTTTCCGGATTCGCAGATAGCGCAGACACAGCAAAGACAAGTAGGCTCCTCTCATCAGGACAAAATTTCTGTCACTGGAGTCATTCCCATCATCCAAGCCCAGCAGTTGTAGGGTCGTTGCATAGTTGTACCTGTAGCATGCAGATACAAAGCACCCTTCACCTCAAAGAAGTTCAGAAAATTCACATACATCACAATGAAGTCGCTGTATTTACTATAAGGGAAATTTGTAATGGCTGCCTTGAAAAAATACCCTGACAGGAAAAAAAACACTCAATATATCTATGAAGAAATGTATCCTAGAAATTACTCTCACTAAAGACATAGTCCTGTCATATTAATTTGTTTGTCTGACCTATTTGTAGTTTTACTTTCATTTTGACTTGAACTAATTTCACTTTAAAATGTAAGCTGCATATTCTTCGGTCATTCAATTTTCTTCACACTTTTAAAATTCCATCTAATTTCTTGAGTCCTCAATAAAATGATTTAATTTTACCTTGTCTCTTTTTTCTGCTTGAGAAATCCATCAGCGTGTTGGCTAAGACTTAATTGTGCAAGACCATTTTCATTTCCTTCCATTGAAAGGTTATCATCCTTCATATTTTCATTCTATCAAAAAATAGCATTAGTTCAATTACATGAGCATATTTAATATTATTAACAAAGCAATAGTCAGTTTATCATAAAAAGTCAACTTCATGATTCAAAGTATGTTTTGATGCATTAACAGAAGAGTCTTCATCCATTCTGACTTGACACATAAAAACATAGTTTTCTATAATAAATCAAAGGGAGCATTGTATTTACTAAGCAAGACTTTGTTGTATGAAAATTCACCATTAAACAGAAGTTGGATATCCCACTCTTTACCTCTTATGATTCATTTTACAAAAAATTGATACACACTTTCTTTTTAAGACCATGTATGCTTGGAACCTTGAACCTCTCTAATCTAGTCCTAATCCACACTAAGAGGTCAATGGATTTCAAACTTCTCTCTACACATAGGCCATATAATTCAGTCATTTAAAAGTCTGGATCCTGTCTCTACATTGGTAAAATGGCATAATCATGGGAAATGATAACTTGCTGTGAGAATCCAGTGATCAGATGTATATAATATGTGCTCAAGGCACTAGCATTCTCCTCCATGAATATCAGCTCTCAATCACTCCCATAGGATCTCCTTGAAATTAATAGTTCACAATTAATTCATACAGTCATCTTTCCTGATGCTGAGAAGGATATGGTTTTGCATCCAGGGTCCAGGGGTAACAATGAAGAAGATAATGTTGCCTGTGGTCCTGTCCCAGCCCTCTCTGAAGCCTCTTTTAGTTATCTTGTTTGCAAATCCCTGGACATGCACTCTGTTCTTACAAGATAAGCTTAGGGGAATAAGACCCCCACAATAGCACTTCATGGCAATGACTATTTGGATACCTGCTCTCTGGGTTACTTATAGTATAATAGTTGGTTCTTGAAATTACAACAAGTCCTTTGGTAGAAACTTCTGCACATTTCCTAATAGTCATTTTCTTCTTTTCCTATAGTAATTGAATATTTGTCTTTGCACTTGGACACTCAGATAAAGATGACATTCCAAGCTTCTTCTACAGGTAGGTATAGCCATATGACTAAAAGAGTAGGGTACAAATACTATGCTGATGCTGTAGGAAATATCCCTGAGGAGGCAGCTTCCCCAACCTCAATTCTCTATCCTACTGTTTAGAACATGATCTGTGACAGACCATGTGGTCTGTCACATTTGTTGAAACTTTAGGGCCAACAGAGCTCTACTGTCTGAGGACTTCTTGGAGCAGCTGCCACACCAGCTCCATACCTCTCACCTCTAGTAGTTCATCTAAGTATGGGGGTTGGGGGAGAGAAGATAAATTTCCAGTTTCTTTAATTCTTTGTCGTGTTGTTTAACCATAACTTTAACTAATATAATTCCCAAGGGCCTAAAGATAGAATACCAGGTCTTATGACTGGCAGTAGGGAAGGGAAGTTTTGACAGGGCTGTCAGGAAGAATAGGTGAAAGATTATGTTGGTTATCATGAGGAAGCTCCCCATTCTGTCTAAGCTGAGATAGCTCCTGTCTGTACCAAGTCAGTGCATTTCTTTGTATGTGTAACACAACTGTAGGATAGGAACTGACATGTGGAAGTGATACAGGAAACTCTAGTTTTGAAAAATAGAAACAAATACCCCAAAGTGAAGAAAACCTGTATCAAAAAAAAGCTGTAGACTCCAACAGGGAGGCTGAGGTTTGATAATTGCTGTGAATTTCATCTCTTGGGCCTGTGGTATGTTTAGGCTGCAGGTACAATACTACCCCTTGTTCCAAAAGGAGAGTTTGAGCCACATCCTTTCTCTGATAGGACTGTGACTTTTTCAGCTATTTCTAAAATTACCCAGAATTATATAGGAAAGAACAGAAAATGATGTCAAGTTACAGTGAAAGAGATTTGAGAGAATGATTGAACAAACCACAAATGTTTTGACCAGCAGACTCTTATGAAGAGAGAAAGGGGCATAGATAGCGTGCTGGGATAGGAGGAGGAAATAGCCTAACATCCTCCAGGAAAGGAGACCCAACCACAGCTCATGAGGGGAAACTGCTTCAGAAATACAAAGCCTGGGACAGTATTCCCATCAGGAACAGAAAATGGTTCAGGTAAGCAGGTGATTAGCAAAGTTACCCAGAATCCAGAATGCCAACACCTCTTTATGGGATCTGTGGTCCTGGATAGATAAATTTTTTTATCTTTACCCTGCTTGTGGCTAGATGTTTCCCAGTATGCCCCCCCAAAATAATGTATATTGAATTATGAGATTTCCATCAACTGTAAATGTTATTTCTTTCTGGAAAGTTGGAAGAGATAGTGAGTAAGGAAGTAGAATGGGAAAAAATAATTAAAGAAAAATTGAATCTTTTATCTATTTTTCCCATCACCAGAATGTCTCTACAACTTATGCAGGCTTATCCACAGAAATATACATATACATACACAATTAGAAGTATATATACAGAACATTTTAAATGGTATAATACTGGGTGATTTTTATTTTCTTCCTTGTGCTTTTTTATTTTCATTTTTATGGTAAATTCATGCTGCTATTGTCATTAGAAAATATTTGCTTTTAAAAAGAGATTTTCTGAAACAAGTATTAGGAAGTAGAATCATGTTTTGAGGGGAAGGGGATTATGGGAGTGGATGGAGGAAGGGTGAGCAAATGTAAGCATCATATTGAATGTACATTATGTAAAAAATGAGCCATGTAACTTGAGTGTAGGACAGAAGGGGGAAATGGAGAAGAACAAGGGTAGGGGTGATGCTGATCGAGAAGCATTGTACTCATAACCTGACTTATAGAATTGTAACCCCTTTGTACAACTACTCAGTAATAATAATTTTAAATAGATTTTTTGAAGTGAGGCACAGGTGGCTTATGCTTGTAATCCTAGCTACTCAGAAGGCTGAGATCTAAGGGTAATGGTTGGGAGCCAGCCCAAGAAGGAAAGTCTATGAGATTCTTATCTCCCATTAACCACCAAAAAGCCAAAAGTGTAGCTATGGCTCAATGGTGCTAGCTATAAGCACAAAAGCTCAGGGTGAGCACTCAGGCCTTAAGTCCAAGCCATAGGACTGGCACACACACATACAAAAACAAGAAAGATTATCTGTTGAATTTCATGAAGAGTGCCAGGAAAGGGGTATTACTTATTTTCCTAAACTTCTTGTATATCAGAGTCACTAAGAAGATCAAAGAAAAGGGTTCCACCAGTGCTCCCTGATGCTGTAGCCTGGATGCAGTATTAGGAATGTGTCCACATGGTGTGACATGTTGTTAATATAGAAAAGTAAAACACAAAATATGTAGGCATGTAAGTGCATTTGAAAAGGCTGAAAGCAATAATAGAATTTATCACTAAGGATGGAATGGGGGCCAGAACTAGAGAATAGAGCAGCCAAGGAGAAATAGTTTTTCACTTATACTTGAATTTTCTACAAGGAGAAAAATGTATGTGTTATATAGCTTAAAGCTAATTTTTAATGCTTTAAAGAGAAAAATGGCAATTACATTGAAAAAACCTGGCCAAGACCACTGACTTAAGTAAGTGAACAAATTCACATGGCTAGTGAGGAGTCATATTGATGCCATGTCGAAGTGCAAGGGCCATTTTTATCTCTGTGGTATTCTTGTTTACCTCAGCTTACACACCTAGTGTAGCACGGAGGCAAACATCAGGTTAATTTAAATTAAAGGTCCTTGTACAATTAGTCTGGCTAGAATGCTTAATAAAGACTGTTAAACAAATAAGGGAAGATTGAGAAACTACCACAGACCAGGGGGTAGTGAAAGGTGGTGCTCTGGGTAGGATTATTGGAGCAGAAAGACAACTTTAATGCAACAATGGATGGAAGTGAAGTCATTTCGTTAACAGTAATGTATTAACATTGATTTCCTTAGACACGATACATGACTCACAATAATGTAAGATGTTGATAACCAGAGAAACTCGGTGAAGAATATACAGAAGGCTCTTTGTAACTATCTTTATGGCTTTTCTGTAAATCTCACACTATAATTAAACTTCTTAGTCAAAAAATGAAAACCCTAAGAGGTTACTGGTGAATAGCATCCACTGAGAAGAGCTGATCAGAAGCTGTTTTGAGCTTATGCTACAGTGAACGATTACAGTCTCTCCTAGCTGTCAAAATGGACAGTGCCATGAGATGTGCCTTCCTTCATGCAGCAGGTCCTTAATAAAGTTATTTGTCATGGGGTATTAATCGCCACCTTGCCAACTTTGGATTCAGAATGCCGAGCAGCATGCACATGCTAAAGTTTGTATTTGACTGCTACATGCTTGAAAAACAGGAATAGAGCTCTAAGATTCCTTCTCAACCCCACTCCTCCAACCTTCCATGTACCTTCTTTAATCTTAATCACATCTGATTCGTATTCAGCACTCAGAAAGACAGAAATACTTGACGGGGTCACAGATTAGCACTCAGGAAAAATGTAAAGGAATGTGGAGAAAATGTTGGCTGTTACCTCAGAATTTTCTTTCTTAAATCTAGTGCTCTTTTCTGTTCTCTGCTTAAAGGCTCTTATACCGGCTGTTCCTGTGGCCGGACAAATGCTGTATCCATACCCACCAAAAGATGCTGGCTGATCTTTAGCAGAATGTGCCTCTCCCCACCCACTGTTCTTGGCCCAGTAGCTTTCTTCATGGCACTTAGAAGTTAGAAATGCAGACTTACTTCTGATCATGTATTTATTGTACGTTGTTCCCAGGGACAAGGACTGGGTGTTTCACCCTCAAAGCCAAGAACAGTTCCATCTAAGACTCACTCAATGTGAAGGAATGAATGAGACAAAAAAAAGAGTGGTGTGTGTGTGTGTGTGTGTGTGTGTGTGTGTGAGAGAGAGAGAGAGAGAGAGAGAGAGAGAGAGAGAGAGAAAGAGAGAGAGAGAGATCTGTCTCCCTCATGTCTCACTCTGAAATCTTGAAATACACAGATTTTCTAAGTGTCTTTATAGTCTTATTTACTGTAAATAAACTTGAATATACAGTGCTCTTATTTATCTCCCCTTGGTTAATTCCAGGAAAAGCATATATGTCAAAAAAAAGTAGCCAGAGAAATGATTTTTCCTTCTTTCTTTCCCTTTTCCTTCCTTCCTTCCTTCTTTTTCTTTCTTTCTCTCTACATTTGGGCAGCCATCTTCCACACAGCTTTGATAAAGGCAGACTTGCATCCCATCATGCCTGACTTTCCATTCCCTCTGCCAGTGATAGGAAGCAGTAACAGAGATAAGAACTGTTGGCTCTCCCTGCACTGTGTACTAGTGAGAGGAAGGCAGGCCCCACCTGACTCCATTCTCATCATGGCTTCTCATGCTATTACCATAACTTGGAGTTTTATGATACTCAACACTTAGCCAAGCCATTATCTTCTCTCATTGTGAACACTCTGAAGTTCCTGGCACAGAGATCCTCTTTTCTGCCTGCTAAATGTCCATGGGCCACTGCCAAACTCACTCATCTGTTGACCTTAACACTTCTGCAAGATTCAAAGCAAGAAGCTACTTATCTGACTCTATGTTCCTTTGCCTCCCACTTTCCCCTCACTCTTAGTTCCCTCCTTTAGTCCTACTAGACCTGCAGGACTTTAAACTCCTCCTGTTCTCTCAGCCAGTGTGGGAAAAAGCTTTGTATTGATGACCACAAATAGATATAGATACAGATGCTAATATCCAAAATCTCAGGTAAAGGACTATTAGTATATCAGAATAAGAGCTGAACTGTCTAGGACCTGAGACACAGAGATGTTGTTCACAGATACCTGGATCTTACTCTTCCTTGCCCCTCCTTACTTTTCCACCAACTTCACCCATTCAGTCTGGTTCAAAAAGCAGGAGAGCCAGATGTAGTAGTATATGCTTGTAGTCCCAGCACTCAGAAGGCTGAGGCAGGAGGACTGAATGTTTGAGGGGAGGAGGAAGAGAAGGAGGAAGAAGGAGGAGAAGAAGAAGAAAGGAGGAGGAGAAGGAGAAGAAGAAGAGAGGAAGGAGAAGCAGAGAAAAGAAAAAGACAACAACGACGAAGACGAAGAGGAGGAGGAGGAGGAAGAGAAAGAGGAGGAGAAGAAGGAGGAGGAGGACGAGGAAAGAAAGGGAGAAAAAAGAAGAAAGTCAGATGTGGAGAGATGGGGGAGAATGATGACATTGATCAAGATTCATTGTACTCATAAACTGAAAATGTTGAATTAAAACCTCTTTGTACAACTACTTAAAGATAGTAAAAATAAAATAAAACTTCTCCTTGTTGACATAATAGCCTTATTATATATCAGCCCCTTTCAGGATAAAGCATAATTAGTGGTTAGTCTCAAATTAATGAGCACTTGCAACCTATCTCCCCCTTCCACTTAAAAAAGCACCAGGTTTCACTGTATTTCTACAAGAATCATCCACCCATCCAAACTGTGTCATACATAGCATCTCCTCTACTATTCCTCCTAAAATATGTTCCATATTTTCCTTTCCACTGCTGACTAAAATCCTTTTCTTACTTTAAGCCTGGCTCAATTCCTTGTTCTTTAAGATGTTTTTCCAAGTAGGACTATCCCTGTGAGGATAGTCCTACTATCTATCCTCTTTTTGTTTTGCACTTAATATTGCTTACTATAAAAATATAAATAAACCTGGCAAGATAATAGAGCTTTTAATGGGAGTATCTTGAAAAAAATTTTCCATGTGAAGTTCCAAGGATTGCACCCAGGTGTCAAGTATAACAGAAAGAGGTATTTGTTCTGTCTTTCTGCTGTACCTGATAGAGGTTGATATTGTTATAAATATTCTCCCAGATGTGGTCATAGTTGCTCTGATGTAAACCCTGGGAAGGCATGGAAGATAGGTGCTGTGAAACCAGTGTAACTGTCTTTGCAGCATGAGTCTGGAGCACTTGCATTACACGCTTGGCGTCAGAGATCTCAGAGAGAACAGAAAGGAAAGGAAATAGTTATTAGAAGCATGATTTCCTTCTCCTCAGCAAGAATTTAGTCATATACATACAGGCAAGAAGGAAGCCCTGAGTGAGACCTTATTCATTTAAAAATAAAACTGCACTCCAACATCATGAGTACCCAAATGTTCATCCATTCATCATCATAAGTATTCAAATATACATAGCATCTCTTTCAAATTTCTATGACAATCCCCATAGGTGAAATCATAAGTTAATTGACTTTAGAGCAAGCAAGTAACTTTCATTTAAATTTTTCTTTTAAAACTATTCACCCATAAAAGACTGAAATTTAATTTAATTTAAATTAGATTATAAAATTCAATGTTTTAAATTTATTTTTCTCAGTCCTAACGTTTGAACTCAGAGTTTCCCATTTGCTTGCTTGCTTGGCTGGTACTCTATCACTTGACCCATACCTCCAGCTTTGCTAGTTAATTGGAAATGGAGTCTAGCAGACTTTTCTGCCCTGGCTTCAACTTCTAATCATTTACACCTCAGCCTCTCTGAGTAACTAGGACTACAGGCATTAACCACTGATGCCTGTTTTCCAAATAAAATTTTTCATAGTGAAATAGCAAAATAAATAGGGAAGAATATTCCTTTTTTAAAAAAAGATTATTTTTAAGCAAGAATATGGTTATTTTCTTACCTTCAAGAACTTTGCTTGGAGTTGCATTAGTACATCTATTCTTCTCCATTCCTTTAGTTTAGTCAACAGTTTCTTTTGCCAAGGATCACATTTTGGCTTGATCTAGTAGACAAAGAAAGTTACAGCCTAACAGAATGGTTCTCTACAAAAGTCACAAACAAAAAGGAGCTCCTATGTACTGCCTGGCATCTGTAATGGAGTGAGGCCTTGGAAAGACTCTGCATGTGATCAAAGGTCCATGGAAGAAGACAGCAGTTCGTGTTAGTATTTGGCCTGGCTGATGTAGAAGCTCTATCTGTGAGAGGATCTGTGAGAAGGAGGCACCCTAACCTCATCAGTTTGCACACTGCACCTTACTCTTGGAGCAAAAGAAAGAGATTCCACCCACAGACTCGGATGAGGCTACATTTGATGCTTCATCTTCCATATTAACACATTGTATTTCAAAAAATAGTTCTGTGATTGTAAATACCATCAATATGCTGGTAACCCTTGGATTTCTTTTTTTTATTGTGAGAATACCGTACAGAGGAGTTACAATTACATGGGCAAGATAACGAGTACATTTCTTTTTTTTCTTTTTTTTTTTGGGTCCGGTGTGGGGCCTGAACTCTGGGCCTGGGCACTGTTCCTCAGCTCTTCAGTTCAAGGCAAGCACTCTACCATTTGAGCCACAGTGGCACTTCCGGCTTTTTTTTTTTTTCGGCTTACGTGGTGCTGAGGAATCGAACCCAGGGCCTCATGCATGCAAGGCAAGTGCTCTACCACTGAGCCACCTTCCCAGCCCTGAGTACATTTCTTAAACCCTTGAATTTCTGCCTCAGCCTTACTTTCTAGCCTGCTATATACCCAATTACTTCCTGATAACCATGTTTGGATGTCAAGGATAAAAACAGATTATTATTTTTTCTGTCAAAAAACAGAAAAATCTGGCTCTTTCTCTACTAACCACCTTAAATCCCATTGATTTCTCTCCTTTCTTTCAGTTTACTGCTCAGAAAGGATTGGATTGAGAACCAAGTTCAATACTGGTAGAACTTCCATGGCCATTCACGGACACACATGGAGTGGAGAGCAATGAGTCCTCTCTCAGTTAAGACTGAACACTTTGCCTTCCTTTTTTTTGTTAAAGGGCTGTATCAATGTGGTTTACTTAGAGCCACATTTTTTCATTCTTTTTTTGGTGATTTCACTGTTAAAATGTTACATAAGCAAATGCTAACTGCTGGCTAATGGCCAGAGTACAAAGAAGGATATGGCATGCTTCTTAGAGAAAATGTTACATGAACTTCACTTGCACCTAAGTCCTTGTGCTATTGGCCATGAGTTCAGAGTGCACAAATCAACAATCCATACATATCAAATAAGGTATCTAAACAGGTAGACACATGAAACAAGGCTCTGTATTGAAGAATGTTGTAAACAGAGATTTGTAGGAATCTAGCCCTGCATTTCCCATAGGGACAACAACTCTGTATCTGGTAAACAAGTGTCCTGATGACTTCTTTTCTCCTTCTTTCTTCCTTCCTTCCCTCCCTCCCTCCCTCCCTCCCTCCCTTCCTTCCTTCCTTCCTTTCTTTTTCTTTTTCTTTCTTTTTTTTTTTTTGCTGGTCCTGGGGCTTAAACTCAGGGCCTGGTCTATGTCCCTGAGTCTCTTTGTACTCAAGGCTAGCACTCTACCACTTGAGCTACAGCACCACTTTAGCTTTTTCTGAGTAGTTTATTGGCGTCTCATGGACTTTTCTGCCTGGGCCGGCTTTGAACCACGATCCTCAGATCTAAGACTCCTGAGTAGCTAAGGATTACAGGCATAACCTACTGGCACCCAGCTTTCTGATTACTTTCTAGAACATAAATTTCTCTAAAAATGAGAGTGTTTGTACTTAGCACTACCTAACATTAGCTCATTGAATTGATGCTCAGGTATTGCTTGTGAGTAGTGTACTTCCAGGACTGCTGTGCCTCATGCTATATGTAACCAATAAATTTTAACTAAAAAGTTCACTTTACAAAAATCAATTACATGTTTAAGTATCAGTTTTTATTCTTGCTCAGTATCTGAGAAGGGAGTCTGGACCCATAGAATGGAGATGTAGATATCCGTCTAGAGAAGTTCTAGAGAAAACAGTTTAGCATGGCTACCTCCAGCACAGAGCTGAGGGGGCAAAGTGTAGGGAGGTGCCAGCACACAGGCAAGGTTTTCTGAGCAGATTCCCCTGGGGACAGGTGGGAACCCAGTGGTCCTAGGATTTGCTAAGAGCATTGAGTAGTAAATAAGGACAGATAGACAGATACTGTCAGGTTGGCTGGCCTGGTAGGAGGGAAGTTTCTGTGATGCTGATGATATCACTGCCAGGTGACTGTCTCCAGAGCTCCCTTACCTTTATAAAGGAAATCCAGTTTGCTTTCTTTTTCAGGGCCATGGAAGGTCTTGACAAACCCAAATTCTCTGCTTTGGCTATCCCAGCGTCATAGTCTGGAAATGTTTGCATTTTTTGTTGTTCCACAAAGATACTCTGGAATTTCTGGGAAACCTAAACAAGATTAAGAAGAGAGAAGGAAAGCCCACAAAAAAAAAGTTATCACGGGTGATTTCTAAAACAGCTACTGTTTACCTTTGCAACAGCTCTGGAGTCAAACTAAGCCAAAAAGCAGGACTCTGTGAGAGTAATAGGACTGGACAGACCTGTGTGGCTCATGTTTTCAGTCAGCAAATTACCTTCACGGCATGTGTTGCTTATTCTGAAGATCTGCTCGAAGACTGGGAATATATTGACATGGTTACTTATGGGTATTCTCAGCTGAAGTCTAAAGACAAGTAAAAAGTTAATTGTCTAACCCTGGAAATCTATTCATACTTTCTTACCACAAAATAAACAAGACAAACTAAGGGTTAAGTAAATCTGCTCTCAGAAGCCCGACTAGAATGTTGCTAGAAGAGTCTGGAATGTAGGACCTGTTAAAGCTTTTTTAGTACCTTGCTGCATTCCCTTCACGCTCACTTTCAGGTTAAGGCCACAGAGTTTTCTGTGATAGAACTTCCATTTCCTCCTTCCTTCTCCACAGGGAGCCTAGTCCACTGGGCCTGTGTTGGCATCTCAATCATTGTATAAGGCCATACTGCAGCATGATTTCCTCACTATATGGTCATGGCTGTACAACAATGGAAATATTCTTTCTCTTTTTTTTCTTATTTTATTTCTTCTTTTGTGAGTTTGGAATTCAGGGATTTACACATTTGAGGTTGGTGAGCTATGACCTGAGCCATGCATATAGTTGCTGGACTATATGCATGGAGACTGAGCCTAGCAAACATTTCTGCCTGGGCTGATCTCAAACTTTGATCCTCTAATCTCAGCCTCATAAGTAGCTAGACTTACAGGTTTGAGCCACCAGTGCCTGGGTAATATCAGTGTTCTTTATGCAACTGAACTGTATACTTAAAATGACTAAAATGGTAAATATACACATACCTATGCACCAAGACCTCAACATTACTAAGCACAGTATGACTTCAACAAAGGCCTCTGGAATAAGTAACTCTGGGAATTTCAGAGCTGAGAATCCTTCCAGACAACACAGGGACTTCTGAGTCTATGCTGTCTAATGTCCCTAATTACATGTATCTATTTCATATTGAATTATGAATTAATTAAAATTAAAAAGCACAAAAAATTACTCTCACAGTTGTACTGGCTGCATTTCAAGTGTGTAACATTATAGTGTGTGGCTAGTGGTTAACATACTGCCCAGAACAGGCTCAAAACATATCCTCCAAGGTAGGAAGTTCAGTGAGACATGCTGGATGAGGGTTGGGCTATAAACTTATCTACTTACAGTGAGATAGTAAATATTTTACCCTTCATAGACTACAAAATCTCTAATGCAGCTGCTCCAACTGCCACTGTAGTGTAAAGGCAGCCATTGAGAATACATCAATGAATGAGCTTGCTCATGCTATGCTCTGAGAATTTATGTTTTCATGAAACCCATGTGTTGAAATCCTAATGCCCAAGGAGATGGTATTAGGAGATGGGGCTTCTTTTGGGAGGTATTTAGTTCTCAGAGATAGAATTTGTGGTCTGTAAAAGAAGCCCCAGAGAGACTCTTGCCCTTCTACCAAGTAAAGATATAACAAGAAGGCCATAAAGCAAACCTTCTTTGATTGTGGAATTCTCAACCTCCAGAAGCTTTTTAAGAAATAAATTATTACAAAGACACCCAATTTATGGTATTTTTGTCATAGTAGTTTAAGCAGTTTAAGACAGTTGTATTCTAATAAAATTTAATTTTGGAAAAACAGGTGGTGGTTGCAGACTGGAGATGACTGAACCTGCTCTAGAGTATCAAAGTGCTAGAAAAAACAGTGCCTAAATATAGAGACCGTATACACACACAAAGAGAGAGAGAGAGAGAGAGAGAGAGGCAGAGAGAGAAAGAGAGAAAGAAAGTGACATTGTAATATTGTAATGTTATTGATCATCTTAGGAGCACAATGAACATTTCAGATAATACATGTATAAAAATCAGAAGTCAGAGTTCAATGCTAAAGCTCCCTATTGTAACTCTTAAAAGAAAAAGGAAGAAAATGAAAGATAAAAACAACAATGGGCTAGTGAGCTTTGAGGTCAGACCATTTTGATAGAGGACATGGTGGCTTTTCTTAGTAAAGAACATTCAGAAACTTTCAGATTAGATCTGTGCCTGCTTGGATTAGCATACCTGCAAAGTTTGACTTGATAGATACCCAGAGCTAGCAAAATGTCTTGGTTGTTGAAATTCTTGGTGAAAATATGTTACTTTAAATTTAAAGTTCTCTACTCACAGTCTTACTTTTCCTTTACAACACATTTTTTTGGGGGGGTGGGGGGGTCCAGTCATGGGGCCTGAACTCTGGGCCTAGGTGCTGTCCCTCAGCTCTTCAGCTCAAGGCTAGCGCTCTACTGCTTGAGCCACAGCACCATTTCCGGCTTTTTTCTTTTTTTGCTTATGTGGTGCTGAGGAATCAAACCCAGGGCCTCATGCATGCAAAGCAAGCGCTCTACCACTGAGCCACCTTCCTAGCCTCTGCAACACATTTTACCATAGTGTTTGACAATGTATTGTTTGTTTTTGTCTTAAGGAAGTATTGTTTTTAGCAGACATTTCATGACTAATCATCACTACAAAATGTATGCTTGATTGAATGTAAAATGTTTTGGCAATCAGGAGAGCTATTGCACCACATTCTGAAAATCAGAGGCTTTCAAAGCAGGACAACCCTGTCATAAAAGTTTGTCAAATCTTGCTACATTTGTATCATTTCCTATAAACTGTATCCTCCCCTCTTCATTTTTTTTTTTTTTTTTGGTCGGTCATGGGGCTTGGACTGGGCTTGGGCGCTGTCCCTGCGCTCTTCAGCTCAAGGCGAGCGCTCTATCTCTTGAGCCACAGCGCCACTTCCTCTAGTGGTTTATTGGAGATAAGAGTCTCACAGACTTTCCTGCCGGGGCTGGTTTTGAACCGCAATCCTCAGATCTCAGCCTTGTGAGTAGCTAGGTTTAAGGCGTAAGCCACCGGCGCCCCAGCTTCCCCTCTTCTTTAAATTCTACAGAAAAACAAATCCCACAATCCCTCTGGGTTCACTATTGGAGAGTCCTATTACTCTCACGGAAATGAAGTTGCTCCTAACTGCTAATCTAGATGTCATTTAATACTGTTTGATCTTAATACTGTCAGAACAAATGTTGGCAGAATAAATATGCAATTTGATGGCAAGTGCTAGTGTTTTCTTTTACTGGCATTTGTATTTGCATTAAGAAAGAGTGTACCAAGTACCAAGGAAAAAAGCTCCATTTCCTTAGCAGAGTCCCTTAGCTCCTGCAGGTCATATGGAATGCAGAAATGGGAGAGCAGAAGCCCCAGTTGAGGTTTTAGTTCTTGAGTGTCTGTTGTGTGCTGGGGTAGATTGAAAGCAGTATGTGTCTTCTTTGGACCTGAAAAAAATCCAAATTTAAGAGCATGAATATCAATAAACACCATAGGGAAAGATGGCAGAGTATCCTTTAAGATGGCTAGAGGTAGACCCTCTTCTGTGATGGAAGCCATTGTTATCCAACCTTCTGGGCCACTACTTTATAGTCTGAGCTACACCTGGCTAGACATGGCAACAAGTCCTCCGGGCTGTGTTTTCTATGGGAGAGTGCAAAGACTCCTCACTATCCACAGCCTTCAGAGAAACACAACAGACCTACTACAGAGCAGACCTGCCCATAGTCCTTTTGATACATGAATTCTACTATTTACAAATTAACCAGCAAAGTTAAAGATGGTGAGAGTTTCAGCTTACTTTCACCTGGCCAACTCCTCTCCTTCATGAAACCTTCCTAGGTCCCCCCAATTGAAGTTGGCTGCCTCTCCAGGTGACAAGATCATACCTTGAGCTCCTGTAACACTGTACACATCCCAAGCAACAATGAACAGATTTTAAAAGGAAATTAGCTTTGAGGAGGAAATTCTTTTGGAATTGTGTGATATTAAAACTGGTAGCATATGCCTATAAATCCTAGCACTGAGAAGGCTGAGGTAGGAGGATGGGGAGTTTGAGCCCAGACTGGGATATACATAGTGAGACTTTGTATTCAAAAAGAGAAAACCAAAAAAAAGAACCCGGGAAGAAAACTTAGAAATTACTTAATCTGAAAGGTTCTTTATGGAGATGAGTAAACTGAGACTCAAGGAGATAAATATGGTCCCAGATGAAGCCACAGTAGAAAGATACTAGAACTACTGGCTTCAAGTCTTTTCCCCAGACTCTTAATTTGCTAGTTTTAAAGATGGAGTTAAAACTGTCTAAAGGAGCCTGTATATGTAGCACATGTCTGTATTCCTAGCTACTCAGGAGGCTGAGATCCAAGGATCAAGGTTCAAAGCCAATAAATCTGAGAGATTCTTATTTCAACTAACCAGCAAAAAGTCAGAAGTGGAGCTCTGGCTCCAGTAGTAGAGCACTAGCTTTGAGCAGTAAAGATAAGCAAGAGTGCAAGGTCATAAGTTTAAGTTCCAGTGCTTGGCTCACACACACACACACACACACACACACACACACACACAGAGAGAGATGGATATACACACACATACATGCACAGTATCTAAAGGAAGTGGTTATATTTTTCAGGAAATAGTAATATTAAGTTTACATGGTATTAAATTAATACTTTATTGACAAGGTATAAATTTTTGGTAAGTAGAAAGTTTCAAGAAGATCATAGGACAAAACAGCACATCCACATCACAATCCTCTTTTCTCCATATTAGCTTAGCAGAAAGAAATGGAGTTCTTACCTGAAATATTGGCATCCTTAGGGTCAGGAGGTGCAGAATCCTGGAGGTTGGGGCTGCTGTCATTGACACAGACATCCTCATTTTCCTGCTCAACTTCAGGGATTTGGTTGTCAGAGAGACTCAGCACTTTAGAGATGGGTAAGTACTGGAGGGTCTAAAGAAGAACATGACCTGATGACATCAGCCTGATTCTCATAGAGGAGGAAGGAAGGAGTGGAACCTTAGTGGTCTGCCCACTGATAAAGGTTGGAGCTTGGAGATCTACTGCTCTTATCAATTCTGTGTGACCTGAACCTTCAACACAAAATGGACAAGGCACTGTATGTCATGCTAAGAACGTGAAGAAGAATTAGACCAAAAGCACCTCCAGGAGTTCACAGGAGGACCCAGATTTATATGCAGATGTTTATACCAGCATATGACTCACTGCAAGTAGGAAGGGGATAAAGTCAGGTGATGGCCAGATTTCTGGTTTGGAGAACCCAGGGAATAGTAGTGCCACTGAGACAGGAGGGAAAAGGAGTGAGAAAAGATTTAGGTAGATGAAGAATAACGTCTTAAAACAGAAACATTATTGTGTTACTCTTTCATGTCACTCCTTCATGATCCTCCAACCCTGAACTAGGGACTCACTCTATTATTCTGTTCTTCCCTGAGTGTCTTCTTTTTGGTATGGCATCTTATTGCAGATAAAATTTATTTGCCCCTTTTCCTAAAGCCTGAGACCTAGTTACTTAGCAGCAAAGACACTGCTAGGCCTAGGACAAGTCTTTAGGACATAGATCACTAGATAATGCTGAATAAACAAGTGGATCTAAACTGAAGGGCATAAATCCTGAAGGTAATGAAAACAAGAACCAAGAACTTATAGAGTGACTATGAAGTGGAACAAACCACAAAACAAACCACACATCCTATTGTTTGTAGGACAGGTAGATTATAGACAGTCGCAATCCAAAACCAGGCAACAAGTGTGAGAAAACAACATAGCTAGCCATAGCTTGGAGGGCACCATAGCAGCACATCAGTTGTATTTCACTTACTTGAAGGTACTGGTGAATAGCCCTGAGGGAGTGTAGGTGACATACTAGCCACCTGGTGTAAATGGTCAGATCTTCCTGCGTCACTAAATGAGGAGGGTGGTTTTTTCCCATAAGGAAGTTTTCTCGAGCAACAGATAATCTTTCTGCTCTCTGAACCGCATCGTTGTATTCCTGAAGAATGTAGCTGACTTGTTTCTGTTTAACAGAGATACAACACAGACCTTGACTATTGTCAAGACTTATTCCCTGTATCATTTACTTCCAAGCATGGGGTGTTGCTGTTGGAGAGCCAAATAGTAGATTTGTGGAATCCTGAAGTTCCATATTCTCATTGATGAATATGCCCTTGATGAACAAGGGCATATTTTTAGGACTTTGAAGGAAAGATACTCCAAATATAATTATTTGTCTAAAGACGTTTAGTAATTGGAGTCAGCTTCTGAGCTTTTCTGTTTATATTAGAGAAGGCCAATCTATAAAGGAAAATCCTTGTTCTATCATGTAAAACTTCCTTCAAATCTCATTAGGAAACTTTCACCCAGTTCCAGTGGCTCACACTTGTAATCCTAGCTACTTAGGGCTGAGCTCTGAGGATTATAGTTTGAAGCCAGCCTGGTCAGGAAAGTTGGTGAGACTCTTATCTCCAATAGACTACCAAAAGAAAAAGGCAAAAGTGGAGCTGTGGCTCAAGTAGTAGAGTGCAAGCCTTGAAAAAAAGAAGCTCAGAGACAGCATCCAAGCCCTGAGTTCAAGCTCTAGGATTGGAAAAAAAGAAAGAAGAAAAAAGAACACTGGCAGAACAGGTAGTAGTTTTCTGTCTTACCAGCCTAGAAAGTGCAAGATCCTGAGTTCAAACCCCAGTGACACCAAAACAACAAAAACAAGCTTATTAATCATTTTGTTTCATTAAAAAAAAAATTAGCCTCAGGTTCTGTTCCTGGGCTTCGTACCTTGTAAAGAGGATACAGTTGTTCCATGGTCTTACTGTGCTGGCAAAACCTCCTCCACCTAAGCACGTGTAAATATTTACTCTGGACCAGCTGCATACTTCTCTCGGTGTAATACTTTAACAACAACAAAAAGAAGCATTTAGAATATAATTAAGGTAAGAAGACTTAAGAACACTAGAAATAAGAAAATACTTCCTGGAAAAAAGTGATTTTCCACATGAAGAGGATAAAATTAGTAATTCTGGCTCAAAACATCATCAATAAGTCAAATATTTTGAAAGCTTGGTGTTCTCTGGCCATGTAATATTGTAAACTTGATTGTTAGTTACTGAACAGCTTTTAGCAGTAAAATTAAGATCTATCAAATTGTCGAATGTTGAGCTTACATTTTTTTTTTCATGATATAAAAGGCTGTTTATTGGAGGTAAGAATCATGGAGTTTTCTGCCAGGGCTGGCTTTGAAACATTTCAGCCTAAGTAGCCAGGATTACAGGTATGGGCCAGCAGCACCCAACCTAGCTTTAGTGTTGTTTCAGGAAGTGTTCTCAGACAACACAGGGAAGCAGACAAACTGAAGCAGTCTCTAGACATTAACACCCTTAATGAGTATGGAGGAGTATAACTCTTAGGGGCTACAGATTTGGGAACAGTCTTTGTTGTTTCTGTAGCCTAGAGCAAAGTTTTTTTCTTTGCCAGTCCTGGGGCTTGAACTTAGGGCCTGGGCACTGTCCCTGAGCTTTTGTGCTGAAAGCTAGCACTCAATCACTTAAGCTGCAGTACCACTTCTGGCCTTTTATGTGGTGTTGAGGAATCGAACCCAGGACTTCATGCATGCTAGGTACCACTAAGCCACTTTCCTAGCCCTAGAGGAAATATTTAAAATACAGAATGAGAAGTCGGGGCTGGGAAGATGGCTGAGTGGTAGAGTGCTTGCCTCACATGCATGAGGCCCTGGGTTCAATTCCTCAGAACCACATAAACAGAAAAGGCTGGAAGTGGTACTGTGGCTTAAATGGTAGTGTGCTATCCTTGATCTGAAGGGGCTCAGGGATTGAGCTTAAAATTTTATATTAAAAGTTGAAATAAAAGCCAGGTGCTGGTGGCTCATGCCTGTAATTCTAGCTACTGAAGAGGCTGAGAACTAAGGATCTCATTCAAAGCCATCCTGGGCAGGAAAGTCTGTGAGAAACTAATCTCCAATTTACTAGGAAAAAAGCTGAAAGTGAAGCTATGCCTCAAGTGGTAGAGCAATAGCTTTGAGCAAAAAAGATTTATGGACAGTAATGCTCAGGCCATGATTTTAAGCCCCTGGAATAGCACAGAAATATATCTATATATTCATATATACATATATTCATAAGTGTATATATGTATATATACATATACACACAAATATATATATATATATATATATGTCTTTTCATACCAAAGAAATAGGATTCAGACAAAAATAAATAAACATGAGGTTTTAGTGCTAGGGATCAAAATTAGGACCTTGAGCATGCTAAATACTGCTTAGTTATACCACTAATTCCCATCACCTGAAGAAATAATGATTGAAATGTATCAAAACAATAAACCTACAGTCCTAGAGTTCAACCAAATCCAAACAAAGAATCAGAAAGAAAACCCCAACAAATGTACATTATAATAACAGTATAAATAATACATCATAACAATATAGCTCAAAATAATTAAGAGAATAGCTTAAAGATAGTCAGAGATGTTCAGGAATAGAAGGTCTGCAAGCCAGAGAATGAAGAAACACCTTTAAAGTAATGAAAGGGGAAAAAAAATACCCGCTCACAATACTGTATTGAGCAAAAAATAGCTTTCTAAAATAAAAGGAAAATATTTTTTATAGAACAACAAACACTGTGAGACCAGAACTACAAAGATCCTGTCCTGTGTCCCCTAGAAACAATGTCTCTATTCTATCTTTCCACTCAGTCTCTCTGCTGAGAACCACTGATAAGCACAAAGGAATGAAAAATGCCAGAAAAAGAGAAAGAAACAAAGAATGTCAGAAAAGAAATGATAGGGAGGGAGAATTCTAAATGAAGACAATGGCAAAAATTTGACTTGCAAATAGAATTTCAATTTCTTTTGTTTCTTTGGAGTAGTTTATGGCTAACTAGTTGTTAGAGAGCCAATTTGTGTGGCAGATGAGAGATAGCACCATAATTCTAAACATTCCAAAATGGTTTTAACAGGAGCAAGGAATTTTAATTATTTTTAATTTTAAAAATGAAATAGTATATGATTATATACATTTTAGAAAAATATATAAAAGTAGGAAGAGGAAACTCATTATCCCACCACCAAATAATAATTGTAATTCTTCTATACATTTTGGACCATTCTCTACTTCTCTTTCTCTTTTTCTCCCTCGCCCCCTCCCTACTTCTCTCCCTAGTACACATTAAATTTTAATTAATATTCCATAAAATATTTTCACGCTAAAATATGTTTAAAGGTAGATAGAATATGAAGTTTTATTGTTTCATTGTTTTCTTTGGGGTTTTTTTGGAGGGTGGGGGTCCAAAATTGATACTTGATCTTGGTACTTGATGCTGTCGCTCATTGGCTTGTGCTCTACCGTTCTAACTGTACAGCACTGTTATCACTGTTTTACTTGACTGCTTTATTGGTAGATATCTAAGTAATCTTTTTAAAGAAATTTTACTGTAATATTGCAATAATGCTATTTTTAAAAACCTATTTTTGGGGGGGGGGGGGTCCGGTCGTGGGACCTGAACTCTGGGCTTGGGTGCTGTCCCTCAGCTCTTCAGTTCAAGGCTAGCGCTCTACCACTTGAGCCACAGCGCCACTTCCGGCTTTTTTCTTTTTGCTTATGTGGTGCTGAGGAATCGAACCCAGGGCCTCATGCATGCAAGGCAAGCGCTCTGCCACTGAGCTACCTTCCCAGCCCTAAAAAACCTATTTGGTTTATAGTTATTGTCCTAAAAATATTCCCAGAACTGCTTTCCTTAAATGCTCTAGTAGCTTTGGAAGGTCAGGACTGTCATCTACATTTTTGCTACAAAATACCAGTAAAAAGTCAAGTGTTCAGTGATTTTAAACTATGATAAAGCTCTAATAAAGAACAGTATTCACAGTTTCTACACACTACTCATGTATAAAAGAATTTACCCTGGACAGAGAATATACCATGAGGCTAACTTGTTTACAGGTTTCTATTAAATTCAAATTTCACAATTACTCTTACCTGCAACAAAAGCAAAGGTAAGTTTTCAGGGGTGTACTCTCTTCTTAGGCAGCTCTCTAGCTCCCTCTGCATGACATCTGCCTGAATTACAAACGGCTTCGACTCGGGCACCTAAACACAAAGAACTAGGTTTAACATTACAAATGAAGAAACCATAAAATTTCAAATATCAGGTTTTTCCAAGGAAATCGTAGCCTGCAGTTATCTAGAATTAAGGTGTTTGTATCCTTTGTTCTCATATCCACTGCTAATAACATCAACTGCTTACAAAAAAAAAAAAGGTAAAATTAATCTTTTCTTGCTAGAAGTTTCCAAGTTAATAAAATTGAAATGGCTGGCTCTCTCACCTGTAAAATTTTCCTCAGTGTCAGTTCCCTTTCTCTTCTAAAGTAAGGAATATCCTTTGGTATTGGAACCGAACTGCAGAAAGACAGATGGAATAGAAGCTGTAATTATAGAAAGCTATAAAAACCAAATTATAGTCAGGCTCGATTAACGTGTGAGTCTTCCCAACTTCTCATTTCTGAATAAATATATCACATTCTACTGGAGTATTGTAGCCATATAAAAACCTTACTGTTCTGTCTTAATTGGCATCTTTCTTTGATATACCTGATGTTTGCCAATTTCTCTCTTCTTTGCCTCATACAGTCTTTCCTTCCACTTTGCTTTATCTCACCATTTCCTACTCCAGAAAACAGAGGGCCACAAGTGAAGACTTTTATTTTCACTGCTGGTATTCCCTTTGATTACTGTATCTCTCTGGGTTTATCAAACCTTGTCCACTCCCCCACCTTCCATATAAAATTAGGATCTTGTAATTTAGACAAGATGTTTTTCTTTTTATTGTACTTGCTGGGTTACCTGGGAGTGAAAATGTTCCTTAAACATTAAATAGAACATACTTTAAAATTATTTGAACCAAAGTTTCTGCCACAATCCTGGCAGGAAGGTATGTGACAAAAGTGTTAGCAACCTCCCAGGCCCAGATATTTGTTCTCTCTGGAAGCTGACGTCCCCAGAACAAGCTATGGGGGTCCCAGAAAGGGGTGGAATTCTGGGCCAGGAAGAAGAGAGCTCTCCACATTTGGCTTAAGCTAAACCAAGATTTGGCAGTGTTGGAAGCCCCAAGGAAAAGCATCCCTAACACAGATGTCAGCTTTTCAAGATGGGATTGGACAGCCAATGGCAAAGGAGTCACAACAAAGTTCTCCAACACATGTGACAGGTTGACTGCCTAGAGAATTTTTAAGGGGAGTGTGTAGGCAGTGAAATTTAGATAACATTTTCACATGACCCTGTCAGTCCCCACAGATGTTTTAAAATATGCTGTGAGGGCTGGGAATGTGGCTCAGTGGTGGAGTGCTTGCCTAGCATGCATGAAGCCCTGAGTTCAATTCCTCAGCACCACATACACAGAAAAGGCTGGAAGTGGTTCTGTGGCTGAAGTGGTAGAGTGCTAAACTTGAGCAAAAAGAAGCTCAGGGACAGTGCCCAGGCCCTGAGTTCAAGCCCTATGACTGACAAAACAAAACAAAATACACTGTGAGTTTGTATGCTTGCTAGAGTGCTAAACTTGAGCAAAAAGAAGCTCAGGACAGTGCCCAGGCCCTGAGTTCAAGTCCTATGACTGGCAAAACAAAACAAAACAAAACAAAATACACTGTGAGTATGTATGCTTGCTAGCAAGTGGTAAAGTTAAAATTGCTCTAGGAATCTGGAGTGTAGCTCAGTAGTTAGAACACTTGCTCAGCATGCACAAGACCCCACAACAAGACCTCAAAAAGCAAAAACAAACAAATCAACAGTAATGGCAAAAACAAAAACAAAGAAAAACAAAAACACCGTTAGATTTTTAGAAGATCCTTTAGCCACATAATCCTAAACGATTCCTTTAGACACTTGGTCAGATTTCCTCTCAGAATGCATCACATACCTCTTTCCTCACAACTTGGCTTATATGTAAAAAGCAGGAGGTAAGCCCAGGAAGGGCCTTGGAGGTAAAAACATCAGTGAAACATAGATATATACATGATATAATACTGCATCATAGCTGCAGCCTTATGGAGATAGAGAAGGAGTAACCAGCCAGAAAGAGTCTCAACTATTAGGTAGGCAGGTAGGAAAGCATAACATTTCCTTTGAGCTCTTGTCTCCTTAAGTTTGGCAGGCTGGGAGACAGGGCAGGGTCACAGGCTTGGCCATTCAACTTTCTCTCTCTCTTTCTTCTCAGTAACCTCCAAGTACCTATAAATGACCTAAAAGAAGCTGGTGAACATAAATGATGTGTACTTTAGCCCACAAAAAAGGGGTTCACTCGGATGTTCAGCAAGCATGACTCACGTGACATACACCCATTCACTTATTCATTCAGCAAGTGTTATAAATCTGTAACCATAGCAAAGAAAGAAGAAAGAAAGAAAGAAAGAGAGAGAGAGAGAGAGAGAGAGGGAGGGAGGGAGGGAGGGAGGGAGGAAGGAAGGAAGGAAGGAAGAAAGAAAGAAAGAAAGAAAGAAAAAAAGAAAGATTTTTTAGTCTAATGGGGAATAAGCATGCTTAAGTGATTTTCAGAAGTGAATAGTGAATATTTGTGTTTTCCTTGGACTCTAGAACCCAGCAAAGCACTTGGCAAACAGAAAGTGCTTAAGTGTTGGAATTGGATTATCCCAAGTGGCCGCAGTGTTTAGCATTTTGAGGGAGGATTAAAATAAGAGTATCTGTGATGGGGCTGGGAAGGTGGCTCAGTGGTAGAGCGCATGCCTTGCATGCCAAAGGCCCTGGGTTCGATTCCTCAGCACCACATAAGCAAAAAGAAAAAAAGCCGGAAGTGGCGCTGTGGCTCAAGTGGTAGAACGCTAGCCTTGAGCTGAAGAGCTGAGGGATAGCGCCCAGGCCCAGAGTTCAGGCCCCATGACCAGACCCCCCCCCCCAAAAAAAAAGAGTATCTGTGATGTCCCGTCATGTGTATGTGTTATAAAAGAGCTTTCAGAAGCCAACCTTCCTCCCTCTGTCCCTTCCTTCCTTCCTTCCTTCCTTCCTTCCTTCTCTTCCAAAAAGGGGTTTCACTATGTAACCTAGGGTGGTCTGGAGCTTGCTATATAGCCCAGATTGACCTTGAATTGGAGATCTTTCTGCTTTGGATTCCTGAGTGCTGGGATTATTAAAGTGCACCATCACATACCCAGGTATAAAGCTTTTATTTATTTATTTTTAATTCTTTTTTTTTTTTTTGGTTGGTCATGGAGCCTGAACTCTGGGCCTGGGCACTGTCCCTCAGCTCTTCAGCTCAAGGCTCTATCACTTGAGCCATACCACCACTTCCAGCTTTTTCTGCTTATGTGGTGCTGAGGAATCGAACTCAGTGCCTCATGCATGCAAGGCAAGCACTTTACCACTGAAGCTTTTATTATCATAATGTATATTCTTTGATATACATTAAGTATCAGTTGTCTTGACACTTTGACATGTAAGTTACAATAACATCAACGCTGGTCTTTGCATAGTATTTTCTAATTTTCAAAATGCTTTAACATGTATTACATCATTTGATCCTTACAACCTTATGAAGTAAGAAAAGGACATTTTTAAGTTCATTTTTCAAATAAACCTAAGTTGAAATTATGACTTTCATAGTTTTGTGATCTTTCTATCTCATCACTCAGCCCATGTTCTATTTTCAATAGCTTTTAAAACTTATTACAAAACATCCCAAGATGTTCAGAATTATCTTTGGAATAAAATACAAATTCACTTGGTTACTGTAACTTTCTCGTATCTTCTCTCCTCACCCCTCCCAAGCACCATTTTGTCTACTCAGCCCAACAGTGTTCTCATTTTGAAAGAAACAAAAAGTTAAGACACAAAGATCTGGGTTAGGAAACTCATTTAGGGGCTGAACTGGCTACCCTGACTCTAGGAACTTGGTAGTGATGAATGCAGTATTTACCTACTAATGAGCTCTTAATAGAACTTCCTTGCCCAGAAGTCATTATTTCAGTTTTTAAAAATCTCATCAAAACTTTAAGTTCAAATTGAATTAAATATTACAAGGTCTAAGATCTAGAAGATAATAATGATTCAAAGCCAGCCCAGGTAGAAAAGTCCATGAGACTCCAGCTCTAAAATAACCAGCAAAAGCCATGTTAGCTCCATGAATTAAGTGGTAGAGCACCAGCAGAGTGAGCAAGAAGGTGAGAGGTTCTGAGTTTAAACTCCAGTACATTAATAATAATAATAATAATAATGATGATGGCAATATTGTTCATAGGAAAACTGCTAGGAAGAACCAGAATATAAAACTTAAAACTTTGTATCTCTTATTATTTTACTTTTCTAATTCTACTTCCAAAAAGTAAGGTCCTATTAACAGTTTGTGATCCCTTTTTTCCACACTATTTTTAAAACAAACATGAAATTACAACACACACAGAGTAGTAAAATGAGTTCTCCCTTTTTTAAAGTATATTATGTAAAAGCGTTCTTTCCACTTTCTTTAGTTTTTTTTTTTTTTTTGTCGGTCGTGGGGCTTGAACTCTGGGCCTGGGCGCTGTCCCTCAGCTTTTCAGCTCAAGGCGAGTGCTCTACCACTTGAGCTACAGCGCCACTTACAGTTTTCTGGTGGTTTATTGGAGATAGGAGTCTCACAGTCTCTCCTGCTCGGGCTGGCTTTGAACTGCGATCCTCAGATCTCAGCCTCCTGAGTAGCTAGGATTACAGGTGTGAGCCACCAGCGCCCAGCTCCACTTTCTTTAGTAAGACATTGCCTCAATTCTTCGTGTGTCTAGAAGTACAGGATGATCTTAGAAGAGGCATATTCAGTTTGGGAAAGGCACCTGGTTTGTGGCCCTAAAACCCTAAATGTACTTGATCTCTTCTGATCTTGGAAGCTAAGTGAGATTGGACCTAATTAGTACTTGGATGCGAGAAAGAAGATCCTCAAAGAGCTGTTGTATACTGTTTTTCTGAACTGGAGACAATGTCAATTGTCCATGTAAAAACAGAAGAGGCCTGAAGGAAATCAGGGGGTGAGTGGGTGGTGAAGCTGTGGAAGACCATGGCTTCTCCCTGTCGCTCCTTACCTGTAAGCTTGGTGAGCCATTCCTGGAAGGACCCTCTGTTCTTCTATCTCAGACCTCAGCTCACTCAATTGTATAGCCAGCTCTCTCTCTAACAGCCGGGTCCTTTCTGTGGAAGTGATTTTATAAACTTTATCCATGATGAGCATTGGCTGTTTTGTCCTTATCCTTGAAAAAGAACACAAAGCTTGTGATTAACTTCCTTGGAGACTTTTACTTGGGATGTGAGACTTTTATCTTTTTCCAAGAGAAATCTCATCAACTTTGTGGAAATGTATGATTTTGTAACTTAAAGGAACAGCCAAATTAAACAGTTTTAATTATCACTGGGTAAAGAGTAGAAGAAAAGTAGGTTAGAATACATATTGATGGTGCCTTTGTGCAGCCTGTTTCATCTTCAAAAAATGTCCCTGTCCCAGCTTTGACTGGTGTTGGGGTGTTATTAAATAAGAGTACAAACTTCTTGTTCCTCCTGTCTTCCCAATTGATTGTACGGATCATACACTGAATGCTGACTGGCAGTTATTGCAGACTTCAGGGGACAAACACCACTGTGTTCAGGATCTCTTCATACACGCTAGAGTAGGGATGGAGTGTTTTAACATGATCATAACCCATGTACATTCAGACTTGGAAGAAAATTATACTAATTCAGAAGGGTTGGGAGGAGAAAAACTGGGAGAAGATGACAGAGAGGGTGACACGGTTCCAAAGAAATGTACTTGTTACCTGACATGTAACTGCAATCCCTCTGTATAACACCTTTACAATAAATTTTTTAACTATGCTTATTTAATAGTGTGTGCAATTTTGACTGCCTACATTCCACACACTCATTTTTAACACTAAGTAAAAATAGTTGGTAATTTCCTACATATATCTTCTACATCTGGTTCACAGTCAATTCAACACAATTATTAAGTACTTTGCATCGATATTCTATTTAACAACATAGAGTGCCAGTATAGCCTATGAGTGCTGGTCCCATAAGTTTAGTTGCAGGAGGTTTAGCACCTGTTTCTGGAAAAATAGGAGATATGTCACTCTTACTATTGCAGAAATTTAAAATACATAAACATTTTCTCCCCCTGACATTTCTGGGTTTTCATTGTTCCTCTCAGAGACACTTCCTTTTCTCAAGCTAATCCTCTACCTTTTTAAGGAATAATTAGGGCTGGGAAGATGGCTCAGTGGCAGAGCGCTTGCCTTGCATGCATGAGGCCCTGGGTTCGATTCCTCAGCACCACATAAGCAAAAAGAAAAAAGCCAGAAGTGGCGCTGTGGCTCAAGAAGTAGAGCCTTGAGCTGAGGAGCTGAGGGACAGTGCCCATGCCCAGAGTTCAGGCCCCACGACCGGACCTCCCTCCCCCCCCCAAAAGAAATAATTAAGTTGTAGATGTGTTTTGTACAGATTTCCTTTGGAAGCCCATTTATTCTTTTAAATAAATATTACAAATGATAATGATCATCTATGTGCAGACTAGGTTGAGAACCTGCCGAGTAATAAATCTGCCACATTTGGCACTTCTGGAGCTTAATAAATTTCACTATTATTGTTCTTAGCCAAAGTCAAATGTTGTTATGAAAGATATTTGTTACTTGGCAGTGTTCTTTCCAGTTGGGCAAACAGTTAAACATCTGCCCCTATGGCTGCATTCCAACTAGCAGCCAAGAAAGGCAGCAACAGACTGGCTGGTTCTTCTCCCTGAGGAACCATATTCTGCCTTTCCTTACCCATCACTTTCAACACTTCACAGCTCAGAATTAGGAACACTTAATCCTGAATCGTTTCTTCTGCTATGTAGTCAAGTACAGTGCACAAAAAAAGACAAGTTGCTCTTGACAACTGTACTGAAATAGATCTAACTCAAGAGGCGAGAAGGGCTGCTGAGACAAATAGTTTACTTGTGTGTTAGGGGTGGGGAAATAGGATTATATTTATTGAGTACCTACTGTGTGTTAGAACAACCAATGGGTCTAACTTCAGTCTCAGAAACTTCAGTAGTGGTTTTTTTAAAGATATATATATATATATATATGTTATATATATATGTATATGTATATATGGGGCTGGGAAGGTAGTTCAGTGGTAGAGTTCTTGCCTCGCATGTATGAGGCCCTGGGTTCAATTCCTCAGCACTATGTAAACAGAAAAAGCCAGAAGTGGTGCTGTGGCTCAAGTACTAGAGTGCTAGCCTTGAGCTGAGGAACTCAGGGACAGCTCCCAGGCCCAGAGTTTAAGCCCTACAACCAACTAAAAAAAAAGGTATATATGTTTACTATTGATTATAAAAATATTTTATGTGTTAAAGTAAAATTTTCACTCTAAAAGATACTATGGTGAGTTTGAGCAGTTTTGTAGTGTTCAGTGGGTGGGAAGTGAAGCTCAAATGGGAGTGGATGTGGAGAAAACAGACATATTCAGAAGAGCAATAATGAATAACTTTATGCCCTGTCAGGAAATGTATCACTAGAAGGAGAAAAATACAATCTAGAGCTTTTCAAGCAAGTGGGAGTGAGGGTTAAGATTTGTATTTAAAAGGCAGAACAAGAGGAGTGGAGAAGGGAAAGGAAACAGAAAGAAATATGTTAAGATATAAGGTCAGTTGAGACATTTGTTATTCCCACCAATTGCCAGGGGTGATTTGGCTGATCTGGCTGGCTGGGAGTGGGTATTCCTCTTCCCTCACTGTTCCATGGTTCTTTGGACATGGAGATCACTCAGCTATGTTCCCCTGCTAGAACCTTCAAATGATCTCTCAAATATGGTTGACATAAATTCAAATACATCAGTAATTATAGTAAGTTTTAGTAGATTAAGATTATTAAAAAAAAAAACCAGTGCAGGATCAAGTGTTTTGAAAATTCCTAAAATTTAATAATGTGACAACTGAATAAAGCCATTTTTATTTTATAGCAAATACCAGAATTTAACTGATAAGCACTCTGGTGGCCTCTGTCACTGTGAGACATTCAGCCTTGCTTATGAAGACATGCCTAGATAGCTATTCTTACAACTCCTAATCTATACATTTATGATGTCTGGTCACTGTAATTAATGTTCTTCAAGTGAATTTTTCTCCTCTTTCAAGTTACTTATCAGCTCTGTAGCAATAGGGATGCGGTTAAGCTGTTTTAACAAAAGGAACTAATCATCAGTGGCTAAAAGAACAACAACATTTTAAGTTTCTCCAGTGTAATTGTGTTCTTATAAATGGTCCTGGGGAGTAGGGCAGCTACTCAGGCATTTAAGGACTCAGGGTCCTTCCAAGTTATCTCCCAGGCATGGTTCAGAGAAGGCACCAGAAATGTTGCCTTCAGTGTGGCTGTAGATAGGTATACTGGATATTATAAATTGAAGTTTTCTTTTTTGCCCTCTTCCTTCTTCCTCTTCTCCCTCTTCCTCCTCTTTCTCCTTCTTCTTCTTGTTCTTCTTCTTTTCCTCTTCCTCTTTCTTCTCTTCCTCCTCCTCCTCTTCCTTCTTGTACTAGGGCTAGAACTCAGGGTCTTATGTTCTTACTTGGCTTTTTCACTTAAGGCTGGTGCTGTACTACTTGAGCCATATCTCCATTACTGGATTTTTCATGATTAACTGGAGAAAAGAATCTCTCAGATCTGTCAACCTGGGTTGGCTTCAAGTTGGGATCTTCAGACCCCAGCCTCCTGATTAGCTAGGATTACAGGTATGAGCTACCAACAACCCAGTACCTGCTTCTATTTCTAATTTTTGAAAATTATTTTTTCTTTAAAAAATTGAATTGCAGGCTGGGAAGGTGGCTCAGTTGTAGAGCGCTTGCCTTGCATGCTTGAGGCTCTGGGTTTGATTCCTCAGCATCACATAAGCAAAAAAAAAAAAGCCGGAAGTGACACTGTGGCTCAAGAGGTAGAGTGCTAGCCTTGAGCTGAAGAGCTGAGGGACAGTGCACAGGCCAAGTTCAGGCCCCACGACAGGACCCAAAAAAAATTAAAAAAAAAATTGGATTGCATCAAGTGTTTTTTTTTCTGCATATACAAAAATAATTGTGTTCTTCCTCACAGAATTATTACTGTGATGGATTTCACAAATTTTTAAAGGTTAATCCAAGATTTTGTTTTTGAAATAAACTCCACTTGGCCATGATTTTGTTATCTTTTCTTTAAAATGATAGCTTAAATTTCGTACTGTATTATTATGGTTTGGATCTTAAGTGTTCTCCAAAACTCCCCTCTTTTTCTCTCTCTTTCTCTCACAAACACACACACACATACACACCCCACACACACCCCATGTATACACATAATAACAGAACAAATTTTTGAAAGACCAGTTCTTTCTGAGATTAAATTAAAATTCAACATTCCTAACCTTAACTGTGGTATTAGAGTTCTGAGGTTTAAATTTGTAGCTTGGTTCATTTTTGGAAAAATTAAGACTATTTTTCATGTATTCATCAATATTTAAAATATGAATCATGTTATTAAATTTTTAAGGTACATTTTTCTTGCTAGAACTGATACATTAAAAAGCCATAAGGCTTCTCAGGAGAGTTTTAAATTTTAAGTGGGTTTCCTGTGTATTAACCTGGTTCAAGTTTGAAATAACACATACAGTGATGAAAAGTGAAATACTTTCCAATTCAACCAGAATATTTTGGATAAATGCCCTGTAAACATCAATCCTGTATTTCAGGCAAGAAATTATTCACATTCAGTACTACTTTGATAATAGGTTTTTCCAAGAAGTACCCTAAATTTAATGTACATGAACATCAAATAACAAAAAAAAACTACTTCCAAGGATTTCCAAAGTCTAAAATTCATTTTATCAAATTAACCAAGTCAGGCCAGAGGTATATTATTTTAGCTATGATTGGGAGGTCAATTTACTTCATAACTCTCTTCTAATAGACTAATATCTCCCACTTTTTACAGTTTAAACAACTGCAGTAATTTGTTGTGGTGAATAAATTTTGTAAGTGGGAATAATCTTGACCCAAATGAATTTCAAATAATGAATTACATTTTTCCTGTCTCTATAGAATTCCTTTCTTATGTCTAAACATAGCCCAGAGCAAAGTGGTCATTTGCATAATTCTGTATAAGTCAATAACAGGTCTCTGGAATAACTTTTTTGTGTATTTTCTGTTTTAGTCTAAATCAT